TAATAAATATAAATATATCATAAATATATTAATAAATATATTAAATATATTACGGGGAAAATAAGATAAAGTTTGTTTTTCTATAGTGATTTTTACGTATATTGGGGCTTTAAAGCGATGGCGTCACTTGAATAGAGGTACGATGCAGAATACGCACTTGTTATTTACCCTCGCTTTAAATTGCTCAATATTGAACGGCACATCTATTGGCAAAATCTATTTAAAAGTTCCCTTTAATCTTTATAAATCTGCTATATAAATGTAAGTTGATCATAGTTAAGAAAATCTATTGAATAGTGGTATTAACTTTTAACATACAACTTAAAGGATACGACGGTGTCTTTAATTTTTTTTCTCAAAACTGATCAACCGATTAAGTCATGCATAGATCAAATGACACCACCCTGTTGCATGTTTTACACGTATGACTTTTAACTCGAAAACGGAGTGAATGTACGATGTTTGATTGGGTTTCCCAAGCCCCTTTCCCCATTACAAACAAAAACAACAGATTTTTTTCTGTATTCTCACATTTAATACCAATACTGCTAATAAGCGTCTCTATTAGACGGTAACATACGGTATTTATTGCACATATACCAAAACAAATATTTCTTAAATTAGTCAGTAAATGCATAACCTGGTATAAAACGTTAATATCATTCTACGTAATTTGGAAAATATTGTAACATACTAATAACTGTAAGAGGTTACATGTGAAAGATAAAATCTATATCAATCAAAGTCTATTATATTTGAGTTTTCAGTTCATATCTGATAATAATTTCATACTTTGATAAAAAAAATCACTGTTACCGCTACTACATTGGGAAAAAATAAAGAAATTTTAGGTAAAGACGCAGTATGTTAAAGTCGGAAATTATGCTTCATAAGATTGAAAGAAAGTCAATGTTTACAAAATTAAGTATGTTACTACAAACAGTTTTGATGACTTTAAAATCTTTTTACATATAAACCACATATTATTAGATAACAACCAACATTAAAACATCAATTAAATTACAAAATCCAAATCATTCAGCAGAAGTCAGCAAGACGACGCCATGTTCTTAACATACACAATGGGTTATTCATTTCCTCTGGAATAGCGTCAATATAAACGTAATTTATTTATACATCAGCTTGTCCTTTACCGAAATGTCAACATAATGATAATCCGCGAATTGAAAGATTTACATGTGTCTCATTCCCTAGAATATTTCACAATACATAGTTTACTTTAGTAATACTTTCCAGTATAGGCACCGAATGATGTAAGTAGTAGGTTTGAAATATCAACCAACTAAACCGATACCGATTTATACCTACATTAGTATAATGTATTTAGTATGATAAAAACAGTATTAGTGAAATGTACTACAGCATAGCCACGTCTTCTAATTATCATTGTATAACACAAAACACTTTTGACGGAATACATTTTTGTAACACTACCATTGGGGTACCTTACAACTATAAATTAACCCCTATGTAAAAAAAATTACCTGCCGACTGACACATAATATTATCAGTTTTATCTTTGAATACGCATTCTTTTAGGAAGCCATTTTTTAGGAAATCATTGATAATCATGTGATAGAAAGTTAATAAAATCAGGGACGTATATTCCACTGTATTATACCTCCCTGGTAAAATTGAAATTTTGTTGTGTGCTTAAACACCTTTTGTGAAAGCTTTCGTCTTGCAAAAATCTGATATCGACACAACCCAACTATTGGCATTAACTAAAGACTATCAATAAATAATCACATATAAAAACACAATATTTTTACTTCAATGTCTATATTTGTAAAATAAAAATAATAAATATTGTTTAACAGTTATGAGTAAGACTGACAAACTGACCATGGCAAGTTTCTGTCATCGACTCGAAAGCCATGAATGTCACTATAACAAATACAGATATCAGGCATTTTCTGACAAAATTGAGAATTTCTATGATTATCTACTATAAAAGTCTCGGATAGGAACTTAGCACCAAAGTCTCTTTATCTCAGGAGTAGTGTTCTGAGCATGCAGGCGTTAAGCCCGCTCCTTACACAAAGATCGATGGTGATATTGAATGTCACCATCGATCCATGACAAATGTCTTTAACATATATGATCAGAGCGCATCAGCGGGAAAAAATTCTATGTATAGATGGCTCAACAGTGACACCAGAAAGCATACAATGTATTTGAATAGCTGGGATATGAATACCATACAAATCTTAAATCACACATAGACGTACGAAAATTTGACTCCATGATGAACGTAACTTTGCGTCCTTGTAAATAGGGAAGGTACAAGCGAAATATTGTAATAGAGAAAACACGGCTATCATGTCTCGTCCTGTGGGAAAAGACACAAAACGATGATACAATGCATTAATTGTTAGGAAAAGATCGAAATATTCATAAGGACCTAAACCCTTAAAGGGGTCAATTTGAAGCACTACAATGCTGTATTTCTGTACGTACCCGTGATGAAAAAAATTGTCAACAATGAAGTTAAAATCTCACTCTCCCGGGAATGGAGAACAAAGACATACTGCCAGACCATGTTTAAAACTGGCCTGTACCAGTACTGAGACTCTAAAGCACACCAGAAATAAGAGTTTATGGTGGAGGGGGTGTCTGACATAGAGCTCTGAGAAAAATCACTAAATAAAGCTGTCGTGGCCGTGCTGTAGTTGTAATTTTACTGTACACAAACAATATCGACTGATAGGAAGAAAGTCTCACATAAAACATCTGAATGCACAACTTACTATTACATACAAACTCTTGAGAGTTCGGATTCATTTCCTAATTTCACTTATAACACACACAGGTTCTGAACTAGTTAAATTTAAAGCTGAAGGGTTCCACTCTAATTATGCTGTATAAATATTCTATAGTTGAAAAACAAAAAAATTAATTGGACTTGACTAGTCTAAAAAATATGGAATTGGTAAAAAAAACATATATTTAATGCTTTGATTAGGAGGTAGACTAACTGTGATCTCCAAATGACAGTCATCAATCTAATGAATGGTAAGGTTTTTTATGTTTGAAAGCTATCCAATGATTATTTTTTATCCTAATATATTCCAATGATCAATCTAAACATGATTAAATAGGCATAATATTTAGATTTTAAAAATATGTACTGGTAAAATGATACAGGTCAGTGTGTAAATTAATACAAACCCCGAACATTACATTCTAAAGTGGATGGAAAAGAAAGAAAATGATCATCCAACACCACTAATGTACTTTTCACCTTTACTTAGATTAATATGTTAGCCAAAGCTAATGATGGATTTCATCCCAAAAAGTCACATCACATTCAATGGGGCTGGCTACAATGAATTTAAATGAATCTAAATGTCTACATTCATTTACTATCTCTGTATTGCATTATATCTTATTATGGGTCAGGAAACATTAACAGCATTTACATATATAGCCCACAAGGTTGAGGCCAGCTGATATACATAGCAACTTGTCCTGTAGCACCTTAAAATCAACAGTCTTGCACATAATCATGGCATAGGAATTGTTATATAGTTTAGGAATGCAGAGCTGTAGTACATACAAGTCTAAATCATGATTTCACAAGGATGTAGGAGTTACCTCCCTGTCGATATAAGTACTACCACACAGTAAAATTTGCAAGAGCTTGTCATATTTTGCTAGAATTATTGTCCTTGTGTTTGTCTTTAACAAGCACAGAGAGAAACAATATGACCATATAAAAGACGTTAGAATTTATGCAATTAAGAAAGCAAGGTAAAGGTGACATGTTTCCAAAACTTTCACAAGGCAAGAAATGAAACTTTAAATTGAACAAAAATGTAGGTATTATTTACTTGATTGTATGCCCTGGTTGTTTTGAAATATGAAGGTTTACCGGGGTATTTACTCTCAGATGCCGTATTTTGCACTGATTTAGAGATAACCTATCCCCCCACCCCACCTCCCTTCAAGGAAATCCCCAGTAACACCTTTGGATAGATAAACATAAACTTTCATTTTCCCAGCAACCAGGACCATAAGTGTATAATTTTCTGTGAGAAATAAAATCTGCCCAAAACAATCTATTCACAAACAAGTACTGAGCTAATATTTGACTGTGAATTAAAATCTGCTTGAATGTGTATGATTTGCCTCTTACAACATATTCATAAGATATAGAGACACATTCAATTATATACTATGAAATTTATTAGAGATTAACTACTTTCAGCTTGAACCATGCAAATTTAAACAGCTATTTAACTATTAATGAAGAAAAACTTTTGAAGCAAAATTATCATTCTGATTTAGAGATAACCTATAAGCACAGAAGACAAACAATTATAATCCTAACTGTGCTGATTAACTTGTCAACTTGATATATATAAAGTCTTACATGAGTCTGGGTTTTTTTTACTTGTAGCAAGTTTTTATCGTGCTAAATAGAAAATTTCTGATGAGTTTAATAAATCACATATCAAATGAAACAACTGTAAATATTGTAGAAAACAGACCTTTTCACATCAAACATGAGGCCATTTTGACTATGTTTATGGTCTCCAATGTTAAGTCACAATGCAATCTGTGGAGCCTAGCATGGTATTATGTAAATCTCATATAGCATTCAACATGGGTTATCCAATCATGTGATAAAAACCAATATGTAATAGTTAAAAGCCAGAGTTTTAAGTTGTGAGAAAGTACAATGCTGGCTGTTTTTATGGTAAAGTCAGCTGAACAAAATCTACCTCCCTCTCACCCTCGTTGATCTATACATTTTTGTCTACCTTCCTCTCAGCCCTGTAGATATACAGTTGTAGTAATGCACAACACACCCAAACCTATGACTGTACACCATATATAAATCGTGCACACACATGCACTATACAGTATCTAGCACACAACTGTAAACCTATACAACCCATTTTGTCTACCTTCCTGATCAAAAAATGTCACATTAATTACCAGTTAGTTATTCTGTACAACTGTACAACTTGCTGAACAGCTGCAGAGGAAAACATAAACTAATGAGTCATTTATTTTGCTAAAAGAGATACATCCATATTTTTGATAATCCCTACCTGACAAACACATTTTCAAATTAGTTGGTAGGGTCCCAGTGGCAACTGGTGATTTTAAGAAAATTAGGACCAGCCTAACACAGCAATTGTACATACCTATACAAAATAATCAGTATGCAGCAGAAAAATTGATAGTTGACAATGTTGCTATTATTTTTTGCAATATCAAGAAAACTGAATTTTTCCTTAAAACTTTCACAACACAAATTCTATAAAATTAAGTAAAATATATAGATCAAACAAATACCCTATTCATTCCACTTTTTATATATAAAGTATCCTATTGTCCCTAAAATACCTAAACCAGCTAATCCCGCTAGGTATGGAGAGGCTGTCTTTAAATTTTCCCATAACAGCGTCATTCTCAAATTTGTGATTTCCTTTTGTATCATCAGATAGGTTGGACGTTTCTTCACTTGGTTGTAATAGTTGTGTGTGTATGGGTTGTTGTCCTGAGAGAAGTAGGTATTGTTCAGTCCCAGGAGAGCCAGTCTACTCAGCAGTACAGTCAGACTGATGTCTGCCACTGTGTACATTGGCCCAAACAGCCACAGGTCATCGGCAATGTCTGGACTTGCTACAAGCAATTCAAGAGGTTTGATCAACATATAAACAATTTTTGTAAACTTTCCTTAGCAATGCAGATTTTTTTTTCTAATGAATATTGTACTTATTTTGTGAGTTAAATTTGTTGAAAATAAAATTGAAGATCACGTCACCTTCATTGATAATCAACAGCTAAGATTTAGTAAATTTCAAAAGGAATGACAATTATGCAACAAAACATTTTTTCTTCAAGCAGTGTATTACAAACACAGTAGCATGACCACTTAATGGTCTTTGTGTGACGTGACATCTTGGTGACTAGTAATTGGCTCACCCATCAATACTCATACCTTGGCATTATATTCACTAATATCTTTCTTTAATGAAGATTAATTTTGAAGCAGTTATATTGTAAAAAGAAAGGGATTTAATGTAACCTGCAGTCAATATAAACTGTGACACTAAAGGCAATCTTCAGAGTTACTTTGAATAGAAGCATCATGAGTAAGTGACCCAGATTTTGATGTTGAAAGTCACCTTCACTACCCACTGTTACCTTAAGAGTATATATGTATATATGTTACTATAAAAATAAGTATGAAATCACTTGAAACATGACAGCAATTGAACTTCAGACTTTAGTTTGGTTTATTTTTGCTTTACGTCCTTTAAATAGCCAGGGTCATTTAGAACATGCCTGCTTTGGGTGGTGGAGGAGAGCTGGAGTTCCCAGAGAAAACCAACTGACCTGCAACCAATACCAGGCGAGGGCAGCCTCACTTATGACCCAAACCTGCGACCCAGAGGTGGAGGGCTAGTGATAAAGACCATCGGACCTCTAAACCACATGGCCACCACAGACCCCAATTTCAGAGTTACTTAAAAGAAACTTTGATAGCAACCTTGAGAGCAACTTTTGCCATGACTTAGAGAATTATTCTGACAGACTTCTAAGAAACAAACTTTACAGATAAAGTAAAAGACAAATAAAAAAGAAAGACTGAAATTAAACTTAACAACCATTTTGAAAGATAACAATGTCTTGACAGTAACCTTGAGATTAAGGGTAGATAAACAGAGCATCTTTGTGCATAGTAACATATAGAGAAACCTTGGAAGTTTTCTGAAGCTAAAGGATAGATACATGTTTATGAAAACTCAAATATTGATACAAATTAAAACTTACATTCCTTGACACTTTTCAGTTGTTGTTCCACTGCATTTATGGTGAGCTGTAACTCCTCTAGATGGCGCTGCACCTGTGCAGCATCTGTAATCACATCAAACTTCTGGGCCGCTGTCTGACTCTTCATCAGATAGCTGTCTCTAAGAGCAGGGTGTTTGGCAGCTAGGTCAGTCAGAACAGCTAGACGATTGGCAAAATTTTCTAAAACATGACCATAATATAACTCATGAATACTGTATGTTGTACCTTTTTCTATTACAGTTCCTATTCTGCAAGAGTAAACTCACTCTTTATGATAAACAATTACTTAAATGATATTACATCAGAGAATTTATAAAATGGTTATTTTCGCACCTCAGACAGGGATATCCCATGTAATACCCCATCCTAGATTTTTCTATCTTGCCCAGATCATCAAGTACCCTTATGTGTGTTTTTGCGTAATTTGTGTTGTATTTTTTGTTAAGCAGCCTACATTAGTTATGCAGCACTATCCAAATGTTGTTTAAAATTGAAGAGGCTGTGTGGGTAGTGTGAGGCTCCACAGGATATGCCAAACTCTGATGAAATGTTGAATAATTTTCATAGTAGTTGGTTAGAGGTTAGGATGTTACAGGATCTTAGCCTTTAACTGAGATACCCCGATCTTTCTCAGTCACAGGTAACAGATTTTATTAATGTCTTCATCTGGTCATTTGATTTTACTAATACATTTAGCATTTTAACATTGCTGTAAGATGCATAATTTTCACTTATTTCATCTTTATCATTTCTGTAAACCATGGTAAGCCTGCATCATCCACTTACATTATATTAATCTATATCTATTAGAAAATCTCTTTAATTCTGATGGTTAAATATGATATTGACAGTCGTTTTATTTCATATTTCATCTTACATTCAGTTTCACAATAATATCAATCCATGCCAAAAAAACACACACAAAAAAATAAAAGCTTTATTCTTCTCAAGACAAAATTTTAAAACTTCATAACTCTTAGATGTTCTGTACACTATTTAAGCAAGGTCACCAAATATTATTCCCATGCATTTTAATAACTTTTCAAGCCTCACCAGTACATGTGCTTGAAGTAATTTAATTGTTAAACCTTTAGATCTCGCTAAGTAAGTTTCAAATGAACATGAATTAAAAATGAGACAATGCAATTGGAATCTGTAATACATTTAATACCAGCATTTTTGTGAGATATATATATAAAATCTTACCCCTCATACTCCTCATAACAGCCCCTTGAATTTGACATCCAACAGGTGACAAGTGCGGATGATATATTATCCCATATGTAATGATGTCCACTTCCACCATCTGCAAGCGTCTACGTAATTCTGTAACTTCCTTTCCAAGCTCTGATTCCTGATCAGGAATAAGTTTTGGAACTGTCAAAATGAAATATACAAAAATAGCATTGTGAATGTAAACCAATTTCATTTTGTTTGTAAGAAGACTTTCCTGTACATCATTTACATTCAGTAAACTGTAATGATACCACAATAAGCCCATGCCCACTCTATTCCAATTACTATATAGGTAACATATTTACAAATATCACTTCATTGTCCTGCAATAGCCCCATCCATTCCTCTGAGTCAAATTCTATGTTTTGGTTCTAAGGATTGTTATAGGAGAAGTACAGTAATATTTTATCAACACCTTGTATTTGATTTATACATCAAATAAATAATACTACAGATACAAACTACGATGTATTATATATCATATCAAAATTTCATAGTTTTGTTTTATGCTTTTACCTGAGGATTCTGAGTTGCTGTCTATATAGTCGATGATTTTATCAGGCTCTGTTATAATAGTATTTCCATCCTTCAAGACAGGAATATGAGCTCCCTCAGGATTCAATTTCACATACCAGGGTGCATTGTGTTGACCAGAAAATAAACTAACCAGCTTGGGCTTAAAAGCAACCTCCTTTTCATAGAATGCCAGCAACACCTGGAAGAAACGATTTTTCTTTAAGTTTATAAAGAATAAATCTATCCTTTTGTACATAAACATCATAAGTGAAAGTGAACCTTTCTTTATATTGATTTTGAAGTTCTACAATTAACATAAGGTCTGTAGAGCTTTTATTGTTACAACACTTAGATAATAAATGTTGTTTTGGATATTGGAGGAAAACCAACATAAAGTGATGGGGAAAACAGACATCATCCCCTGTTGTAAGTGCCTCCAACCCATGTGTGGGGAAAGTGATCTGAAGCTCATGCTTTGATTGCACACACCACAATAGTCATACTGTAAGCACATTTACGATCAGCTACCAAGGCACCCAGGAAGTTAACTTACATATTGCACTATATTGCTAATTTGTTTGTTTTGTGAATGTGTAGTGTGTATGACTTAAAATTCTGTGATTTTGAAATGTACTTGTATGAAAAAAACTGTTAATATGACGACAAACAAAAACAATTTAAAGAAAGGTGTTGATAATAAAAGAGCAGCTCTTCAGGCATATAAAGCATCTGAGCAATGCTCTATGTTGGTAACATGTGTAAGACCACACTTCGTTCATGTCCAGGATGAGATGTCCCAGGACTTGATCCATCTGAGAAAAATTCTTCTGGAAGTAAAAGGCATGGAGGATACAATGGAGGTGCTCTACGCCTTTTTATCTGTAAAATTTCTTTAGTTCTTAGAGTACTCTGTGTATAACGCCAACCAATATCATGAGGTTCAAATATACACAAGCACACAAAACGTCACCTTCAAAATAATTGTGCAGTTGACCACTTTATGATGGACCACTTGTCATAGTCTGTCAAATTTTCTTCATTTCTTGAAGCACTTCATTTCTTTAATCAATAACCAATCAACTAAAATTTATTGGTGTTTTACTTTCTTGATACTTTTCAATCGAGAATGTCATTGCATGTAAGCTTCACTTCACTTTCCAGACACTGTCTGACTCATATTACCCTGTATTAAAGGTCTCGCTAATGCAAGAATTAATTTTTGAAGGTGGTTGATCCCAAGCGGATTAACTTTAACAAAGGAAAATGAACACTTGTGTCACGTTAAAGATATGACAAACTTGTTTGCTGCTAACCTTTTAAAGAACTTTGTGTTTCTCTTTCAAATCAACGATACTGCTTTTGAGTAACTAGATAATTAAAGCAGTAGCTATCCCTCTACTGTGTATGGAGGACTATTACTTGTGTTGGGGTTGTGCCAAACTTTATTCTATGTGGAATTCGGGTGTTTGGCGATGTTCTTCGTTGGATGTCGAACGACCGACATAAATGAGTCTTAAATAAAATCCCTCAAGGGATTAGTGCCAAACTGTATTGCAAGTTTTACATAAATTCATTTGACCTTGAGCCAGGATCCCAGTTACCAAAACAGACAAACATTTATATATAGTTTAAACGAACATGTATCAAATACAGATTCTAACTATCTTCATCTATATATGCAAATAACTAAGTAAGCATACTGTCTTACTGTTAAGGTCGACATCACAATTTGAAGCCGGGTCAACGTTTGTGGCAAAATAAAGTCTATTAGATATCAACGGCTCGTGCATGCAACCATTTACTCCCATACATAACTATTTGCGAGCACTTTTAGCATCAAGAAAAACGGAATGCACTTTCCATTGATTGTTTACCTTTTGCGATGAATATGACGTCGGGAAATAGTAAAGAGTAAACCTATTTGGCTTCGCTTTAACCTGAGCCATGGCCGACGTTTATGCCGGCTGCCAGGGAGCAGACATTACCTAGTGAAAATAATTTGATTTGTTTAATATCAACTAATTCCTGCTTATTTTGTTTGTAATAAAACAAAATCGACATTTTACTGTTATTGATAGAAATGAAATGAATATATTTTATGTAGTATTTATACTACAAAAATACATTTAAATAATTGAAAAACCGAACACTCTAAGAGCTCTTTTGAAATAAAAGGTAAATAAAAGGCAGGGCGATTCGGGTGAGATAATTACAGCCCGGTGCTGCAGATATTGGCCGGTACCGCTCGGCACAATATGGCATCGCCCTAGAACTATATATTGGCCGCCTGAGCTTTTATTTCTTATTTGAAGCGTTCAAACTATCTCATACATGTAAATATAGTGACAATACCAATATTTCAGTCAAAAATGGTAAAATCCTATTCAAATTTTCCGGTTTTACAGCTATTTCAAAACATTGATATCGCAACACTGTGCTCGCATCTTGTTATTTGCAATGCCGGACCGACTGGGGTTTTATTTCTATTCACGTATTGTTAAATCTGCCTGATGCACATGAATGTTTATGAAATAGATGCCATAATTTAAAAATAATATATTTTTATGACAGAAATATTACCATTTGAAATGCAAAACCGGGACCATCCGGAACTTTATGTCTATTCACGTATCGTTAAATCTATATCATATTATTATATACATTCTTGTGAATTAAATGAATATCATAATTTATAATTATTAAAAAATATCTAAAAATGACCGCCCGTGGTTTTTTTTTTTTTTTTCTTCTTAAAATTACAATTTGGGTTAGCCTCACATTTGCTGTACATGTACTCGTAATATCCTTCGTAATTGCAAATTATTGACAGAAGTTAGTTTACAACAATAATTAAATATTTTTGACGCAAAAGAGACAACGGGTCTCTCCCATGTTCAAAGCATACCATAGCATTAGATATCGACCGTTTGACCCCAAGAATATTTTTACAAAAATCTAGCCGAATCTTCTCTAAGTCAGGGCCAGTATGGAATCCTCATACTTCACTACTGTAATTAAAAACACTCCCTACATACGTATCAAAGTGACTTAGAATGTGGAGAAATCCAAGTGCATGGGTGCACAAGTCTTTCTCGGTGCAATATTGCGTCGACTGTTCCCATGCCTGAACGGATACCAAATTGGCACTCTGATGATACATTGTTCTTGTCTGCCCATTTACTCAACCTCGCATTGAGGATACCTGTGTATAATTTTAGTATGTTACTGAAAAGGCTAATTCCACGATAGTGGATAGTATATATATAATATACATGATAGTATATAAGTCATGTTTAACGTTACGTGACTGGAAATAAAAGCTCAGGCGGTCCCGGTAGTGCTAATAACAGGATGTGAGTGCATTCATGGTTGCGATGTCGATAATTTCAAATGGTAATAAGTTTGTGATTTTTGAATGTATCCCATCATTTCTAGATAAAAATATTTATTTTATTCATATATACGCGTATAAGGCAGATTTAACGATATACGAGTAGATATTCAAGAAACGTTAAATACAGACCTAGAGACTTCAAATACTTGGTCAAAAACTTGGTTGGTTAATTTTAACCCTGAAAAAACAAATTATTATTTATTTCAAATTCCACTGATATCGCGGATGATTTAGACTTAGAGTAACGCAATAGTTTCAACTGAAGGTACAAGGGGAGGAAATATCATCCACCATAGGAAACCCCATCAAATGTCAGGGAAAGTGGTTTGATGAATCAGCATTGCCTTTTTCCACGCTTAGCCTGGCCCTTGATGCTTTATGGAATTACGACTTCAACAATGGAGAAAATGGAGCGTATTATCAACAGACACCTCAGGAAGTGGTTGGGAGTTCCTTCAAGCTTTACTGCATTAGGCCTATACACCAGGACAGCAAAACTCCAACTCTCTATCGCCTCACTCATGGAAGAATTCAAGACAGGCAAGGCAAGACTGATCATGACCTTGAAGGACCCCAGGGATGATAAGGTACGATTAGCCGGCATGGAAGTACGAACTGGCAGGAAATGGTCAGCATCAAGAGCAGTTGACGATGCTGAAAGTAGACTTATACACAAAGACACAACAGCAGTATGAAGACAAGGTTTAGGAACAATTAAGAGCACCTTCTGGAAAAAGGATGATGCGGAAGAAAGGCGTAGGATGGTCCAGAAGGAAATTAGAAATGATGAGGAAGAACATAGGCAGATCAAAGTAGTTGCATTGGGAGCCCATGGAGCGTGGACAAGATGGGATGCAGAACCAGACATACACAAATTAGTTTTGTGAAGGAAGGTGAGACACCGACATCCGCATCACCGCAGAGAACTTCCGGAATTCTTTGTCAGGCAGGAGACTGGAAGCTGGCGGTAGACCTTATTTAGAGACTAACCTTTCCGGACATTGTACCAACCAACCTTCGGCCGGATATGGTTCTTTGGTCGTCAACGACAAGAATGGTCATTGTCATAGAGCTGACAGTTCCATGGGAGGAAGGGTGCAGTGAAGCACACGAACGGAAGAGAGGAAAGTACGAATCATTGCTAATGGAGTGCAGGGAGAAAGAGTGGCAGACTTGAAACTACCCTGTCGAGGTGGGTTACAGGGGCTACCCCGCACAGTCTGTGTGGAGAATGCTAGCTGCATTGGAAGTGTCGGGCAGGACCAAGAGATCAGCGGTGCAGAGGATGGCCAGGGCAGCAGAGAGATCTTCATGCTGGGTGTGGATGAAGAAAGACTCAAGTACCTGGACACCCACCACCGACGCGCAGTGACTGATTATCACTGTGGACCCCTAGCTGTTTTAAGATAAGAATTTGACGGGAAAGTTTTAAATTTTACAGACTATCAAAAACACTTATGTGTAACCTTTAATTCGAATGTAAAATGAGAGGGGTCATGTAAATGAAATTTACACTTCTGTTTTGAAAAAAAAAATCAATATCTTAAGAAAATTGAAACACTTATTAAGTAGGGATGTTCTTTTATAAATTTATAAGACTTTTATTTTACCTGTTTTAGAATATGCTGGTGAGTTGTGGGACGGTTGCAGTATGTCTGAATCAGAAAAGTTAGAAAAAGCCCAACGTGAAGCGACTCGCATTATATTAGGACTGCCTTCATATTCCCCTATTAATACTTTATACTACGAAACGGGTCTTGAAATTCTATCTTATCGCAGAAAAATCAGGAAACTTCAATTAATGTATAAGTTGCATAATAAATCAACCCTGAATACCTCAATCATCTTTTGTCGCCTTTATGGTTCCCAGACAGTACCGGACATTCCCGGGCAGCATTGGGCAGTACCCGGCGGACCGGGCTGTAATTAATATAACCGGCTAGTCTTGTAGGGTAGCAGACACTCACTTTCACCTTTCCAATAGCTATGGACCAGTCGACGGTAAGTGTCCCGAGAATGTTTTATTGTTAATATGAAATAGGCTCTGCCTAAGAGCAAACGCAAGTTGATCAACAAGATGCACATTTGAACTGCATGATTCATGTCTGCACCGAAGCGTGTTTTTAAAATTTGTTTTAAATTTCGCATAATTTTAACAAAACCTCGGCACATACATATGTATCCTTGGCGCATTAGTTTCGGACCCTTAAAAATCATTTTAGCTACTTACGCTGTCGATTAACTGCCATCAAATGAATACATACATGACTTGAAATGTGTTCATACTAATAAGATATATGCAGCGCCTAAAGGCGAGCGCAAGTTGGTCAACTAGATCCACATTTTGAACTGCCTAATCCATGCCTGCACTGAAGCGTGAATTTATTTTATATGTCGCAAGATTTTAACAAAACATCGGCACATATACATGTACCGATGCATCATCATCATCATCATCATCATCATCATCATCATCATCATCATCATCATCATCATCATCAAGTGTGATTTGAAATAATAGTTTCCGTATGTAAATAAGTCATGCACATACATTCATACAAAATGAAGACAGACAAAAAAGAACAAAACAAAAGACGACAAGATAATGCAAAGTGTGACATTATCCCCGCCCCCTGCTGTTTAAAAGAAAGGCACATAATCATATATATACAAACAGAAATTAAACTTGTAACATCAACATATATAGTTAATGATGATACGCAAGTGATAATATAAAGAAAATTGTTTGACGTCATAGATTCTTTGCATAGTTACATTGCACTGAGGAGCAGCTAAGCTGTGAAAACGTTATGCAAAATGTTAACTTAACTTTTTCTTGTGTGTTTTTTTTTTTTAAATTTATATATATATATATATATATATATATGTATATATGTTGATGTTACAAGTTTAATTTCTGTTTGTTATCTTTAATAGTTCTATACAAAGTATTGAAATGGAGAACTTGTACTAAAGTACTAGCTTGATGTATGTACAGAGTTTGGAGCAATGGGTAATTACCTTGAACGGTTTAAGAGAACTGATCTGAAAGAAATGAACTTTGTGATTTGGCCTATCTGTTTCCATTGTAACAGAAAAAGTATTTAAATGGTGAACCTCACCATAGCAAAAGATACTACTAGCTTGATAAGCGTTGATAAGTTTTGAGCAATTATCTGGAATGGTTTCTGAGCACTGGTTCAGAAAAACTGAAATTTGTGATGAGGGTTACCTGTTTCTTCAGTAACAGAACATTTGATTAATAAAGTCTTTGATAACATATCTAGTCTATAAAATTGATAAAAAATCTTCAAAATAAATGTACAAGAGTTTCCCTTTCAGAGTTACAGAGATTGCAGAGAGGAGTATCTATCATCTTTGCTGTAAAATAGCAATGAGTTTGTAATCAAAATATAGTGAAAGACAATCTGATTTTAGTCAGATTTGTAAAGGTGGTCTTTATATGTATAACCAGTCTTTGGCAACATATCTAGACTATAAAATAGACAACATATTGATAAAAATCTTTAAAATAAATGTACTAGAGTTTCCCTTTCAGAGTTACAGGAATTGTATAGAGGACTATCTATCATCAATGCTTTAAAAAAGAAATAAGTTTGTAGTTAAAATATGGTGAAAGACAATATAGTTTTAGTCAGATTTGTAAAGGTGGTATTTATATGTTTAACCAGTTTTCATTATTAAAATCAGGATGTTCTTAACCACTTTTTTCTTTTCTCTTTGCTATTGAGAATTTTTGTTCTGTTAATAAACAGATCATAAAATGCTTTAGAACCTTCAGTTTTTTAAGCAATGTTGACATGTCTTGGTGGAGAAAAGAATAAAGTTGTAAACAATGCTGAGACTATTCAGTTATACATTGTAATTCAGAAAACCAATACAAGTATATATAGTGTATTCAAATTAATTTGTAAATAAATATTCTTATTAAAGTCACCAAAATTACATAAACTGCCTTTTTCTTGGGGGGGGGGGGGGGGGGGGGGAAACTCACCAATAATATTTATCTTATCATTGTGCCTTATAAGTGTTCGCTGGGAAATTTCTAAATATTCAAATACTTGATCATAATTAATTTCAAACAGTTGTCAAACATCCACATCTTGCAGTTTTAATGTTGTTAGGCGACAGAACAGGTTTTATGCTGAATCGGAACCTTTTGACTGCTTTTGTGTAAGAGAAGATGTATTTCTCATTACAGAAAGTGACCAAAGTTCCTGAAGCATAAACCAGAAATGAGATACGTCCGAGAACAAATGTGCTCTAATTTTGAATGGTAAAAATTGTAATTTTTCAAAGAGATTTTTGTTATATGAGTTTTAAACCATCCAAATGTTTGTTAAATTTATTTCAATTATTTAAGACTTTAAAGTATGTTTTCATTTGCACATGAAAGCTTGCAATGATACTTTGTCAGTCAAAATCTTTCATAATTCATTCAACAGGTTAACTGTTGTGTGCTGCGTTAAGGATATTGTCGGTAATGAAGTTCCAGCCACACTTCTGTTTAAAGTTGATCGTATTGGCAGCTTAAGCTTGTTGATTTTTAATTATCACATGCGGTATCATAATGCACTCATTGCGCTCACTATTATTCATAAAATAAAAACTGTAACATATACATTTCTTCTGTTTTAACTTTTGAGTGGTGTCGTGGTAGCCCTTTGGAATACTAGCCACATCATACCATTTGGGTAGAGAAAACTTTACTTAAGCTGTTGCGCGTACGCCTTGTAAACCAGATGTACAGTACCGGGTTTGAATCCTAGCAGAAGTATTGAAATGATTACTGACCTCTGAAACATTGGGGCCCATAGTAGGGATTCGGGATTAAAACTTATGATTACTGTCGTAAGACCCAGAGGTTCCAGGTTTGAATCTTTGTAGAGGCATTGAAATAAATAATAACATCTGTTACATTGTTATTATGTTTTTCAAGTTTTTCCAGAATGCTCCATGTAAACCATTAAAACGGTGAGTACTAGAGGTGTGTAACAGTAGGGAAGTGGTGGTATATGACATTTTATCCCCATCCAAAAGTCAAAATACAATATGCATGTATCTAATGTGAAAAAAAAAAAAATCTTTCTTTAGCCATGCGTAAACTTAATGACATTGGCCATGTATTTTCTCGGTATATATACTGTATATGGCATTTTTTTAACTGTGTACAGTCAGCTGTGTCATCAGTTAGAAGAAAATCATCGGAAACCTATTTATCTCAAGTTTTTTTTTTTTTTTTTGCAGTCTGCTATGTCATCAGATAGAAGGTAGTTATAAGGGACCTATATATTTTTTAGCTCTCATGTTTCCTCGGTCATCATCGGCCGAGTGTAAACTTTCCATTCAAGTGAATTTTTCTCAGTAACAGCATTCTTAACATTATATCTAAATATAAAATCACACTCAGGGTACACTTTAAGGGTTCTGGTATTGGGCCTGTAGCATAAAAGGATAAAGGGCTACCAAGTTTACAAGGGTTGAATATGTTTAAAATCTTTAAACGACTTCTCAATAATCAAAATGCCCAGGAAGCTGTAGCCTGTAGCATGCTAGGGTGTAGGGCAACTAGGTAATATGAATGGCCTTGACCCACTTTTAAGGTAATAGCAGTCAAGTGTGTCAAAATCTTCTTCTGAATAATTGATAGGCCCATGGTACTGATAGTGGGCCTTTGGTATGCTGGGATGAAGGGCTACCAAGTTTGTTAAAATTTAATACCTTGACCCAGAGATCTGGGATGAAGGGGTACTAAGTTTGTTCACCTTGACCTATTGTCAAGGTCACAGGGTCAAATATGTTGCAATGCGTAAGCAACTTCTTCTCAATAACCATAAGTCAAAGGGTCTTGATATTGGGCCTGTAGCATGCTTTTTTGTCAAGCAATATGTCTGGAGTAATAAATAAATGGCATTTGTGTAGTGCATTTATAAAGATTATGATTTCAAGTTTACAGAAAATGTCTTTATAAACCAACCAATGTCTTTGATGTAAGCTGTAGTGTAGTTGAGTAATCTATTTTAGGCCTATTTGATCTCTTTCACATGTAGGACGTTGCGGTCAAATGAACCCTTAAGATCAGTGGGTCTCTTGTTTGCATTCCAATTAGTATTGCTGCAGTTTAAAAGTCTTCTTGAATTTGTTTTGTTAATCTAGGCCATGGCCTTTAAATTATGAAAGGCTGTTTTGTGCATTACAGATAACCAAGCCCACTTATTGACCCCCGTTATTGGCTGGTTAACTTTTGTAGTCTGGAACATATTACATAGCATATCAACATTGTTCAATAATGCATAACTTGTGCTTTTACACTTAAACTTTGTTTTAGAATAGTTATTTTTTAACAATTGTATTTCGTTGTCAGGTGTAGGACAAAAAACTTTAAATCTCATGGTTAGTTTTCCATGATAAACGTTATTGCTTTATGATTAATTCAGTCTGTTCAGCAAATGATCATAAAAAGAGAAATGAAATGTGACTTACGCATAAAGATCATACAATGGTGGTCAATAATTTAAGATGCTGCAGGGATTTCTTCCCTCTTCATGTCCTTTTAATAAAGTGTGATATGTATAAATCTTTTCCGTTTAATTCTGTAGGTTTACAACCTGTTGGATAACTGTATAACATATGAATGATATGTACATAATTAATATCTAATCTTATCAACACTAACTGTAACCAGGAAAAATATAATCCTCCTCCTCTTGTCTTTTATAACAAAATCTTAAATGAGAAAGAAAACCATAAGCTTTTAGGACATTTATTCAAGTCAAACAAACATGGAGCAACCTACAGATCTCAGATGTTTTTGAAAAATCATATAAAAGATTAAATGTTTTAAGGATGCTCAAATATAAGGTTAATCCTCTGCCAGTTGCCAAATAATGCTAGTGGTTTAAATCAAGATAAATTTGCTAATCATGTATCTACTGTTCCATCCTGCACTTATGATCATCCATGTAAAAATACAGAACACTTCTTCTATTGTCGCAATTATTCTTACTCCAAATATCTGACCAGGGACATGTGTACTAAATTGCCTTTATTAAGATTTCTCAACCTTACTGTCTTGACTTATGGTAATTGAAATTCTGATTTGTGATCACCACCACCACCACCACCACCACCACCATTATGTGACAAAAATATATTTTCCATATATGTACAAATGCTGAATCATATTGATACATGTATTATAATTATTTCTTAAATCATGGTTTGATTTTATTAGCAATTACAAATACAAAATGTATCAGTAATATTGTAGTAATATTTTCCAGTTTAATCTTCTACCGCCAGTAAAAAGGTTTTATATGTATCATTCATTCTGTAGCAACCATAGACTTGGTTCTGTATGATATTGACTACTGGTATCATATCTTAAATCCCAGATAAAATGCCTTATAAACAGTATATCTTGAAGACATTCATTGCAAAAAATAGAATGACAGCCAATGTCATACACCTTAAGAATAAATTATTAGAAAGACTGTTTTTTCAACAAGAATTTTAGTAGAACAAAACCTTATATACTCCTGTAATAAAAATATTGTTGAATATATCCAGTATATCAGGACTTTTTGACATGGGTTAGGGATGAGCTATTTTGCGTTATTTTTGGTAAGAAAATTTATGCATAAGGAAGGAAATTTTTCAGGAATGAATTGCAAGTTTAGGGAATTTGACTTAATATGAAATAATTTCAGTTGTAAATGAAGCTGTTATTGCCCCCGCCTTTACCCTCAATCCCCTGGAAGTCTCCCATGTATTATATGAAAATTTAACCTATGTGATTGTTTGTTCGTCTGTTTGCTAAGTCACCTGATCCACAATTGTGTTGAAGTATGCAGTATGCAGTATGCAGATCAGTGTGTCTGCAACAGCTGTACATGTGTTGATATAAGTTTAAGTTGACATAGTTTAAAAAATCAGCTATCAGCTTTAACTGTATAGTACCTGTATTTCTGATATTAACTTTACAGGTGCAATCAAGGACACCAGTAAAGATAATGCAGTTGTCATATAATTGACCCAGCAGCATCAGTTGACATCTTTATCATGATTTGTTAACCGTTCATCAGCTCAATCATGAAAAAGTAGCAGATTTGGACTTATGAAATGGATAACGGTATCAGAGTTTAAACATGTAAGGTCAACATCGGGAACTGTTGTGATATATAATGTTAATATAGAACGTGTGTGTGATACATCCTATCCTCATGTGAGATTCGTGATATCTGTACAGAGCTTCAGGTATTTGTGTGTCAAGCACGACAATCTGTAATAGGTAGATCAGGTAGTTATGCTAAACCTACATTGAGAGAAGACAAGGGGTAAGTACTGTTAAGTATCAAGGTCTATATTTTCATTATCTAAACTACATTTTCAATTTTTCTGTCTTATTATTTTATCAAAGTGTAGAAGATTTTCTAATTAGTCAAAGATAACCTTAGAAACTACAATAACACTATAAAGTTGAATGATGTCACTAAGTAAAATGTATATAATGCGTCTTTATCTAAATTGTTGATATGATGTATATTGAATAATTGTTATGTATTCTTAGTTGCCTTTTTAAAAATAACTGACAGATCAAAATCAAAGTGAATTAAAACTGCTTGTTAGATTACATTATATAACAAAGTCACTTCTATTATTAGATTAATGAATTTTAAATGAAAATTATAAATTTCCTGTTTCTAAGGTTCGTTGTATTGATAATTAAGACTTATATAATATTCACAAATTGAAACATCAGTACAGAAGTAAGGTTTTGGATCAGATCTGTTTAATGAAAAAAAAATTGTATCTGATTAAGTCAGTAAGCAATGTAATAAAACAATTAGCAATTGATTGCAGACACCAAAACACAATGGCACTTATGAGGGGGATCCTGAGTGGCTTGGGCCGTGGCCTGAGAGCCCCTGTTCGGCAGGGACTCTGGACCACCTCCAGCAGACAGTACAGTGAGGAGACTGTGACTAGCGATGGAGAGAACAGGCCATCAGTAAAGGTGCCGTCCAGTGCTAGAGTAGTCATCTGTGGTGGCGGTGTTCTTGGGACATCCATCGCTTACCATCTGGCTGAACGGGGCTGGACTGATGTAGTGTTACTAGAGCAGGGGAGGTAATGTCTCATGATTATACTGCTATACCAATGACATTTTACCTCTTTGTTACAACTTGTGTAAACTGAACATAGATTGGACCAACAAATTTATGCAATTAGACTTAGTATATTTATCCATCAACAACCCAGGGGGCTAGGGTACCTATTCTAACTCAAAGTGAAGGAGTAGGATTCTTACAGGGCAATGAAACAGCATCTGTTTCTACTGATCCGTAATGTATTCAGGTAGGCTTAGTACCAGGCATAGGCATATTGCAGGATAGATATGGTTGTTTAAGTCCTAGAGTGAAAAGTTATTGACTACTAATGAGTTTGTTGTATAACTTTGAAGAGTGTTAACTCTAGATCTGTGTTAAAAACTTAGAGGCATCTGAGAACTTCCTGTATTATCAGATTATAGAAGGATCGATGTCATCACTGACATAAAAAGTAGATAAAGGTGTATTAATATACTGCTATCAAAGTCGTATCACTTGGTTAATTCTTTATCTGTAATATGTTATCAGTAGGACGGTGACACTTTGGTATCATACGGTGTTCAAAGGACTAAGTGTACTGGGTAAAACTTTCAATGTATAGAAAGAAGCTTTCCAGTGGGGTAGTTATATAATAAAGTAGTGAAACAGATTTTTAAAAACTAGAAAAGATAGCCCTTTCCTATATCCTAAACAGGGTATATGTAACTTTTCATTGCTGCAGACTCAACTGAATTTGTCAGGTTAACCTGATTTGACCATAATGTTAGATTCACCTGCTTATCAACTAAAAAATTGAACCTTGTCATACCAAGTCAGCTAGGACATCGTACAGAGCTTCCTTGATGAAATATCTTGCTTCAGATTGCGTTTTAGGTGAGAGGTCAAAGGGCAAGGTAACTGTGATAAATACTCAAACCTCATACAGTGCTTCCTTGAAAAATTGTTTGCTTGTGATTCCTTCACGTGTCTGGAAGTCAAAGGTCAAGGTCGCTTTTTCTTTGAATAAAAGATTATTTTGTACACATTTTATCAGATCTATTGGGCTGATTTATCTAGGGCTTCAACCTGTAACTGCTGTGCCTCCTTGAAAAATGTTTTTATTTGGGATTGCATTCCAGACTCGAGAGATTAAAGGTTTAAGTTAGTTACTGTAAAGAGAAAATCAGACTTAATATGAACAATTCCTCAAGTTTAATGTTGCTGATTTATCTATGACTTTACCCAGTGCTTCTTGAAGGAAGTCCTGGCTAAGGATTACTTTTTAGGTTCAGATGTCAACATCATGGTCACAGTTGCTATAAACAGAAAATTGTTTCACACAATATCATGGATATCTTATGACCAATTCTGCGCAGGCTTCATAGAGTGCCTCCTTTAGGAAGTTGCTTGCTTACTTACTGAATAACCTTTGAGAACTGCATTTCATTATTTCTCCATACCCTTGCTTAATTTTTGCTAACCTTGCATAATGATTGTGGCCAGTCTTTATACTTCATCTATCTAGTACTTTTCTTTTACATTCATAGATATTAATATTGGTATGGAACAGATATCTGTTAACTGTATTATAGGCTTACATGTGGCACTACCTGGCATTCTGCTGGAATGATAGGCCAGGCCAAGGATGAAGTGGAGGGGTCACAGCTTGTAGCTTACAGTAGACAGCTTTACAAAGATTTAGACAAAAGTCATGGAGTTGGTAAGAATCTGTATGTCATTCTAGGGAACTGTCTCAGAATCGTTCTGTAGCCTATATTCAATGCCTTTTAAGAGTCACAGAGTCGGTAGGCATAGTTTTATCTCCATTATTAGACAAATGTCACAGTGTTGGTAGGCTAGCTTGTTCTTCTTTATTAGACAAATGTCATAGATTTTGTAGGCTTACAATTTGTTCTCAGTCTCTTACTAAACAAGTGTCAAAGAGTTGATAGTTTTGGAATAGTTTTTCCAAAATATTACCATGGCAACAATGTCATCTTTTGATTGGTTAATTTATAAGGGTTTTCAGTAATTGCAATTATAATTGTACCATTTATAAGAAAATAATTGACTGACAGGGTAAGTAAATCATTATAAACTATAATTCAAATGCTGGGGTTATTATTTAGTTATCCTATAGATGACCAGTCAGATTTGTATTGTATAGATTGGTTAACAAATAAATGCTCTTAGCCATCAAATTATCTATAAATAATGGTTATCTTTTTAGGATGGAAGGATTGTGGAAGTGTTTTTGTAGCACAGACTAAAGACAGGTTGACATTTTTGCAGAGGAAAAATGCTATTGCACTGTGAGTACCAGAATATGTACAACTTAATTTATCTCTAGTATCATATTGTAGAATCAGTGAGAGAATGAGTGTGGCATATCATTGGCAACACTCTTATCACCTTTATCAGACAATTGACCAGTAAAACATAAGTAAACTGAAAAGTAAATAACTTTATCTATGTTACAACCATAGTGAATCAAGTCATTCAAACTTTTATTGGTCATTCTTGTTGGCCTGGATAAAAGTGCATGTGGACTTTTAATGTGTGAGGAAACCAGAGAACCTGAGGAACACCCTGAGGTCCGTTCCAGGAATCCAACCCCAAACACCGAGGTGAAAGGCGAATGCATTACCACTGAGCCACCGACCACAAGCTCATTTCTTGTAATGTTCCCACCTGCATCTACTGAAATTTTGTTAAAATAGCAACAAAGTTGCCCAATAACAATTCCATATCTTTAATTTGAGGTATACCCTATGTGTTAGGTCTTCAAGGTTTATTACAGGACAAATGTAGTATGACAATAATTATGCTACATTTTTATATCTGAAAACTGTTGTAATAACTTTATGATGTCCTCTTTTACAGAGCCACAGGGATTGAATCCCACATTATATCACCAGAAGAAGCAGGGAAGCTGTGTCCATGGATCAGAACTGATGATTTGGCTGTAAGATTTGTGAACTAGCATAGGACAAATTTGAAATACCAACTATCATTCAGGAATCGGTTGTTTTCATTTCATATTTGTAGTTGGTTTGATCGACAATTGAATGACATTTAATGTTTTAATGAACTTACTGATTGTAAGCTGTAGAATGAATCATTTGTTGCAAGTAGCAAAAGCCAAATTTTCAAACTAAAGAAAAGGGCACATTAGATATTTATTTAGATACAGCAAAATGCCATGATTTTATACAGAAAGTAGACGTGATGTTAAACTTGTGGATAGCTGCAAATCTTCTGTATATATCTTAACTATCCTGCAGTACAATTGTCATGACCTAGTATAAATAACTCTGAGAGTAGACATTTCTGTTTATGTAACCACCAGGGGGCACTGTGGGTGCCAGGAGATGGAGCTGTCACCCCTCCAGATCTTGTAACAGCTTTCACCTCCATAGCCAGAGGGAAAGGTACTTAACCTTTATATAAATCTTAATAAAGTTGTCAGGTTAATGAATGCTTGTAATCATATGCTATGGGATATTGACATATAACTTCTTCCCTTTTATCTTCAGACATATTGAACCAGAGATTTTAACAAGAAACTATTCAAGTGCTAATTAGATAATGAATGATTTTGTTCTTGGTCTTTCAAAATAAAAAGTTTACCAACAAATCTTCAATGAATATTAAACACTTTCCAATTTACTGCAGTAATCCAAAAATCAATGTTCGAAATTTTCAGCAGTTGTGATAAAGAAGTCCAATGTCATTGTAACCATTGTCCAGATACCTGGTAAACAGCAATGCAGTTTGAACACTAGAAATGGACATCAATTTGTCTGAATAACAGTTAACTATGAAACCTGGTATACACTGCTTCATATTTTGACTTACTCTTTAGGAGTGAAGATCATGGAAGGCATTAAAGTTGATAAGATTCATACCAAGAACGGGCGAGTATCACAAGTGACTACATCCCATGGTGATATTGACTGTGAATATTTTGTCAACTGTGCTGGGCTGGTGAGTCCAGTTATACATCAATACTGAACTATGATATTGTCATATTCATAAATGTTTATATCAGGTAAGATTTGAAATTAAAAGAAAATATTATGCTCCCTCACAAAATCATTTGTCAGATTTCTCGTTCTTTGTAACCTTGATTGATCAATATTAGTTATACTAATACTATCACACATACTCAATTACCAACTAAATGGAATACATTTTCTCATATTAAACACTATTCTGCTGCAACTGTTGACTGTACATTTGATTCCTGTCTAACTTGTAAGTTATACTTGGAATAGATGTTTAATACCAAATATAACCCATTAAACTTGTGTGAAACAAATTAGATATGTAGAATGAGGATTACTTTCTTTGTAAAATTATTTACATTGTCCTTTAATATTTGTTGGCTGACAGTGGGCAAGAGAAGTAGGGACAAAGTCGGAACCAAATGTGAGAATTCCACTTCATCCTAATGAACATTTCTACCTGGTCACAGCACCAATAAAAGGGTTGGACCCTTTGATGCCTGGTAAGCACCTATCTACACTTTCACTTCATTCTTTGTTAAAAGTGCCTGGTAATCAAAAAATTATGGTTTAGTGGGAAGGTAAGAGACCTTTTATTAAAAAAATTATGACATTCAAATGAAAGTTCATTTTTCTTCTCAAAACTCGTAAGATATCTTCCTTTACAATATCTAATGAGATTCTCTTTTGACATTTCTGAAATTATTTTTATTTATCCCCTTTACCACTACAGTTGTCAGAGATCATGATGGCCTGATCTATGCCCGAGAATGGAGTGGAGGTTTACTGGCTGGAGGCTTTGAACCCAGAGGCAAACCAGTCTTTCATAACGGAATTCCTGATAAATTTGAGTTTCAGCTTCTCCCAGAAGACTGGGATCATTTCCGTAAGAATTTTGACGATTATAAATAGCTTCTAGTTAAGGAATGTCCAATCGCTAGGCTTTAACAACAGTAGTTGAATCTTTTGTTGTTTTGTCATTTTAGATTTTGTATTGGATTTTCTCAAAAATCGAACAAAATTCTTTATTACCCCCATCATGTCATCTAAACAAATTTGTACTGATATCGCCTACATGTATAGCAAAATGTAATGTGGCCATGGTGACCTTCATGTTTTAGGTTCAAGGTCAAATGAATATGTAAATATACACAACTTACATGTGGTAGATTGGTCTCTAATGCAAGTATTATCCTTGGTTTACCTTGATTTCCTTAATTACATTATTTGAACGAATGTAATTTTAGGTCATAATGATGAAAAACAGAAAAGACTTTCACTTCAGTTTTCGTTATGAGGAAAATGGTGTCACTAATATTACATCAAATGTAGTCATCTCAATTACTATTTTAAGGTACATTCTACATCTTAAGTTCCAATTAAAGTACAATGAATTTCATTACGAATTTTAAAAAAATCACCCGAATTTAAGCCATTTGCTCTTTACAACTTTAGAGGTGCTTTTGGACCCAATTCTGCATCGCTTCCCCTGCATGGAGAGTGCTGAAGTAAGACATTTGGTGAACGGACCTGAAAGTTTTACTCCTGATGGCCACTGGAATCTGGGTGAATCACCAGAGGTAGGAATATCCAATCCACACTGTTAGTGGATTATGATTGATACAGCTGTAAACATTGAATTGTTTACAACATGATGACTCGATTAATTATATATACAGAAAATTTCAGGCACATAAGTGCTAGAATAAGATTTGATTATTTGGGAAGTTTTATAAAGGTATATATGTGATATCTTAACCTTGTGCTATAAACTTGCTGATGTGACATACAAAAAAGTTATTTATAGCAGGGGGTTTTCTCCTTCATGTTGATGAGTTTGATGAGATGACGGACTGGTAAGCAGGGTAAAATAGGCCATGTCAGATTTCTCTGTTGAAGTGTTTTCATTTTTATGATATGCAAGTAATGTCTATCATTTTAAAGGTATAAGTTGAAATAAAGTACATGTACCATGTTAGAGCTTTACAAGAAATACAATACAGATAAATAATTTACAATTCTGTATTTATTATGCTGAAAGTCCTTAGTGGCCAAAAATAAAAATAAAAAATAGAAGTAGGAGATCTATATAGGCTTATTACAGGACAATAATGCAAGATTTTCTCTCATTTCTGCTAAACCAGAGATAAATGTAGATGGGCTTTTTACCAAACTTGGGCTTATTAAGCGATAAATTACTTTATAGATCTATCTTACACAATCACTACTTTCCTGTTGGTAACTGGAAGTTTCATAGACTAATGAGATACCATAATGTTTATCAGGTGAAGAACTACTTTGTAGCTGCGGGTATGAACTCCATGGGTGTAGTTGGTTGTGGTGGGATAGGAAAACATCTCACAGAATGGATTATTGATGGCGAGCCAAGCATCAATCTTGCTGAGCACGATATCCTCAGATATGTTCCTCATCACAGTAACAAAAAGTTCCTCAAGGAAAGAGTGAAGGAAACCATATGTAAGTCCTGTTTATAAGATATAAATGAATGAATCAGGAAGAAATTGGTTTTTAGATTTGTACATTTTTATTTATCATTCCTATGACAATTATTATTAGTTTTTTACACCTGGTTGATTTTGGTATTTACCTATCAAGGTTAAATGAAAAGTTACATGTCATATAATTTTTAACTTATTTTGAAGTGAAACATTATGTACAAGTCATCTTATGGTCCCTTCAGTAGATGTAGTTTATATATTCAGTGGTTTATAGCGACAGATTCTACGCAAGTTAATGAAGATTTGGTCACCTGGGCCTTGATTACTTTGTCAGCCATAGGAAATGATATTTTGTAATTATTAAGATAGGAAAAATTCACCTGAAAAGGTAAATTCATTGCCATCTTTCTTTTTAAACACCAGCCCTTTATAGTATGAAGTTCCCATATGAATACTGGGAGACAGGTCGTAAACTGAGAACCTCACCCCTTCACACCAAACTAGAGGTTGATGGTGCCTACTTTGGTGAAACCAATGCATATGAACGACCAATCTACTTTACAAGACCTGATGGTAAGTCACATCGTCATCAGTTATACCAATTAATTCCTGTAATTATTGTAATAATTGTTAAATATGTTTTCCAATATAGAGCTATTTGTCAGTCCATGTCCCATTGTATTTTTTTGCAAGAGTATCTCCGATTTTTACCCGGTTTCTGTCATGTACTTGAATTCTACATCTCTGTCTAGATTGTGGAACCTTGCATCCATAGTAGTTAACATTGTTCCTCTTTTCAAAGTTATAACAGGTGACAGGTATGAATATTTGTATCCACTCCTTTCTCCATCTAATGAGATTAAGGGGTTTATAGTTGTCTGTCTGTCTAGTTGTTGCAGTCTTTGTTTTTGATTAATTAATTAATTTCTATAGGAAATTTTTTGACACTTCAATTGGTAGTTTTACTTCTAACTCGTCTTGAACAGTTCATAGTATTTGATTTTGATCATTTCAAGGACATGGCCTGAAAAGATGGTATTTGACCGTTACACTCCTTGTCTTACTAGCATCTATTTGTCTTGACAGATTTTAATGAAACATGTATAATTTTTCCTTTCAATATACATTGAACAAGGTCACATGAAGGTGTAATCAATAAAAATTCAGTAATTTCTACTGAAAATAGAATTTCATCATCATACTCATTGTCATTACTCTGGCAGCCTAAGTTCCTTGATAATTTTGTTAAAATGTCTGAACGTTGGTCAATAGGACAAAGTCTTTATTGCAAAATGAGAAATTCACTGGTACTTTTTGTCATTATTGATGGTGAAACTTTATGAAATGCCTGGAGTATTTTTCCAGCAGAAATGGAAATGAATGGCAAAAAGAAGGAGAGAACTAACAAATATCAAGTTTCAGGATTAATAGATGGTATTTATAAATTCTGAAATCAATTATAGATGAAGATGTTGAACTTATGTCAAATTGTCTCTAAATAATTTAGATGAGATGGCAGATCAGTATCACCCTGGGAAAGGGTCCTATGGTAAACCACCATGGTTTGATAATGTCAAGGAGGAATACTGGGCTTGTAAAGAACGTGTCTGTCTCATAGACATGTCATCCTTCTCAAAGTTTGAAATCAAGGTGAGAAAAGTTCCGAAAGTACTTCAGAGTGCTAGATCAGAGATTTTTGAGAAGTTTTTCTGTTTGTAGTGGTGTCATTCTTCAAGGAGTTAGAAATTAAAGAATATGTGAGTACAGAAACATATACAGAAGGAGTATTCCAGTTTCATAAGAATATAAGAATTCAGTCGACAACAATTTCATAGTAGCATTATAGTCACACTGAAATTGAAATATTTTGATCATTTCAGAACAGAAGAAAATAGGAGATGTATGTAAATAAGTAAAATGGAAAGTCATTGATATTTTAATACTGGATAAAAGATTATGTAGATATAGCAATTACTGACAAATTGTCAGAGCGATTTAAAATGTTCAGCTCTGTAATACCCACAAAAATTTTTGTATATAAGTGAATTGATCACAAATAAGAAATGCTGTGTTTTATACACAAAACTGTAATAATTGTACCAAGTTTATTAAAAGTGACCTCCTCGTTGAATTTCTAGTCCAACGGCTCAGAAGCCTTGCAGTTCCTGGAATATTTAAGTTCCAATGACATTGAAGATAATGTTGGAGAAATAATTCACACAGGCATGCAGAATAATCATGGAGGATACGAGAATGACTGTACCATTGTACCTCTCGAACAAAACCAGTAAGTGTCAAGCTTGACTTCATAAAGAATTTTGTTAACTATCATCCACTCAGCAAAGTTTTACTTTTTGATTTCAGTTTTTTTCAACAGTGTTGGTAGAAGCTATGCTACTTTTGTTTGTCTACTCATAATTGTCTACTCATAAATTTTTTCCAAAGCACTGATACATCTTTTATAGCCAAATTTTCAATATCAGAATCCGATGTGTGCTTGCATTTCAAACTTTATTTACACATTTTTATATTGCTATCATGCATCGTCCATATCCACCATCTGTACATTTTTTTTTTAAACACTACTGTTGCTGATCCTGACCAATTATTTCAGAATTGTTCAGGCTATGAGGCTTGTATTTTGTACAGGTTGTCAGGATATTTATGCAGCATTTTTAGTATTGATTTTACATTATCCGTTTTTCCTTCTCAGTTTCTTCGTTATATCCCCGGCGTCCCAGCAGACCAGGTCCCTAGCATGGCTACAGAGATTCCAGCCTGATGATGGCTCAGTTCAGATACGAGACATCACTTCAGCATATGCAGGGATAAATGTAATAGGTCCTCACGCCCAGCAACTACTGGCCGATGTCACAGACATATCCACTTCACTGAAGGACTTCAAACCTATGACATGCAAGGTATGCACTGCTGAATTATACTTTCATGACATTGAATGGAGACTTCATCTCTTCATCCAAGATTGTAGTTTGTGACAGAAGTTAATGGGATATGGGGAAAGCAGATCTTTGTTTTTAAGGTGTTCATTAGAAAAGTGTCTGTTAAGTCATGTCGATTTATAAAAAACTAACTGCCTCCATTTCTTATTTTCACATTTACATCAGTGTCAGAATGTATATCAGTGTTAGAATGTATATCAATGTCAGAATGTACATTAATGATAGAATGTACAACAACATTAGAATGTACATTAATGATAGAATGTACAACAACATTAAAATGTACATTAATGATAGAATGTACATTAATGATAGAATGTACAACAACATTAGAATGTACGTTAATGATAGAATGTACAACAACATTAAAATGTACATTAATGATAGAATGTACAACAACATTAAAATGTACATTAATGATAGAATGTACAACAACATTAAAATGTACATTAATGATAGAATGTACAACAACATTAGAATGTACATTAATGATAGAATGTACAACAACATTAAAATGTACATTAATGATAGAATGTACAACAACATTAGAATGTACATTAATGATAGAATGTACAACAACATTAAAATGTACATTAATGATAGAATGTACAACAACATTAAAATGTACATTAATGATAGAATGTACAACCACATTAGAATGTACATTAATGATAGAATGTACATCAACATTAAAATGTACATTAATGATAGAATGTACATTAATGATAAAATGTACAACAACATTAGAATGTACATTAATGATAGAATGTACATCAACATTAGAATGTACATTAATGATAGAATGTACATTAATGATAAAATGTACAACAACATTAAAATGTACATTAATGATAGAATGTACAACAACATTAGAATGTACATTAATGATAGAATGTACAACAACATTAAAATGTACATTAATGATAGAATGTACATTAATGATAGAATGTACATTAATGATAGAATGTACATCAACATTAGAATGTACATTAATGATAGAATGTACATTAATGATAAAATGTACAACAACATTAAAATGTACATTAATGATAGAATGTACAACATTAGAATGTACATTAATGATAGAATGTACAACAACATTAAAATGCACATTAATGATAGAATGTACATTAATGATAGAATGTACATCAACATTAGAATGTACATTAATGATAGAATGTACATCAATGTTTTTATGTACTTCATTGCATGAATGTGCATCAATGCTAGAATGTACGTCAATGTCACAATGTACATCAGTATAGGATGTACATCATTGTTAGTACATTTTTATATGTACATCAATGTTAGAACGTACATCAATGTTAGTGTGTACATCAATCACCAAAGAGATCCCATGTGATAACTCTCTCTGGTTGTACAGGTGATAGATGTAAACTTCACCAAAGAGATCCCATTTGATAACTATCTCTGGTTGTACAGGTGATAGATGTAAACTTCACCAAAGAGATCCCATTTGATAACTATCTCTGGTTGTACAGGTGATAGATGTAAACTTCACCTGTGATATCTCCCTTTGATAACTATCTCTATCGGGTTTTACAGGTGATAGATGTGGGCTTTGCTAGTGATATCAGGGCCATGCGACTCACACATGGTGGAGAGGATGGATTTGTCTTGTATGTTCCCTCAGAGGTAAATTGTACCTTCTCACTCTTATATCGGTAAATAAAACTGATGGCTGCCAATAAGCAGAATTATTCTTACTTTATCCTTTGGAATGTACTCCACCTCTTCTCTTTACTTGGATATATTTATTCTGTATTAATTATGATTATACAAATCTGACTTAAGAAAATAACTTCAAAGTTCATGAATGTTAATTGTAAAATTGTAAAATTCCAATTTAAGTAAATATACCTAGCAATAAGTGAAGTAGTGTCAGTTTGATTTGCTTAAGATTTGATGGATAGTAGTTACAAATTGTTTGATTATACTTTTATAAAACAACTGAACAATTAACTTTTATATATTGCTCATTATAGCGTGTTGCATCTCTTTAAGATATCAGAAAACTGTTTTTTTAATGGATGAATGACAATTATTATAGAACTTTAAGAAAACGTCATAGGCATGTGTTGTATGTTATTGAGAGATGTTGACTCAGCCGACTTGTGATGTTTCATTCTTAGTATGCTCTTCATGTGTACGACACCTTGATGACAGCAGGGAAGGATTATGGAATTCGACATGCTGGATACTACGCGCTCAAAATGCTGCGCATTGAGAAGTTCTACGCTTATTGGGGTGGTGATCTAACTACCCATACCACTCCCCTTGAGTGTGGCCGTGACTTCAGGGTCAAATTTGATGTAAGGATCCATCAAATCTAGATTTCAATTATTTTTTCTTTTGAAGGATTATTCATAACCACCCTTGTAATTACTAAATTTTTGCATGCAGAATGACACATTATTTTGTATTGCAAATAATTTCAATTCCATAGAAATGTTTGATTTTCTGTATTTATCCAATAATAAACCAAAGTCTGGTTATAAGCCCAACCATATCTAATGCTTTTCAGTAGAATAACAAATCATCGCTATCTCACTATCCTGCAAAGATTCCCCAGTCTGACATTGAGACATAATTTCAATGTTATCCTCCTAGGCTTACTGCAGAATGAATAAAAATGGTAGTTGTATTGCCAATGTTACAACTGGAATTAGTATGTTCAGTTCTTTTTTACAGTGATTTTCATATAAACACATTAGTTGATTAGAAATTGTTTGTAGGATTAACAGTTTCACAGTATTTAATACAGTTCTGTAATATAGTTTATATTTGTCATCTTCAGAAAGGAGATTTCATTGGGAAGGAGGCTTTACTGAAGCAGAAGGAAGAGGGAATCAGTCAGAGGTTTGTCCAATTCTTACTGGAGGACTTTGATGTAGACAAGGATGTGTGGCCTTGGGGAGGAGAACCAATCTATCGTAATGGCAAGTTCTCTGGAACCACAACATCCAGTGGTTACGGATTCAAGTTGGACAAGATGGTGTGTCTTGGTTTTATCAGAGACTATGATGAACAGGGTAAGAGTGTTTTGTACAAGAACATGAACCAGTTTGTTTTAGACAGGAATGCAAAGTATGAGATAGCCATTGGTGGTCGGATGTTTGAAGCTAAAGTGAGACTCTACACTCCCAAGGCAGCATATTCAACCTCAGAACCTGTCTTCATCCCAGTTCCTTCCATGAACAAATAGAGGACTTCATCACCTCAGTGAATTTCAGTTCACTACCGATGGCGGAGATGCAAGATTGTAAGGTTCAAGTGATAGACAATCAGATATTCCAGAAATTTGCTGCTGCATCCTAGTGACCAATATTGATGACAAAACTTCTGAAAGAACTTGTTGAATTATTAACTTTCTCTATTTCACAACAATTGTCAAACAATCAAGGTTAAATCAGTTTTGTTGACCATGATGAAACTTGCGAGGTTCATGGGGTCAGCAGGTGACCTTGTGCCTTTTTTCATATTGAACTTGGGAGTCAAGTCTTATTGGCTTAGGTAAAAGATGATTTGGTTATCAATAACCAACCAAAATTGGTTGTCAAAAGAAAAAAACAAAATAAGGTTTTGTTAGAATCTAGCTCTTTTTGATTAGAAAGAAAACAGTTTTAAAACCACCACTGTTTGAGTCACAAGCATCAAATATCATTGAAAGTGTATTAATACTTTCCATCATGCTAGTAAGGCCAGATTTGCATGTTATAACTTCTTCTGTCTCCAAAGATTAGCATTTCTAGTTTCCATTCTTAGTACTACATTGTATTTAAACTATGTCAGCATTAAGTATCTGCAGCAAGGGAAACAATTTCCATTAGATTTTTTGATCATGGAGAAATGAAAGTTTAGTACAAAGTCCTCATAACTCATTGCCTCAAAACATTATTATATATTTTGGAGACTATGGATAGTAAACTATATGATCAAAATATTAAAATGATCAATAAACTCTTTGTAATCACAAAGTAACATTACAGAGTGTTTACAATACCAATATTGTACTAGATATATACTTATTAGAAGACTCTGAAGTTGATCTCCACAAGTGATGGTAGCTTCAAGGTAAAATGTAAGGGTACTTAACAAAAAAGTAATTTGATATTTGTTGTTATTCAATGAAAGCTGTTAATGTATTCAACATGAAAGCAACTTGTCTTGATCTTTAATCAAGACCCTAGAGTTGGTCCACATGTCTTTGGAAAGAAATTGATGCTGTGATAATGTGAGAACAAAACATTGTATATTACCTTTGATGTAAAGTAGAACAAATGTATACCACAGATATTTTATTTAGTATGATAACTACGTGTTTGGATGTAGTGTGACAGAAAGTGTTCTGACTTAGAATAATACAGGTCTTCTCCTATGGTTATTATTCTTGCTTTTTTAGTGAAAAGAAATCCTGAAGACGATTTCATGGATTCAAGGAGTGTTATTTCTCCTGTGTCTAAGTTATAGCCTGTCTTTTCATTCATTTAATGAGTTTATTTCCCCTGTGTCTAAGTTATAACCTCTCATTTCTTTGATAGAATGAGTGTTATATCTCATGTGTCTAATTGTTAGCCTCTCAGGACATTTTGTTTATCACATGTCAAGTCATTATTTTACAGAATTAGTGATTTATTTAACAGGATTTATGTTACAGTATGATGCACCTGTAGACTCTTGTGATTTTTGTTTTAATTAACAAAGCTTGATCTTTTGTAGACCGTTTATTAGTAAGAATGATCCTTCCTTCATTGTTCCATAACTACAGTATTGATATGTTGTGAATCAGGATAATCAGGTGATAGTGTATAGTAATTTGTTGTAGGGCATTTTAAACATGTGATAATGCTATTACAAATGTTAAAATCTGGAAATGAAATGTGGATTTTACTACAAATACTTACATTAGTATTAGCCTCTTTCCTGTCAACCCAAGAATAATTGCAGACATTGATGTGTTAATATTTGATAAGTTAGAGGGTAATTTACTACAGCCTAATTGATAATGAATTTACATGTATATACAAATTTAAATGCATAAAAAGAATAACCTAAACTTGATTCTTTAAGAAATTTGTACGATATTAAACTTATTTATGATCATGTTGGTGACATATTCAATGTTTTGCCTATATATCAGTTTCATTCATCCAATACAGTTCTATAAGAAAAGAAAGAAGATCAGTTGATATAAAATTCTTAAACCAAGTCTCAACAGGCCATGGAAAAAATGAAAATTATGTTGTTTTTTTTTCATAAAAATATATGAAGAGTGCTTCATAGGGTGAAAATAGTAAGTTTAAGTCAGTAGTTACTTTGTTTCTACTGCTGTTCAAACTTTCATATTTTGAAGTGTTGACAAAGATCATGAAAAGAAGGAATTGAGTTCAAGTCAGTTTCGCTTTCTGCTTATATTTTTTATTGTGTGTATTATCTCCTATTTAAATTGCCATTTATCTCTATTCGAGTCCCAGAACACATATACATCCCTTTATTTTTCTTGTATACCTACAAACATGATGCCTCCTTATATTATTATGTAGTCATGTTTCTTTTGATCTTGATAAAGTATGATGAAATATAATTTGTGGTTATGTTTTCTGTGTTCTTTATTCAGTCTAATGTCTTTTAATGAAATATGAGCAAATTAGGGAAAGCATATTCCTCATGGAATAACTGTTAACAAATTTGAATGTGAAAAATTGTTTTGGCGTTGTACATGATGTTCCCACTGTACAATATCAACATTGACGTTGGTATGATCTTCCCACTGTACAATATCAACATTGACGTTGGCATGATGTTCCCACTGTACAATATCAACATTGACGTTGGTATGATGTTCCCACTGCACAATATCAACATTGACGTTGGTATGATGTTCCCACCGTACAATATCAACATTGACGTTGGTATGATGTTCCCTCTGTACAATATCAACATTGACGTTGGTATGATGTTCCCACTGTACAATATCAACATTGACGTTGGTATGATGTTCCCACTGTACAATATCAACATTGACGTTGGTATGATGTTCCCACTGTACAATATCAACATTGACGTTGGTATGATGTTCCCACTGTACAATATCAACATTGACGTTGGTATGATGTTCCCACTGTACAATATCAGCATTGACGTGGTATATGATGTTTTCACTGCACAATATCAACATTGACGTTGGTATGATGTTCCCACTGTACAATATCAACATTGACGTTGGTATGATGATCCCACTGTACAATATCAACATTGACGTTGGTATGATGTTCCCACTGTACAATATCAACATTGACGTTGGTATGATGTTCCCACTGTACAATATCAACATTGACGTTGGTATGATGTTCCCTCTGTACAATATCAACATTGACGTTGGTATGATCTTCCCACTGTACAATATCAACATTGACGTTGGTATGATGTTCCCACTGTACAATATCAACATTGACGTTGGTATGATGTTCCCACTGTACAATATCAACATTGACGTTGGTATGATGTTCCCACTGTACAATATCAACATTGACGTTGGTATGATGTTCCCACTGTACAATATCAGCATTGACGTGGTATATGATGTTTTCACTGCACAATATCAACATTGACGTTGGTATGATGTTCCCACTGTACAATGTCAACATTGACGTTGGTATGATGTTCCCACTGTACAATATCAACATTGACGTTGGTATGATGTTCCCACTGCACAATATCAACATTGACGTTGGTATGATGTTCCCACTGTACAATATCAACATTGACGTTGGTATGATGTTCCCACTGTACAATATCAACATTGACGTTGGTATGATGTTCCCACTGTACAATATCAACATTGACGTTGGTGTGATGTTCCCACTGTACAATATCAACAATGACGTTGGTGTGATGTTCCCACTGTACAATATCAACATTGACGTTGGTGTGATGTTCCCACTGTACAATATCAACATTGACGTTGGTATGATGTTCCCACTGTACAATATCAACATTGACGTTGGTATGATGTTCCCACTGTACAATATCAGCATTGACGTGGTATATGATGTTCCCACTGCACAATATCAACATTGACGTTGGTATGATGTTCCCACTGTACAATATCAACATTGACGTTGGTATGATGTTCCCACTGTACAATATCAACATTGACGTTGGTATGATGTTCCCACTGTACAATGTCAACATTGACGTTGGTATGATGTTCCCACTATACAATATCAACATTGACGTTGGTATGATGTTCCCACTGTACAATATCAACATTGACGTTGGTATGATGTTCCCACTGTACAATATCAGCATTGACGTGGTATATGATGTTTTCACTGTACAATATCAACATTGACGTTGGTATGATGTTCCCACTGTACAATATCAACATTGACGTGGTATATGATGTTTCCACTGTACAATATCAACATTGACGTTGGTATGATGTTCCCACTGTACAATATCAACGTTGACGTTGGTATGATGTTCCCACTGTACAATATCAACATTGACGTTGGTATGATGTTCCCACTGTACAATATCAACATTGACGTTGGTATGATGTTCCCACTGTACAATATCAACATTGACGTTGGTATGATGTTCCCACTGTACAATATCAACATTGACGTTGGTATGATGTTCCCACTGTACAATATCAGCATTGACGTGGTATATGATGTTCCCACTGCACAATATCAACATTGACGTTGGTATGATGTTCCCACTGTACAATATCAACATTGACGTTGGTATGATGTTCCCACTGTACAATATCAACATTGACGTTGGTATGATGTTCCCACTGTACAATATCAACATTGACGTTGGTATGATGTTCCCACTGTACAATATCAACATTGACGTGGTATATGATGTTTTCACTGCACAATATCAACATTGACGTTGGTATGATGTTCCCACTGTACAATGTCAACATTGACGTTGGTATGATGTTCCCACTGTACAATATCAACATTGACGTTGGTATGATGTTCCCACTGCACAATATCAACATTGACGTTGGTATGATGTTCCCACTGTACAATATCAACATTGACGTTGGTATGATGTTCCCACTGTACAATATCAACATTGACGTTGGTATGATCTTCCCACTGTACAATATCAACATTGACGTTGGTATGATGTTCCCACTGTACAATATCAACATTGACGTTGGTATGATGTTCCCACTGTACAATATCAGCATTGACGTGGTATATGATGTTCCCACTGCACAATATCAACATTGACGTTGGTATGATGTTCCCACTGTACAATATCAACATTGACGTTGGTATGATGTTCCCACTGTACAATATCAACATTGACGTTGGTATGATGTTCCCACTGTACAATGTCAACATTGACGTTGGTATGATGTTCCCACTATACAATATCAACATTGACGTTGGTATGATGTTCCCACTGTACAATATCAACATTGACGTTGGTATGATGTTCCCTCTGTACAATATCAACATTGACGTTGGTATGATGTTCCCACTGTACAATATCAACATTGACGTGGTATATGATGTTTCCACTGTACAATATCAACATTGACGTTGGTATGATGTTCCCACTGTACAATATCAACGTTGACGTTTATTATGCAAAAACGAAATGTGTGATCTGATCTCCGGTATGTGCATAAAAACAAGTATACTATTCCCATTCTAAAAACAATTTGAGTATAAAAGTGTTGTAGTTTTCTCAATATCAACGAAATTAAACAAAATCCCTCACAATTTTGTCCTTAATTGTTCCTCACGTCGTCTTAGCCAATCAAAACGCTCCTTTTAATCACTGGTGACGTAGAAGCTCCAGAAATTTTGACATAACCGACAAAAGTTCAAATTTAGATAACACATTTAAGCATATCGTTGTATTCAATTTTCCTATGTCAATGTCGATCATCCGACTCCATTGAGGTCGCCGCTATTTGTGGGCTAGCGTCAGAATTCATGGGTATATCGGGGATTCAATAAAGAAATTTGTCCGATAAAAAGAGGCCTTACATAATCATTATCTTATAATTTAAAATATCACATAGTGAGTATCACCTTTTAATAGTATTATGGATTTAAACTTCATTATGTACATCATAAAGCTGTTTGATCTTTCTTATCCCAAATTGTCAAAACCTGGGGAATGACGGAGGAAGATTCAAATTGGTTGAACTAATATCAAATCCACACAAGAGTATGTTATAATTGAAATTTCAATAACTGTCATAATTAATTTCAATTTTGATTAATATCAAAATATGTCAAGTACACGCGCACTAAATAAATAGGAGCTACCATTCGAATGAAAATTTTGCATGCAGGTTATGACAAACCTCAGGGACCAAGGTCTAACTGCAGTGTCTACTACCCGCGGTATCAAAGTCTGTACAAACACATACAATTGAATACCTTCAATACAGTTCAGAATAGGTACAGCCGATTAATGAATTCAGTTGTAGTGGTAGCTGTTTCGTCCTTCTTGGATTCGTCAGTGATGTCAAGGGTCAAAATTGTTGCAAAGTTTTTCTATGTATTGACATTAATCGGCATTTTTATAAAGCTTCCCTATACTATAACCCGTCTAGTTAAGTTGGTTTGATAAACGTACATGACTTGTCCACATTGTCAATAAATATGCGTCATTAATTTTGCATTCGGATCACAAAAACTCTGCATCTATTGGAAACATTCCTCAAGTCTCTGAAATTGCCTACTTCATATACATCATGCATATGCACTGTTAAATTAAAACTAGGGCAGAGAATGAACAAAAGCAAGATTCTCATGGAGAATCCCGAAAAAAAGTAAGACTAGGTGTTCTGAAGGAGTGAAGTTAGAGGCGCAAAAAGGTCATAGACAATACACTAGTCTTTCTAAGGCCGATTCTTTCTCTCATTTCCCTCAATAACTTCCATTTAATTTTTATGATTTTGGTAAGACAGAATATTAGTTGAATATTAAGATATTGGTACGACACAGCTTAATGTATTAATGGTCATTGCATTCTATCTTATTTAAAGTATTAAATGATGCTAATCACTTGTTTGTCTTTTGTACAACTTTCACAAATTGATCATGCTACTTCTTCAATGAGTGAAAGAAATTACTGTGAACGTTTTATCTTCGTCTAATTCGAAGAAATTTCCATTGAATTGACCATCCTCCGCTGGAGCATATCACTTTTAGTACAGAATTTGATATTCTGGTATGTTGGGATATCCGTTCTGTATTTCTCTTGTACAGTTGAAACATACCGTCAGATTCATTTATTCCGTTAATTCCTTAACCAATCACAAACACTATTCAACGTAGCTTTATGGAACTAGACCTTCAATCAATTTTGAAGTGTAGTAGTGTCCTTTTTAAAATTACAATTTTTACGTGTAATTTGCCTGTCACCATATAAGCAATTTGCCAAAATCACAAATTTTGCTATGTCATATCTTTATTAAAATATCGTCCAAATTGCCGTTTATTATGATGTGAACTTCTTATTCAATATGCTGCCGACGCCTCCCTTCTATCTGACGGCAATAGTCAATCTTTATACACTGCAGTTGAGTTATTGGAAAAATTTGCCATAGCATCAGGATTCTGTACTTTTGCCACATCATACAGCTATTTCGTCCTTCTAGGACTCGTCAGTGATACTATATCATACAACTGTTTCGTCCTTCTAGGACTCGTCAGTGATACTATATGATACAGCTGTTTCGTCCTTCTAGGACTCGTCAGTGATGCTATACGATACAGCTGTTTCGTCCTTCTAGGACTCGTCAGTGATACTATATCATACAGCTGTTTCGTCCTTCTAGGACTCGTCAGTGATGCTACATCATACAGCTGTTTCGTCCTTCTAGGACTCGTCAGTGATGCTACATCATACAGCTGTTACACTAGTCTTTCTAAGGCCGATTCTTTCTCTCATTTCCCTCAATAACTTCTTTGTTCCATTAAGAAAAAAATAATTTTTATGATTTTGGTAAGACAGAATATTAGTTGAATATTAAGATATTGGTACGACACAGCTTAATGTATTAATGGTCATTGCATTCTATCTTATTTAAAGTATTAAATGATGCTAATCACTTGTTTGTCTTTTGTACAACTTTCACAAATTGATCATGCTACTTCTTCAATGAGTGAAAGAAATTACTGTGAACGTTTTATCTTCGTCTAATTCGAAGAAATTTCCATTGAATTGACCATCCTCCGCTGGAGCATATCACTTTTAGTACAGAATTTGATATTCTGGTATGTTGGGATATCCGTTCTGTATTTCTCTTGTACAGTTGAAACATACCGTCAGATTCATTTATTCCGTTAATTCCTTAACCAATCACAAACACTATTCAACGTAGCTTTATGGAACTAGACCTTCAATCAATTTTGAAGTGTAGTAGTGTCCTTTTTAAAATTACAATTTTTACGTGTAATTTGCCTGTCACCATATAAGCAATTTGCCAAAATCACAAATTTTGCTATGTCATATCTTTATTAAAATATCGTCCAAATTGCCGTTTATTATGATGTGAACTTCTTATTCAATATGCTGCCGACGCCTCCCTTCTATCTGACGGCAATAGTCAATCTTTATACACTGCAGTTGAGTTATTGGAAAAATTTGCCATAGCATCAGGATTCTGTACTTTTGCCACATCATACAGCTATTTCGTCCTTCTAGGACTCGTCAGTGATACTATATCATACAACTGTTTCGTCCTTCTAGGACTCGTCAGTGATACTATATGATACAGCTGTTTCGTCCTTCTAGGACTCGTCAGTGATGCTATACGATACAGCTGTTTCGTCCTTCTAGGACTCGTCAGTGATACTATATCATACAGCTGTTTCGTCCTTCTAGGACTCGTCAGTGATGCTACATCATACAGCTGTTTCGTCCTTCTAGGACTCGTCAGTGATGCTACATCATACAGCTGTTACACTAGTCTTTCTAAGGCCGATTCTTTCTCTCATTTCCCTCAATAACTTCTTTGTTCCATTAAGAAAAAAATAATTTTTATGATTTTGGTAAGACAGAATATTAGTTGAATATTAAGATATTGGTACGACACAGCTTAATGTATTAATGGTCATTGCATTCTATCTTATTTAAAGTATTAAATGATGCTAATCACTTGTTTGTCTTTTGTACAACTTTCACAAATTGATCATGCTACTTCTTCAATGAGTGAAAGAAATTACTGTGAACGTTTTATCTTCGTCTAATTCGAAGAAATTTCCATTGAATTGACCATCCTCCGCTGGAGCATATCACTTTTAGTACAGAATTTGATATTCTGGTATGTTGGGATATCCGTTCTGTATTTCTCTTGTACAGTTGAAACATACCGTCAGATTCATTTATTCCGTTAATTCCTTAACCAATCACAAACACTATTCAACGTAGCTTTATGGAACTAGACCTTCAATCAATTTTGAAGTGTAGTAGTGTCCTTTTTAAAATTACAATTTTTACGTGTAATTTGCCTGTCACCATATAAGCAATTTGCCAAAATCACAAATTTTGCTATGTCATATCTTTATTAAAATATCGTCCAAATTGCCGTTTATTATGATGTGAACTTCTTATTCAATATGCTGCCGACGCCTCCCTTCTATCTGACGGCAATAGTCAATCTTTATACACTGCAGTTGAGTTATTGGAAAAATTTGCCATAGCATCAGGATTCTGTACTGGATATGAAATAAAAATTTTCCAAATGAAAGAATATGTCCTGATCTGAAGATTACCTGGTCAAACGCAAACTGCTGAGTATATTATTTTTCTTAGATATAGAAAACATGGAATGAATGTATGAATTACAAATTGAAAGAATGTATTACAGAATGAATGAATTACAGAATTAAATGGCACACTAATTACAGAGAGATCAGATAGATGAATGAATGAATGAATGAATGAATTGCAAACTAATTATAGAAAGATCTGAAGAATGAATAAATTAATTAATGTCATTTGAGTGTTGAATGAGAGCCCTCTTGCATGATGACATATTTATACAGATACTAAATCCACGGTCCCAACCCTGCCAATGGTATGTATGTTTAAATGTTCTTGGACAATAAATATTGACTTGTCAAAAAAGATAAAAAGAAAATGCTGTAATTTTTATTTTGTGCACTTCACAAAAAATAAAACAGCCATCTTCGAATTCACATCTTACTGGGCGGGAATCTGAATGACAGTAGATTGTACAAAGTACATACATTTAAAGTTAGATTCAGTACATCCAAACAATAAAGTTAACTGCATCATACAGCTGTTTTGTTTTCCTACGACTCGTGAGTGATGCTGCCTCATACAGCTATTTCGTCCTTCTAGGACTCGTCAGTGATGCCACATCATACAGCTGTTTCGTCCTTCTAGGACTCGTCAGTGATGCCACATCATACAGCTGTTTCGTCCTTCTAGGACTCGTCAGTGATACTATATCATACAACTGTTTCGTCCTTCTAGGACTCGTCAGTGATACTATATGATACAGCTGTTTCGTCCTTCTAGGACTCGTCAGTGATGCTATATGATACAGCTATTTCGTCCTTCTAGGACTCGTCAGTGATACTATATCATACAGCTGTTTCGTCCTTCTAGGACTCGTCAGTGATGCTACATCATACAGCTGTTTCGTCCTTCTAGGACTCGTCAGTGATGCTACATCATACAGCTGTTTCGTCCTTCTAGGACTCGTAAGTGATGCTACATCATACAGCTGTTTCGTCCTTCTAGGACTCGTAAGTGATGCTACATCATACAGCTGTTTCGTCCTTCTAGGACTCGTAAGTGATGCTACATCATACAGCTGTTTCGTCCTTCTAGGACTCGTAAGTGATGCTACATCATACAGCTGTTTCGTCCTTCTAGGACTCGTAAGTGATGCTACATCATACAGCCGTTTCGTCTTTCTAGGACTTGTAATTGATTAAGGGCCTAATTGTTAAACCTAGAAGGCGTAAGAGGGAAATCCAAAGTTGGGGCAGGAAAAGTCGAAATCTAGACGGGGAGATACTTCAAAAGTAGTTGAGAGTACATTTATTCAAATAGCAAAGCTGGTCATTTTTAACCATTAAACACTGAACGAAATGCTGTTTACAATATATACGATATAAGATACCTTGTGTTAAAATTTCGTCCTTATGTATAAGATTTCTTATGTTACATAAGTTATTGTAATTAATTTTCATGTTGGATATCTTACATCAACACATGAATCTAAAGCCGACTGTCGTTATTATAAGACAAAGGTATTTTAACCAAGATGTGTAGATATTAGCAGGGATTTTCGTGGGATACGAAACTTGAATGTCTATCGTTTGTGTTCAGTAATTGGACATAGGTGCAGAGTTAAAACATCTGGTATGATATGTCAAATTTGCTTTCCACGAAATAACATTTAAGTTACACTACCACGGTCACATTGTACATCTTTGTACCAATAGCAAGTTTGTAGTTGTCCATATTTTCACCATCTTGTTCTGAAGTGGTGTTGACGTAACCTAAACAAATAACTTTCCGAAGGTCAAAGTTGAACCCACACGAAGACGTTGAACCTACACACTGGTCATTCCGGTATATAGGTTCTCCACCCCACGGCCAGGTGTCGCATTCAATGTTAAAGTCTTTCAAGGTCAAATGGACAAGTTGTTTACTCTTTCCATTTCTTGTCTGCAGTTCTAACGCTTCTCTACCCAGAAAGGAATTAGTTTTCTGAAACGTAAGAAAAACCTCATTAGTAACATGTATTGAAATCTTATCTAAAAGTGAAAGTATATCGAATGTTACCTCATTGTTGATGAAGCCAAAAACTATCATGTGATTCTATTTTTCTTACAACAACAAATTCTTAGTAAAAAGGATGTGGTTTTACATTTTTAACAAATACTTAATGTTTATTACAATAACTGTAAAGTCGGGTCAGAACATGAGTTTCATTTAGAAATTATGATGCCCGAACTCAAAAAAGAAAAAAAGATAGAACAGAAGACTTGAAAAGTTATAATTGGGTTATTTTTTGTGTGATCATAGAGATCTCATCGAGAAATATCGTAATTTTTTTTTTTCCGATATGAAGCCGGATGTATTTGATGCTCGTTACTTTGTCTGTTGATTCCATTGATGTATACCATGTTCTCATTTGAGAACGTTATATTACTTAATTGGATTCATCAATATTTATATGGTGGGTGCTGCCGATGAAGCAAAAGACGCTTAAGCTTTCGTAACACCTGACCTTATTTTCGATGTAATTTTTCAGGTGTCTCCATGTAAATCTTTTGGACTTGAGTTTGGATTATCATTATATTCTTGTTGTTCTTGCATATACCATTAGTACAGGCAGCTATTTGAAACATTTTGATGTTTGTCTACCTTATATTACTCTTGGAATTAAAAACTACTATTGAAATATAGATTGGTTATAGATAGTAAACGTTACCTCTAAACAGACGGTAGAAGACTTCCCACACTCTAATGGTGTTGTTGAAGACGAAATGTCTTCCTCCTGAGAAGCGATTTTATTCTCAAGACGAAGATGTTTTAAGACATAATGGCCTCCTTCCTTAATGTTGTATTTCTTTCCATTTTCCTTTAAAGCTTCATACACATGCAGCGTATTCTGCAACAAAAAAAAAGCATTATTTCATCTTTTATTACACACTGTATAGACTTTCTTTATATCATAATTAACTTCATTTTTAGATTATTAATTTACAAATGCTGTTGGTATAAGTTGTTCCCTGTAGAATGTAGTAACACCAATCGTAATGATTATAGCAGGTATCTCAACTACATGTATAATAGAACTATTGCTATAAATTTGTAACCAACTCAATCAGCAAGTTACTACCTTTGTTGGGATATGTAGAGTGAAGGCATCAATTCCTGCCAATGGTATCCTCATGGTGACGGTTTCACAGGAAAATCCAACATCTAAAACCTGAAAATAGATAAAAATGAAGCTTTTTAATTCCACATTAGAAAACATGACTGTACTTATGAACCCTTTTTATTGTATTCGATACTTTCACGTCATAATACATACATCACTTCAATTTGAATGCGACAAACAAACGACTTAACTTAGGCTTTTTATCAAAAACTACAATAAATCCGTAAATTTGTAAGCCGACCTTCATCAGCAATCACTAAGAGCGAGATTCACAAATGTCCAAGCAGGTGCTAAACCATCGTTTAAAGGATGCTTAGACACAATTATCAAAGTAAACATGGAACATTATCTAAAATATACATGAAACGGTATCTTAACCTTGCACGTCATTGGATGGAAGTCTTTGGACAGCATGGACACGTCACATAAATCTCCCATCAACGCTTCGCTTCTTGGCCCAATAATTGTCAGTGAAGAAAATGATGAATCACTTTCGACAAGATCAACTGTTCCATCCGAGGGAAGGTGTCGCCTCATCCAGGTCAGCATCCGACGCTGGTGGTTGGTAGTTGCTGTTATCAGGAATCTACGAGAAAAAAATCAAATATTTCAAGTTACACATTTGTTAACCTTTTCGATTTGCTTACATTTAAAGTAATCAAACTGTAGGCAGGGAAGAAAATTACAGAACCCTATTTGAAATATTGTGGATACAAAGTACTTAATAATGTCTCTGAAAGGCTATAAAAGTCTACCTATAATATACGTCCCTGTTTTGGAACTTTTCTATTTTCAAAACCAAGTGACACCGCTTTGGTTATAGATGTGTACAGAATGCGATAGATATGACAACAATAAAAGGTAGGAATTTAAAAACTGAAAATCTTTTATTTTTTTCTCAATTTACTGTCATATGCTTTACTGATATCACAGAAATATGTGCCGTGGTTTTCTACATGTGACTATTTAATGTGCAGAAGTATTGAGAAATGACGACCTCGTCGTTATTAATAAAAAAAATAAGTTGTATTTCTATGACACACATATAAATCATGTTAGTATATTATTTTTCATGAACGATTTACTTTTAACGTTATAATATCTTTGTTATTGACAACGTTCACTATTATGATAAATATCATTGTAGAACAGCAATAACGTTTCTCCCCGTTATAAATCAAGAATCTGTCATGTATAAATATTGAATAATTCATAATTAATTGTCAAACTTTTGAAATAAAGAACGCACTTGATCAGTATAAAGGCCCTGTTAACCCTGACATGAGTGACACGGATGAACATTTAGCTCTGTGATCTGGCAGCGGTGCACTACGACTATACACAGCGCAAGTGTATGTTTCTTCACGTGCTCACAAAAATGCGGAACATCATTATAAAAAGTCATTCCATTCCTTAAAAGTATTCACAAAACTGGACTTCGATTTTCCAGACGAGTGAGTACAATTAGCGTTACAGAAATCCGTCCTCCCAATATTTTTATCCGGAGTGTGAGGTTTCCGGTATATCGGCGTCCTGATTATCGCAAGTCCACAAGTGTATAAGCTTATTAGGGTGACACTTAATACTTTATTTCTTAGTTCGGTATGGCGTTGGATGTGTCCAATGCTCATTGTGTGTCGGGTAATTTCGTAACTACCAGAAATCATTATATCCTTGCAATAGCATCTGATATGTTAATATGTTATTTGTTTGAATGTTCGGAGTAGAGCTAAATACTTGACTTCCATACCTGTTGAGAGCTTAAGACATAACTTTCATACCTGTTGGTAGATAAAGACAGGGCTTTTACACCTGTTGGGAGTTAAAGACATGGATGTTATACCTGTTGAAGTTAAAGACAGTACTGTTATTCCTGTTGGAAACTAACGACTGGTCTTTTACACCTGTTGGGAGATAGGGGCTGGTCTTTTACACCTGTTGGAAACTAACGACTGGTCTTTTACACCTGTTGGTAGATAGGGGCTGGTCTTTTACACCTGTAGGGAGATAGAGGCTGGACGTTTACATCTGTTGGAAACTAACGACTGGTCTTTTACACCTGTTGGTAGATAGGGGCTGGTCTTTTACACCTGTAGGGAGATAGAGGCTGGTCTTTTACACCTGTAGGGAGATAGAGGCTGGACGTTTACATCTGTTGGAAACTAACGACTGGTCTTTTACACCTGTTGGTAGATAGGGGCTGGTCTTTTACACCTGTAGGGAGATAGAGGCTGGACGTTTACATCTGTTGGAAACTAACGACTGGTCTTTTACACCTGTTGGTAGATAGGGGCTGGTCTTTTACACCTGTTGGAAACTAACGACTGGTCTTTTACACCTGTTGGTAGATAGGGGCTGGTCTTTTACACCTGTTGGAAACTAACGACTGGTCTTTTACACCTGTTGGTAGATAGGGGCTGGTCTTTTACACCTGTAGGGAGATAGAGGCTGGACGTTTACATCTGTTGGAAACTAACGACTGGTCTTTTACACCTGTTGGTAGATAGGGGCTGGTCTTTTACACCTGTTGGAAACTAACGACTGGTCTTTTACACCTGTTGGTAGATAGAGGCTGGTCTTTTACACCTGTAGGGAGATAGAGGCTGGACGTTTACATCTGTTATGAGCTAACGAATGGATTTCTTTTACTTGTTGGGTGATTAAGACAGGATTTTTATACCCGTTGGCATCGGAAGACGGGACTTTTATTACTGTTGGGAGCTAAAGACTTCACATTTTATACCAGTTTGGAGATAAGATTCGACTTTTATACCTGTTAGGAGCTAAAGACAACTTTTATATCTAATATAGCTGGAGACAGAACCTATATACCTGTTGAGAGCCGATGACAGGGCTTTCATACCAGTTGGAAGATAAAGACTTTATTTTTATACCTGTTGAGAGCTAAAGAGATGACACTGCCGTCAACAACGTATCCCCCTTGCTGGTTTAGCATTCCTGTCTGTGTTATATGACCGGCCTTTCCTGATATGTTGTTACAACACAAATACTGGAGATACTGGAGAGCTTCACCGCCATCAGACTGATAACATTGATAAAATATCTGAATATTTTCTAGGAAAGAGGATTGGTAACTTGTATATCCACCGATCATAAAATGCTTCAATATGATTTCTATTGTTTAACAATATGATCACGTAATTTTGACTATTGTTCATGTTCATAAATCTATAAACATTATGAAGCATGACGTGTCTATGAGACAGACACTGTCTTTACGTTAGTTCATACCTTAACCTCACACATTGTGAAGCATGATGTGTCTATGAGACAGACACTGTCTTTACATGCTCTATACTCAGCCTCCACATCATCAAACCATGATGGCTTGCTGAATGTTGGTTCCTCTAAATTGTACGGATCGAAAGGTTTATCTGGAAAAGATTGACGTCATCTTAGAATAAATACGATCTGAGATAAACATAAAAAGAGATACTCATAGGAATTTCATGGGGAAAACATACCGGTGGATAGTATTTTGAAATTTCATATTAGATTTGTACATTTCCAATAATGAATGAAGCTACATCACATAGCATTTCGTTCTTCTATCTTCAATAATATTTTTTTAAAAAGCCGTACAATATGGATGGGGATGTAAAATACCTAGCAATTGGATTGATTGTACCTGTAATTTATTATACACAGTCTACAATCTACCTTTCAGTCCCTTGAAATACAAGGGCCGTTCGTATCCTTGTAGGTCCCCGAAGCAGGCGCCCGATCCTTCCAGTAACGTGTGTATCGGTGATGTTTCCAATTTCCTTCCCCTTGTCCAGTGAGTATATGGATAGCGTAGTTTGTAGGCACCTTTAGTAATAAATGCACAATACTAATAGTTACAATTGAACATGTGCAACATTTTTTAACTGCTACTTCCACTATGTTGAGGAAGGTCCAATCATTCTATCTTAAAGCAGAAAGCACAGCTATGAACGAAGGAAGCAGGGAATCATAAGGAAACCGAAAATAAAGCATGCATTTGTGTTATTCCCAGCTGATAATTTTTAAGTAAACGATGTTAATATTGTTTATGCAATACGTCATAGACGAAACGGGATGAATGCGACCACGTTCCCTACTCCATGCCTTTTTTATTGTTGCTGATTTCATTAAAATTCACTCTAAATGAGGCAAACCTGTAACCTCCTTCACGCGTTCAAACAAGAAACGTCTGTTGCCATGGACGTTATTGTGTCTGAGTATATGGTAGGCATCCAACCTGGAACTTGGAACACCATCCACGATACTCTCTGTAATGTATCTCCCCGCCCCGGCAGACCCAACCACACCAAGACTGTTCATACCAGCCGCGACGAAGTAGTTTCTTACCTACATGAAATTCAGTAATGTTAATATAAGTATGTCCTCACGAAGATAAAAAAATAAATATCAATGAAAAACATATAGAGAATATGTGGTCAGTGTCTTAAAATATAAGCTATTTTTGGCAAGGGTAAAGAAAGACAAAAGTGGCTAATGAAAATAATTGTATTCTAATTGACCTCTGCTGATTCTCCGAGAATGCAGTTCCCGTCAGCTGTAAAACTTTCTGGACCGTTGATTTGTGATCGTACTTCAGTCGTCTCCATGACTGGAAATCTATTGAGAAATGCTTCCATCATGACCTCTGAAAGATAATGGTAAGGATTATTAAAGTTTGATATATATCTTAAATAGCTGCTTCAATGAGTTGATGTGTGTTTAATGAAGTAGAGTTACATAGATATATAGTAAATAAATGCATTTGAAAAATACATATCAACATAACTATAATTCAAACTCAAATTCAATACAGCTTGGGAAAACCATGAAGAAAAGAAAGATTTACAAGGAGATTCATATAAAAAGGACAAGGAGAATAAAATCAGGTGTTCCGGAAGAGTAAGCGTCTTCTGGACCATTGACAAAATCCTTGGTCAATCCTAGTAAGTAATGTTTGCTTCTCAAAAGAGAATAAGGTCTACAATAGCAGAACGGTCAGTCAAATTTACAAGCATCAACCACGACCATCTCCATGTCGTACAAAGAAATAGAATATTTCTCAATGAGATCACCACGGCGACCTAAAACTTCCGAGTTATTTTTGTCAGTATGCATCTTTTGATACCCGATGTTACGAATTTGTCAGTCAGTTGACAAGACGACGAAAATCGTGATATTGGGAACAGTCCATTGAATATCGGATTAACTGCGATATGTAAACAGGAGATGCAGCGTTGTTGCTGTCGAGAAATGGAAAATTCACGCAGGGAAATTCAAATCATGACGCTTATCGTGGAAATGTGTGAATGTTGGTTTCGTTGTAGAAAAGACAAGCTGTTATTGTAGAAGAGTCTGTCGTGTGCTTGATTTCCAATTTTTGTGGATATGGACGATAGACGTGGTAAATACATTTTTAAGACAAGATGTCACCAATATACCTCCAAGTGAAATAAAAACAAAGTTGCATAGGGTTTGTGACCTGTTTTGATGAGCTCTTCAAAATATTCAGCCTCGTATGAAAACGATAACAGCCAACAGTGGGGCGTAGTTAGTTCCCATAGATATGTCAATAGCCTTAGCCATGAGTTAGTCATTAAATGCCTTTTCGAGTTGATAGTTTTCAATGTTTTACTCAACTTCCTATTATATTTATATAATAAATATTGTACATACCTCATATATGCGATAATTTAGAACAGCGTTTAGTATATCCGTTATTCTGAACTGGGTCACTATTCGAATTAATTGAAACGTGGTATGAAGGTCAAGGCAAACTTCGGAGACTCGAAGTCCATCAGCTTATTCAAGTTAATTTAGTAATATTTGAAAAAAAGAAAGAACACTTACGAAAATGATTCCAATCCGATGGAAGGAGTTGAAATTCAAATTTCTCAGGTATGCCAGTCGAAAATGTGGGTTTGCTTTCGAGCTCAAATCCTCCAGCAAGAAGACCCCCACTCCACTCACGAGCATATATAGAGCCATCGTAATCCCTTATCACTGTCATAAATACCAAAATTAAGTTTGATACAACCTCCTCTAAATATTGGTGTCGACATATGTTAACGAACAGACAAACCAAAAGGTCTTTCAATTCCTGAGTGGATGTTTCACAGTCAATTAATTTTCTTTGCTTCCCATTGAATATCGTACTTTGAATAGATTTTATGGTCATTCTAAATTACTGCTCTTTGCAGATGAATATCATATCGCACTGTTTGGCTTCAAATTCCATTTATAACGATGTTACAACGATACAGTATAACACCTATATCACATCTCCTACGCATGTTGCTGTCTGATACTGGTTATGTTCATTATCGACACTGTCATCCGTCAAATGGAATAGCCATTTTAAGGGCGAACCGTCGTTGTTTCTATACTACAGTCACAAATGTTATGCAGTGAATGTTTTTTGGCACATTAAATCATTACATAGTAAAATACCATGATAGTATGAATATATCTGATAAATTCTTGTCAACACTTCATCTCAGGTTTTTAAGAACACGAATATGTGATAAATACGTTCACTACTTTAACATACAAATTCTCCTACTACTTTAATACATCCATTTGATTCTGACTTTAATTTATAACGAGGTAGTCGCTAAACATATTTAATCACCCTCAACATTTGTTCTTATTATCTTAGAACAATTATCTCCATCAGATTAGTCTCGTCTATTTATAGAATCAGAGTAGTAACATTCCTAACATTTTAATGTTCTATGTTTTTTTGTAAATACCTGGCATCATCAAGTCCATATTCGGGATAGCCGCCGACACAATGTAAAAATGTTCACATGAATGGAGGGGAACCTGGACTGGAGGGGTTGTCTTAGCTCCAAGGTGCCGGGCCCACTGAGGTACAATCAAAATATATCTTTATAACATATTGTATGACAAATATCAACTAGAGTACAAGAGACACATGAATGTTTTCAATGCTAAATCAAATACCTATTCTTTGAAGTAAAGTTTTGAGCATTAATCGTCATTAATGATATCTAAACTGAAACTGGAAGTCAACCTTGGAGGATAGTTTAATTCTCTAACGGTCATTGAACTCACCTGTCCAGCGCAGTTGACAAAGTATTCACATTGTATGTAACCATGAGATGTCTTTACTCCAGTCACCTTGTTGTCGGTAGTGTGGACATCCTCCAACTTAACTCCCTCAAAAACCTGGACCCCTATGTAGATGAAAAGTGAGGAATATCGGATATATGAACATTAAGAAATTAAAAGAATTATGGTGCATTAAGTTTGTTTTTCCTCAGTTGCCTCATCGGTGTATAAATTTAGAACCTGAACAGCACTGAAGAGTCCTAGAATAACAGAACACTTGTGTGACGCAGTTTAGTTCATGATTTGGCTCTGCTGTATGTAATTCTAGATTTGTAGGTGTTATTCATTTGCCTGTCTTTTGTACATGTTTTAGTATAAGCTTTTTCTTTATGTTTTGGTGTACTGTTTCCATGTGTTTTGGACGATAAATTAAAGTGTTTTGTGCAATTTTTTATTACTAACATGTATATGACACATAAATATTTCGTACACACAAAATAACAACATTACAAATATAACAGCCTATACGTACCTTTAGATTTAGCCACGCTGTTGTATGCGTATACTAGGTCGTTCGGAGCCACCACTCCATCCTCTGGTATCCAGAGCCCACCCTGGAAAATCAATATGTAAGATAATGGTGCAATTTTAAATGGTATAGACAGATATACTGTAACAGAAAACGATAATATGTTTCAAATACAGTAACCGAAAGCAGCGTCTACATATCCAGGTAAAAAAATGAAAGTAAATCCCATTCAAGCCCCGCATGAAAATGAAACTACTATGACTCACTTTAATTAAGTATAATGATACTAAAATATTTACCTGAAGATCGGTGGTTTTGACCCATGGGCACAATCCAAGGATTTCTGATGGCGATACTAGATGGGATTCCACTCCAATTACCCTTTGATTTAAAGAATCATATATATTATTGTCTAGTACTATTACAAGTCTAGGCGTCCTTGACAACTTATTTAAGCAAGAAAAAATGGGAACTTAAAATGATATATTTAAAAGTGTTTATTAACAGGAAGTAATATATGTATTTGTTCAGTGAGTCGGCTCTTCTATTATTAGAATGAAAAATATTATCAGCATCATAGGAAAATAAAGAAGTCATGCGTGCTAAGCGGCAAATGTTCTCATACACATAAAAAAATATAATATTTTACCACAGACTTAGATATACATGTTAAACATAAATTCCTTCAAATGAATGGTAGGGGAGACCCTTGAACAAATTGATCTGAGATGTTAGTGAATTTGAATTCATAGACTTAAAAATCACGTTTCAGGTAATATGGTCCAGATTTCTTTTATTGGTGTGAAAAAACTTTTGAAATCATTATACTTAACACAGGCATTCTTATCTATCACTCATACACATTTATTTGTTCCTCTGTCTTACTTAGCAAGAGAATGTTTCCTCTCAATGGCAACCAGTCTGTCCTTTGTCTGGGCGAGAAGTAAACTTCCACACTGTTTCCATCCTATTTACAATAAAGTCAGCTAGCGTTTTACATATAGCACAATTGTATTTATTGGAATGATTCAAGTTTTAATGTTACTCGGCAGTATATCAAAAACATCTACAGGAACCAAATGTAAAATATTACATGGTTGATATGAATAGTTTGGTCACAGAAAACTCTTCACTGTGTCGAAGTATGCATTGAACACCTCTACCGGCTGTGTTAATTAACTACGAAGTTTAACTTGAAAATCACGGTATAAAATTGCGGTATGAACATTAGGAGAACTTTTAGACACGCAGAAGCTACGTTGACTATAAGCACAAAATTAAAATGTTATTACACCGCTCAGAGAAAACAAGAGGTCCATAGGGCCCGTATCGCTAACCAGGTTATTTCCATTTCCCCTATTAGACACAATTTCACTGCCCTGCACCGTTTACACAGAAATAATTTACATTCATCCTAGGATGCTTCAGACACAAATAGGGGCAAAATTCAATCTTTCAAAACGAACACATACAATATTTTCAGATTTAAATATTTGCTCTATTTTGGCACTCCCTTCCCACCCAAAGGAGTCGAAACTTCACGTTTATACAAAATTGATTAATCTGCACACAAGAATGCTTCAGATAAAACTGGGACAGAATCTTAACATTCCACTAGCAGGTTTTGTTTTTAAAATGCTCAAGGTAGATAAAACCTATTCTCCTTCCCCAATAATGCTTCAGCCCATTCAGTAAAATGAAATCCTTCCTACCAGAGGATTATTTTGTAACTGCATTATATCCCCTACTGGTCCCGACCTTCCTGTTTCAGGGTCCAAGACCATTCTTTCTTAAGACCAAAGTTTAGCAAAATTCAATTATTCCAACAGGAGATTAAGGATTTTAAATAATTTGCACTATTTCCCCTATGGGGCCCCGTCCTTTTAGTCCAAAGGGGCCACAGGCCTGGTGTTTATACAACACTACTTACCCATCCCCAGGATGCTTCTGATAAAATTTGGTCAAAATCTGCTCCATCGTTTATGACAGTAATTCATGCGATTTCTTGACGAACGGGTGGGCATACGGCCGACAGATGACGGACGCCATGGTATGTGATAAGTTATCTAAGCTCTTCGGGTCAGGTAACCTAACAAGAAAGAGAATCGATTCCCCTGTGAGGTTCCTCTCCTTACCTATACCATGACTCCTCTCCAGGGTCTTGTATAACTGTTGACCGTATTTGAGAAATCGACACCCGTCTATGTCATCTTTCCCCAGCTGTCCTATCAAACCAGCGGAATGCCAAGTCGTACCGCACGTTAGACTGCATTATATAAATTGATTTATGCACATTGTTATACACGAACATAAATGTATGCAAAATCCTTGACATATATTCAGACAGTGTCTATGCATATATACACACAAGCATGTATATACACCCCCTGTACAAATGCTCCAATAAACATCTAAACAAGGCATCTATTCATTGTGTCTATATGTACCTGCCCTGTTCCAGCAAGACCACATCACTCCATCCTCTCTCTGCTAAATGGTATGCCACAGATGTACCGAAAACGCCCCCTCCACAAATGACCACACGGGCGCTGGACGGGACGTGTTTGGTCACGTCGCTGATACTGCGAGGTGCTACTTGTCGTGAATCTTTACAAGAAAGATGTGCTAATGAAAAACGTCTTCTATTGTTTAGAGTGAGCATATAAGACAGTCCAATTCCTTTCTTTGATAACATGTCTCCGGTATAGACCACACTTTATCAACACATGTATCAATACTGCCTTTACTGTGAAAACAATGAAAAGATATCACAAGTATTGTCTTTGCATAACATTACACTCATTAGATCTTCTGAATAAACATCCCAGAGCAGTGAAAGTTTATAGTACTTCATACGCAGTATTATCATATCACGTAACATTACCGTTTCGACACTATGGTTCGTTGTCACACGATAAGGCTATCATGTTTCGTTGAACTTCAGATCTCACAAATCTGAAAACACAATACCGAGAGTAAAGTGTATTTGGCTTCTGTAAGACAATAAAGATAGGCAATGATCGCATTTGCTTGTGTGACTGGTAAATGATGATGCATAAATGTAATGACGCCTGAATAAAATACAACCAAACCGGTTTATGGTTGTAAATTACCCAGCAATGGCCTGAATATGAGGCCTACAGGTAAACCACAATGCTATAGTTTTCTAAATACCCTGTACTTAAAATCTGTATCAAATCTGCTATTCACTTGTATGTTTTTGTACAATCTATTATGATTGCAGGTGGTAGACTTTTTGGTGGCCTTACACTAAGGCTTCTTCATTAACCTTCATGTCTCATTTTTCTTCATTTGAATATTGGCATTGTTAAGAGTATATATGTATTCGACCTTTTTTTAAAATATTGTTCTTTGTTTATAGATAAGAAAACGTACTGCATTTTGGCATAAACGTTTCATGCTATCTGGTTTCCAACTTTTAATTCGACCAATTTCTATTATCCTTAGTGGTTAACCGGATTCGAACATTTCAGGCCCTTAGCATCACTGACGAGTGCTACAGGAGTGTACAAATGAAACAAAAGTAGATAACACCTTTAGTATGAATTTAGAAATAGAGTAGAGCAGAACAATGAAATACACTGCATGATACAGCTGGTTAGTCCTTCTAGTTCTCGTCATGGATGAAATGGGTCTAAATTTTGAAACTGATGAGGCAACTGAAGAATTTACAAAGTTATCAAAAGAACTGTCAAAATCGGAGAGGTGCACTAGCCCCATACATACAAAGAAGAACGAAGAGGCTGTATGATACAGTTTGATGCATTGCATGGCTATACCATACTGTTTCTACATTTACTTTGAAAGGGGCTATTCACGTCTTTGTCTTTTATAGACGCCTTCACAAAAAGATATATCTTTATCTTATTTATTAGAATAAATTGTTTCTTTTTATGACAAGATCAAGAATGTTTATACACTTCATATCCTGATAAATTGTATTTTCAAGGAAATATCCAACATTTTAATTTAGAAACTGTCGAATCATATTAGCCAAAACTATCTTTCTCTCATGTCCCATAAAGGAAAAAGACTTTCATGATTTGGAAAGTAACAAACAAATCTGAAATAACGTATTTACTTACATTTTGAGAAGATCTTCATCTTCACTTGCTTAAGGTGGTCCGGGAATAAATGTTTATAGGGACGTTTGTGTCTTTTGACATGTCGGAAATTCCGTTCCACTTTTCTACCGTACCACAGAAACATACAGCCATATTCACTCATTTCAGTAATAGGTAGCAAATTTCAAACGTCGTTCAAAGCAACTTCACGAAATTTGATCTTAGAAAAAGCAAAAATAACAAAATTGTCAACATCATAATCCAAACTCAAATTCATTAAAACAAGAAAAAATATGAAAAAAGAAATATTTACACGGAAACTCCTGACCAGGTGTTCCGGGAGAGTAATCGTCTTCTCGATCATCGACGATGCTCGCCATGTAAACCTTGGTCAATCCAAGAAGGTAATGTCACATTCTCAAATGAGAACAAGATACATAACAACAAGCACACTTACGAGCATCAAACACGACCAGCATCATGTCATACAAATAAATAGACGACATCTTGAACGGAAATTGTGATAACCACTATAGTTTGGGAATTCAAAGATCACTATGACGACCCTAAAACGTTCCCATAATGTTTATCAACCTGCTTCTTCTGAAACCCTGTGGTGTGTTCGTCTAACATGATAATGGGAATATCGAAATCAGCTGCAACGCGTAAACACCATAGGTTGGGTATGCAGAGATATTGATATTCAGAAATAGAATATTCACCTCGTTTATCATACAGCTTGGTGGGAAAATGTACAGAGAAGTCTTTAATTTCCAATAAGGATGAGTGCTTCCGATGGTCGTATTCAATAAATTTCTTGTTATTTAAAGACAAGACGCCATCAATATACCTGAAAGTGAAATTAAACAACTTTGCAAGGTCTTCGATAAATTCAGCCTCGTGTGAAAACAATACCAAGTCAGCAAACACAGGGGCACAGTTAGTTGTCATAGGCATGCCAATAGTCTGTTGGAAGATCTTACCGCCGAACTCGGCAAAGATGTTGTGAACCAGAAACTGGATCATTTTTAGGGTTTCGTCCTCCTTATATTTCGCCTTTGATTTGGACGTATGTTTTTAACGAAATGCGATTCAGTATAGTTCAAGGCCATTTATCTACACCGTCGTTCACCGTTTTTGGAGAAGAAAGCTCTTATAATAAGGGAACGAAGGTTTTGAATGTGGCATTGTGGTGGAAAGAATAATGTTCTTATAGAAATGTTTTTTAGAAGAGCGTGTTGAAGATTTGTCAAAAGCTCCACATGCTATTACTTCCACTTCTTGAGTAAACATTATCACAAGAAATCTGTAACCCATATTTGATTGTACTTTGAATGGTGGTTAGTAGTTTTGAGAAGACTTGATTGGACAGCAAGACGAACCAGCAATAAAATGTTGTTTGTATGTATTCTTATGGAGTTTAGGAGTCCAATGTAAACGGGAGAGGTCCGTATTCTTATCATGAATAGGTTTTCATGGGGTTTCCGTCGTTATCAACAAGTCCAGTTTTTTGTATACACGAAGTGTAATATTTTTTGCAGAAAATGATCAAGCTATTGGATGCCTTTTCTGCAGGCACAATTACATACTTTTCAGGTAAATTTTGAAATGATTTTAGCGTAAATATATAAAAATTCATTATGTTTTCAACAAGAAATTTTCATAATTTTAACTGGGGCCGAGATGTACTTGTAAGCTCCTTTTCTCGGACACGACATTTGATTTTTCTGTGTGATCACATATAAGCTGAGTGGCTACAGTGCACAATGCACAACGAACCTAGAAACAAAACAATTTTTATATTTAAATCACCATCTTTCATACTGCAACTAAATCTTTTTTTTTGTCCCGAGACACTTAATTTCAACCACCGTTCTCGATTTTAGTTATCACTTTGTATCTGTTTTATGTTCCATTTATGGGATGTAATTTATGTAATAGTTGTGTCTTGATAAAGGGGCAGATTGTCTCGAAAATTTGACAATTCGCTTGTTCGTACTGTCGTTATTACTTGATCATAAGGTCTTTCACTACCTACGTAAGATATTTAACATAACTTGATGAATCACGAGGCTGAGTTTGCTTTTGAATTAAAGTTTGGTTCGCTAACCAATAATAATGTTAGACAAAAGCATTTGAACCTAGATGTGTAGATAATAGAAGGGCTAGCCAAGTGATCGGATTCAATTCACCATATAACGTTTAAAGTTAAGATTTTAATAGAGAATATGATTACAACAAATTACACTTCTTACCTATCATAACGTTTTATTGCATACTTCATTTGTTGACTGATCACTAGTAACAGTAGTACGACTGGTACCTGAAAAAGTATTCGTGAGAGGTGATTGGACATAAGTGCAGGGGTATTTGATATTTAATTTTGTTCTTTCTACAAAAGTAACAGTTGAGTTACATTTCCACAGCCGCATTGTACATCTTCGTACCGATAGCCAGTTTGTAGTTGTCCTTGTTTCCACCATCTTGTTCTGAACTGGTGTTGACGTAACCTAAACAAATGACCTTCCGAAGGTCAAAGTTGAACCCACACGAAGACGTTGAACCTACACACTGGTCATTTTGGTATATAGGTTCTCCACCCCACGGCCAGGTGTCGCATTCAATGTTTAAGTCTTTCAAGGTCAAATGGACAAGTTGTTTACTCGTTCCATTTCTTGTCTGCAGTTCTAACGCTTCTCTACCCAGAAAGGAATTAGTTTTCTGAAAAGCAAAACAGTAAGAATTCAAATTTCCTAATACTTGATAATAACTTTTTGTTAATGAAGACCGGACTTTGTTACATGTTATGAAAATCAAGTAATTCACAAAAACTATGCGGTAATTGTATATATATATTAAAATTATGTGCTCATATATGTTGTGATAATAAACATTACAGAAAGAAAACAGTATTGGTCAATACATTTTTCATTTATTTATTTCAACAGTGGTCTTACCAAAGAACTTATCAAAGACATCAAAGCAACATACTTCAACTGGTACTTATCATTGATAAGAATAAACAGAAATACATGGTTTGGTCAACGTTCCTTGAAAATAATCCCCATTTTCAACAAAATATCAAACCTTGTTTGACAACTGATGTAAAAAAAACCGCTGCATGAAGAAATGTCAAAGTTCTTAGTATATTCCTAACCGTATTACTTGCCATGCATATTAGGAAACTACAATGAAGACCGGTTGTAAGTAGTAGTGAACGTTACCTCTAGACAGACGTTAGAAGATTTCCCACACTCCAATGGTGTTGTTGAGGACGAAATATCTTCTTCTTGGGATGCAATTTTATTTTCTAGCCGAAGATGTTTCATGACATAATGGCCTCCTTCCTTGATATCGTACTTCTTTCCATTCTCCTTTAAAGCCTCATACACTTGCAACGTGTTCTACAAAAACATATATTATATCTTGAATAACATACTTATATATGCTGACTAAACGCGTTTCTAGATTATGAATTAACAAATGCTGATGGTATTAGTTGTACCCTCTAGAATGTAGTAAAGCACATCGTAGTAATGGAACTATTGTTCTACATTTGAAAGAAGTTAATACCTCTGTCGGGACATGTAGAGTGAATGCGTCATTTCCTGCCAATGGTATTCTCATGGTACGGATACCACAGGAAAATCCAACATCTAAAATCTGAAAATAAATATGAGATAAGAATGTATGTCTTAGAAGAACGAAATTTGTAGGTAGTAAATGTAATTCTTTTAATTATAATTCAATTAAATTTGTAGCATGATTCAGAATATACATATGTACTTGACGTTCTTCTAAAAAATATCAGATATATATATAAAAAAAATACTTCTCTGTCTAACATTTCTTTCCATCGTTTTGAATTTTCAACAGTCACCAAGGCTTCAAAATGCAGGCCCATAGCATCACTTACGAGTTCTTGAAGGACGAAAATGCTATATGTTGCAGTCTAATTAATTGTTTTGACTCTACTGTGTGTAATTCTATGGTTGAAAACAAAGCTGTCATTCACTTTGTGTCTTTTATACAAAATTCGAGATTGCAAGTAGTAGACGCTGCTGGTTGACTATTAATTATCGAGGTTTACCATAAATTGTATGCCAAGCTTTAATTCAATCACGTATATTAACGTCTTCTGCAATTATCGGATTATGACTAGCGAAACTCTTGGTCTTTATCATGGCATTTTCTTTGTACAATGTTAGATAACATAGCTGCTCAATTCTCCGGGTTTTTTTTCAAATTCCATACTGCCGCGTCATTAAATACTTAATTTGGATCTTAAAAAACAAATCACTGTATTTTAATCGTTCTGAAGTGTGGCATTTACAAAGGAAGATTTAATATACACATGAAAGCGTTTCTTAACCTTGCACGTCATTGGATGGAAGTCTTTGGACAGAATGGACACGTCACATAAATCCCCCATCAACGCTTCGTTTCTTGGCCCAATAATTGTCAGTGAAGAAAATGATGAATCACTTTCGACAAGATCAACTGTTCCATCCGAGGGAAGGTGTCGCCTCATCCAGGTCAGCATCCGACGCTGGTGGTTGGTAGTTGCTGTTATCAGGAATCTAAGAAAATCCAAACTCAAAGACTTCAAGTTACATACTTGTTAACATCTTCACAGTACTTATGTCTATATTCATCAAACTGTATATAGCAATGAAGACCAGTAAAACGTTTGAATTATTGTGCATACCCGACATTTGTCGCTATTCTAAAAACAGTGTTTTCATCAAGTAGATAGAAAGGTGTTAGAACAAGTTCATAGTCGCCATAAGGATCTCATTATAGTATCTTGAAGTTTGGGTGTCTTAAGGGTGTAGGATAGTTTCGTGATTTTAAAGGAAATCATCGTTTTCCTGCAGTTATATCAGTTTGTATGAACTAAATATAGATTTTTTTAAAATCTTGACTCTTATACCTGTTGAGAGCTAAAGGCTTGAATCTGTACATGTTGAGAGCTGAAGACGGGGATTTTATATCTGTTGAGAGCTGAAGACGGGGCTTTCATACCAATAGGAGCTAAAGACTTCATTTGTTATACCTGTTGGGAGCTAAAGAGACGACACTGCCGTCAACAACGTATCCCCCTTGCTGGTTTAGCATTCCAGTCGATGTGATATGACCGGCCTTTCCTGATATGTTGTTACAACACAAATCCTGGAGATACTGGAGAGCTTCACCGCCATCAGACTGATAACATTGATAAAATACAGCTATCAGAATATTTTCTGGGAAAGAGGATTGGTAACTTGTATATCCACCGATCATAAAATGCTTCAATATGATTTCTATTGTTTAACAATATGATTAGGAAAATTTGACGATTTTTCATGTGTATATACATATAAATTAAAGATCATACCTTTACCTCACACGTTGTAAAGTTCTATGTGGCTATAAGACAGACATTGTCAGGACAATATACCATACCTTAACTTTACACATTGTTAAGCATGACGTGTCTATGAGACAGACACTGTCTTTACATTAGCTCATACCTTAACCTAATACACTGTGAAGTATAATGTGCCTATGAAACAGACACTGTCTTTACGTTAGTTCATACCTTAACTTCACACATTGTGAAGCATGATGTGTCTATGAGACAGACACTGTCTTTACGTTAGTTCATACCTTAACTTTACACATTGTAAAGCATGACGTGTCTATGAGACACACACTATCTTTACGTTAGTTCATACCTTAACTTCACACATTGTGAAGCATGAAGTGTCTATGAGACACACACTGTCTTTACGTTAGTTCATACCTTAACTTTACATATTGTTAAGTATGACGTGTCTATGAGACAGACACTGTCTTAACATTAGCTCATACCTTAACCTCATACACTGTGAAGCATAATGTGCCTATGAAACAGACATTGTCTTTACATTAGCTCATACCTTAACTTCACACATTGTGAAGCATGATGTGTCTATGAGACAGACACTGTTTTTCCATTAGCTCATACCTTAACCTCACACATTGTGAAGCATGAAGTGTCTATGAGATACATACTGTCTTTACGTTAGTTCATACCTTAACCTCACACATTGTGAAGCATGATGTGTCTATGAGACACACACTGTCTTTACATGCTCTATACTCAGCCTCCACATCATCAAACCATGATGGCTTGCGGAATGTTGGTTCCTCTAAATGGTACGGATCGAAAGGTTTATCTGGAAAAGATTGTCGTCATCTTAGAAATTAAATTATCATATAAGCAGATTGTATTCATTAATAGCAAACATGTTTGAAACATCTTCGGATGGTACAAAAGACATCTTTTAATTGTTCGTATTAGATATCATATATGACGATAAATGAATTTAACTGTGTTTTATAGTTTATTTATCCTTCTTAATTGTGTCAGTTATGCTAAAGATAATACACATGTTAAAGCTCGCCCGAAACAAACTTAACAGATTCGATGGGAAAGTGAAATTATTATTATCAAAACAGGCCACAAATTTATTGACAACGTCATTCATACCAGAAATGGAAATCAAGGACACGACATACTCTTCTACATCAGCCACTTATCGTGATCTTTTCCAACAACGAAACCAACATAGACAGCTTTTCAAGAAAACCATGATTATTTCAATTTCCCTATAGTGAATTTTCCCTTTTTGATAGTAACAGTCTTGAATCTCAAACCTATTGTGTTTACATGTCAGAGTTGACACGGTAGCCGATGGACAGTTCCGATTATCACGATTTCGGTGCAAGAAGTCGTCAACTGACGGACAAGCTGGAGTTTAAAACGATGCAGGTTGATGAAAATTATAGGGAAGTTTAATGGTCATCATAGTGATCACACTGAGAAATATTAGATTTATTCAATTTTTGTGTTTGACATGAATCTGGATGTGTTTGATGCCAAAACTTCAATTCAACTTTATGATACAGATTTTCGTTCTTCTACGTTTCATCAGTGTTGCGAAGGAACCAAAGAGTGAAAATCTAAATGATGATTCTGGAAAATCTAAATAGACCAAAACCATGCTGCGATATAACATGCAATTACACCCCTGGAATCCAAGTAAAATAATATCAAAACAAAATTAGGAATTAATTACTTTTCCCCATTAAAATCTACCTTTCAGCCCCCTGAAATACAAGGGCCGTTCGTATCCTTGTAGATCCCCGAAGCAGGCGCCCGATCTCTCCAGTAACGTGTGTATCGGGGATGTTTTTATCTTCCTTCCCCTTGTCCAATGAGTATAGGGATATCGTAGTTTGTAGGCACCTTCATCAACAATTGAACAATAATTATTGTTATAAACTTTTGCTAACTTCTTATTTCGCAAAAATTCAATGAATGTTTATCTCTCAACACATGCTATCACATTAAATGCAATGAGATAGTGGCAAATGAACGAAAAACAGAACTTTGGGTAATATTGACCTTGATTATGAGCAATTGTATTTTTTATATAACTTTCTGTGTGTGTGTGTTTATAGTTATATCATTTGAATATCGTTCAAATCGAATATTTGAAAACTTTTCTATACACAAAGATAATATAAACTAAGGGGCCAGGAATCATGAAACCATACAAAGAACCGAAAGCGAAATTATGTTCATGTGTTATTTAGACCTTATTGATGCTGATCTCTGTATCAACTTTGTGAATAAGGAAATGATCCAAACCTATAACCTCCTTCACGCGCTCATGTAAGAAACGTCTGTTGCAATGAGCTTTATTGTGTCTGAGGATATGGTGAGCATCCAAGCTGGAACTCGGGGCACCGTCTACGATACTCTCCGTAATGTATTTCCCTATACCGGCTGACCCGACCACACCAAGACCGTTCATACCAGCCGCGACAAAGTAGTTCTTCACCTTTACACAAAATAAAAACATTGAAACATTAAAATATTTATAAAACCATCATTTCAAATTGTTAGATGCATTTTTGAACCAAAGAGAAAAATGATATGGATAAAATTCAGCATATCCGTTACGATGTATTTTGATGAAGAGAAGAAGCCTACTGACCTCGGCTGATTCGCCAAGAATCCAGTTCCCGTCAGCTGTAAAACTTTCCGGACCGTTGACAAGTGTCCGTACTTCAGCCGTTTCCATGGCAGGAAATCTGTTGAGTATAGGCTCCAAAATGACCTCTGAAATATAATGTTTAAGTTAGTTTCTAAATCTATAAGTAATTCGTTCAGTTCGAACAAATTTTATGATTTACAGAACGAAGGAATTAAAGATCATTAGAATCACAACACTGGAACCCTCGTCATATTATGTGTTAAGCTTACAACTACATAGTAATCTAGATTTCAAATACATATATATTCTCCTAAAAAACGACAAAATGCAGTTAAGTTGTTTTGATTAACCAGGAGTCCTTACGAAAATGATCCCAATCTGACGAGAGGAGTTGAAATTCAAATTTCTCTGGCATTCCGAAGGAGAAGGTAGGTTTGCCTTCCAACTCAAATCCTCCAGCAAGAAGACCCCCACTCCACTCCCGAGCATAGATAGAGCCATCGTAATCCCTTATCACTGTCAAAACCAACAATGTTATGTTTTAGATGTTGATGTATATCATCATATGCAGCCAAAAGTATTACATTTTTTTTTTATTTTATAATTATTAACATTACGTCACTTCGATTTCAAGATAATTACAGCTTATGATTTCTGTGTCGTCTCTATATTTCGAACAAGATCGCGCTAACGTTAAATACTAATGATAAAAGCATGTCTCCCGTGTATAACGTCAGTTTCCTTGACTGTCTCTGTACTTTCTTCGACAGAGTGAAATTCTGCTGATTTGACAGAATTACAAAGTAATCCCCGTCAGCGAATAGCACATTATATATAACCTTCTGCAGTATCTGTACTTCTCTCAATTATCTCCAATGGATTTTCGTTGATAACATACCAGCTTCGACGATTTTGGTTGTTGAATCCTTATAGTAGTTTTCTATGTTATGTTAAAGTTTCAATGTTTTCTAAAAGTACCTGGCATCATTGAGTCCATATTAGGTATAGCCAATGACACAATATAAAAGTGTTCATTGGAATGAAGGGGCACCTGGACAGGAGGAATCGACCTAGCTCCAAGATGTCGCGCCCACTAGCAAATAAGATATAACTGATATATAACTGGAACAGAAATATATAAACTTATCAAGTATGATGTTATCAATTTTCAACTAGAGAACTAGAGGTAAATTGGTTACACAACGAGCGGTGTTTGGGGTATATGGTATTTCTTTTACTCGAATTTTGAAAGTTCCTCTACCCATATTAAATTTGTTATTGTCATTATGATCTTTAATGAAATCTCGCTAATTGAAATGCAAAACTGACAATTTCAGAAATACATGGTGACATTGTAACTCATTGTAAACTATAACTAGTTATAATTATAACTAATTAAATCCGTTTGTTATCTCCAAAACCAAAAGCGGGAAGATATCCACATAAACATAAAATTAATACAATACAGTCATGAACTATTTTAGTGCCTGAAGCACCCTTTTTGTCAAAGCATGCTCAAGTATTATACCACATGTGGTATTAAATTATATATAAAAAAAGTTGTCATGATTAATTGATGCTGTGGGAGTTTAATAGCAATCGCCTATTCTTTTAGAAATACATCCTATTAATATGAAATCGATAATTTGTGTGAAATTCGAATACGTTCATTTGTACCTTTATCGTAATTTTGTAAATATAAACATGCGTGATGAATTTCAGTTATCAAGAAATATATCTGAAAACATTTAAAATTAATCTGATATACAACTGCTACACACAATGTACTCAATCGATATGGTCTTACATGTAATGTTTTTTACTCACCTGTCCAGAGCAGTTGACAAAGTATTCACATTGTATATGACCATGAGATGTCTTTACTCCAGTCACCTTGTTGTCTGCAGTGTGCACATCCTCCAACTTAACTCCCTCAAAAACCTGGACCCCTATGTATATTAAATGTCAATATGAATATATCTTATTTTACAGGCACGTCTGGTCCTTATTTAACTTCATTTTCGCCATATCTGCTCACTATAAAATTACGTAACTATTGTTTTGTTCAAGCAACATATCTCGTGTTTTCTAACTCTTTTTTTTTTTTTTTTAATTGCTGACTGTTAACTGTTCCGTTGTATAAGAAGGTTAACGATTGATAATCGCTTACCAATTTACTTATAACCGTGTTATTCTCCATTTTTATACTTATTTTTGATTGCAGGTGATAGACACTGCTGCTAGTCATAAGTTCCCTATTTTTGTCATCACCTGCATTCCACATTTTAATTCATTGCTAGACGTTCTCCTGAAAGATTAATGTTACAATTCATAAAAATGTATTTAATTTTCGACTTGTGTACATCCCTACCTGTATTTTAACATTTATTTTGTCCAATTTTACCTCCTCGGTTCTGTCAGTTCAGAGGTTTAGCATCACGGATTAATTATTTGGCTTTGTTGTGTATCATTCATTTGTAATGAAAGGTTCTATTTTCTTGTGTGTTTTTCGTAAAATCTGAAACTTTTAAACTACTTACCAGGATTTTGTCCTTTCTGCTCATTAATGAACTACTTACATTATATAGCATAACTCAGAGATTTGGGGTGGAGGTATTTTTCAAATGTTTTCCTTTTATCTAAAAGGATGGCCAATGTCAATTGTTGTCACAGGTTAAGTTCAGGCTTTGTCTCTGTGTGTTGGTATATAATTTGTACCTATTAACTTTATTCACACCAAAACATTATTTGCAATTCAAAATGGTTTTATCAGACCGATATATTTTACAGTCCAATATTATTGTCATTCGATTAATCGAAATATCAGCATACTTTTAAAACAACAAAGGAAACCCCGATATGTCAACAGAATCTTAAATCAAACTCAGATTCGATTTAACTAGGGCAAAGTATGAACAAAAGATTTTATCCGGGGAAAATATAAGGAGAATAACAACGGGTTTTTCCGAAAGGGTAAGCATCTTGTGCTGCATTGGCATACACATTTGTAGATATTTGTCTTCCAAACGAGAACAACACTTAAAAAAACTTCTAACACGTCCAAATTCATATCACACAAGGAGATTTGACACCAGTTTCACATTTCCATATTTAATTACGTTACATCATAATACACAAGTCACTAAATTTAGATAGTTCCTGTTGTAAATGAAGGAAGCAGTAAAGGCTTCGATAATTGACTGGAAAAATGTGTTATACTACCTTTAGATTTAGCCACACTGTTGTATGCGTATACTAGGTCATTCGGAGCCACCACTCCATCTCCTGGTACCCAGAGCCCACCCTGGGAAACGATAATGAAAACATAATACATTTTATCCTTTTATATTCACAAGCATGTGTTAACTGTGTAATCAAGAAGAAATGCAACTATTAATACCGAACAGTAAGTTTGGAATGTCACACAGTAACGTTCGTGCATCAGGAAAATTTAAAAGTAAGTAAATAAAATTGTTGGAATATATATATATATATGAGTACCTGAGGCTATAAAGAAGAAAAGGTGTATGAAAATTTAGTTTAGGTTGAAGTCGGTCAAATTTCACTTGTTATTTTACTTCTTTACCTGAAGATCGGTCGTTTTAATCCATGGACACAATCCAAGGATTTCTGATGGCGATACCAGATAAGATTCCACTCCGAGTGCCCTTCAAATTGAAACAGAAACGTGCAAAAACAACAAAGAAAATATCATCATTTTAACAGAATCTTAAACTCGAATTCGTTGACATTCTGTAAAATAAAAACAAGAGGAAGTACAGGGCGACTAAAACCAGGCTTTCCGGAAGGATAAATAGCTTTTGCTTCGTCGACCACACCAAACATATTGAGGACAATTAAGCAAGATCGGAACGACCAGGTATATTAAATGGCACCAAACACGTCAAACTCCCAAACAAATTAATGTCATGTAATTTAAGAGCAGCAGATGTAGGTTTTTTTATCAATTAAGAAGACTAATTATAATGCATTGTTTAAATTCATGTTATATTTGTGAAAATAGTTTTTTTTTGAAATCGTTAGTTTTTACATACAAGTACACATACCTGGTATATTCCTCCTAAGACAGGGCTAATTTTTTTCGCCAAAGAAATAAACTTATTTAGATCGTTCATGGATTGTCTTACTTAGCAAGTGAATGTTTCCTCTCAATGGTGACAAGTCTGTCCTTTGTTTGGGCGAGAAGTAAACTTCCACACTGTTTCCATCCTAGTTACATTAGACACATAACTATCATCACAATGAAATTATTTAATATGGACATAGACAAATATGCAACGTTTTCATTTATGTAATTTCAGGCTTCATAACAACATATATAGATTCTAGTCTTAATAACTAATAACGGATGACGTACTGTCCTGTATTTATTGTTTTTGATATATGCTTTCGTTTATTTCGTGGTACTTTTAATCCGCGAATTTATATGACCACGAACTGCAGAATAAGTTTAAGTAGAAATATTTGCATATTTGGCTATATCTATCCACAACATCAAGTAACAATGAGAGAATTATAAGATTATACAGTATGTGGTATACACTAGTACGGTATTTTTCATATCTCAACGCATAAAACACGCTTTTATTAAGATGCATATCTTAGGATCAAATTTACAAGAAATCTTTGTTATGTTGAAATAATTGCCACCTTTAACATAACTTAGATAAGCAGAAAAAGAAATCCATCCACTATTTCTTATATTACACATTAATGATAAGAGGATCGGATGTTTTGTTCATTTTCTTACCTATACCGTGGCTCTTCTCCAGGTTTTTATATAGCCGTAGTCCATATCCAATAAGCTGACAGCCACCTATATCGTCCTTCCCAAGCTGGCCTATCAAACCAGCCGAATGCCAAGTTGTGCCGCATGTCAGACTACAAATAATATTAGAGGACGAAAGTGGGTTTACAATGAGAAATACAGTACTTATGAATGTTGTTACTCATTCTTGCGACTTATTCTTTTTATATAAGACCGAGCGAAGTTTCGATAAGCGATGTTATTACTTCCTTCATCTGCTTACCTAGTTAAAATTAGTATTGAACAAGCAGTTTTGTACATACCTGCCCTGTTCTAGCAAGACCACATCACTCCATCCTCTCTCTGTCAGGTGATAGGCTACAGATGTACCAAGAACGCCCCCTCCACAAATGACCACACGGGCGCTGGACGGGACGTGTTTGGTCACGTCGCTGATACTTTGTGATGCTACTTGTCGTGAATCTTTACAAGAAAGACGTGCTAATGAAAAACGTCTTGTATTGTTTAAAGCGAATAAATATGACCATCCAATTCCTCTCCTTAATAACATGTTTCCAGAATCGACCACGCTTTATCTATACATCTATTAACACTGCCCTTACTGTACAAACATTGAATAGATATCCGGTGACAGATAATAGTACTCCACACGCAGTATTACCATATTACGTAACATCACTGTGTTGACAATATTTGTAGTTTTCACATGAAAGGGCTGTTATATTTTATTGAACTCACAAATCGCCTAACACAATACTAATTATAAAGTGTATATGGTTTCTGTAAGATAACACAGATATTATACAGCGACCACATTCGCTTGTGTGGCTGGTAAATTATGATAGTAAAAAGACGTGCTAATGAAAAAGTCTTGTATTGTTTAGAGCGAATATATATATGACAGTCCAGTTCCTTTCCTAACGTGTCTCCTGAATAGACCACGGTATACCAAATCTGTCCTTACTGAAAAGATATCACAAGGACCTACAATGCATAATATCGCACTTATTATTATCAACTGAATAGATAATATAGAGTATCGACGGCGTAGAGTACGATGGCCTACAAGACCCCGACAAAATGATATGATTTTTTATGACCTTGAAAAGTGAATCACTGACAACAACGTCAAAACATCATTTCTGATGAGTTAAAATTGTGTGAGTATTGGGGTCCCTAAAGCAATTAAATGGTTATTTAAATGGATATTTCCACTGTATTAATACATTTCCAGACAAATATCGTATTTCCCATAATTACACATCAGCTGAAAGTATGAAAAGGCAGTTTGGTAACCAAAATAAAAGACATTCCATACTATTAAATGTCGTTATGTAAGGATGACAGCCTTATCATGGTATAATTTGTCATCCTTGGTATTCTTTCGTTCAGGTAGTTTCACATGTTTCTGTACCATGGCTGTTTTCAGCCGTTGTTTTGGTACAGGAAAATACAAAAGCAATGATATATTTATTTTTGTGTCAACGATGATACACAAAGAAGTGAATTTTCACATCATTTTGTGCCATGCAAAAGGACACTATAGTACAGAATGATATGAAAATTCATTTCATTTTGTGAGGCACGTGTCGGCCATAGTAACATTTTAAGACATTTTCTCAAGAACTGATTATTGAGTAGATGTGTATTTAATACACACTATATAAACGGTCCTGACTTTACATTATCCCACTGTTTAAGTATCAGGGTTCACTTATATGTGATTTGTATAAATTTCTAGATTACAAGTGAACGTTTAGTCCCTGACTTACATGCCACGTTTAAAGGCAGTCAACACTGCTGATAATGTCCATTTTCCAATTTTAATTTTGTCTTTATCCCTTATTGAATACTATATTCTCCTGACTGTCGAAAATGTTTAATTACAGAATTTATGGAGGATATAATTTTTAAATCACAAGATAAATGGAAAAAATACAATTTCTCGAATTATGGGACTTGTACACATCACCATTTAAGTTTTCAAATTCCTTTCAATATTTTTTGTTTTTTCTCAGTCATCTACTTTGAACATCTAGACCCTTAGCATTCCTGACGAACGTTACAACTAAACTGAAGAATGCAGTTATAATTCATTATCTGGCTTTAACTAATTCTGATTAGTTGTTGAAATGTGTTATTCACTTGTGTGTCTGTCGTTTGTACAATCTTGATACCGTTGTCTTGCTTGACTGTCTGGATCATTCACCGGTTAAATGTAGTTTGAATGCAGAGGATACAAACATATTTTATGGAATGCGTTAGTAATACATTTGGAATATATCTTTATGTGCGTTTATAACTGCTGTAAATGCAATAAAACACTGTTCAATATATATTCATTTATGTAGTTTTCCATGAGTTTTTTTTTTTTTTTTTGGTTTTGGTTTTTTTTTTTTTTTTTTTTGTGAAATAAATGATGCAGTTCTGTCTTATGAGCATATTCGTACAATTTTAAATAACATTTTTACAATCGGAAACATTAAAGTTGCTCCGTTGCAGCAATTTCGGACCTAAACAATATTTTACTTAGCCAATGTTCTCTGCTTTAACGTCCTAACTATAAGTTGAGGCTGAAACATATCTGATTACCAATTTTGATATACCATCTTCACGCTTGATTAAAGACTTAAAATTGTTTCCTAACATACACAAAACGATGGTCACATTTTGTGCATGCTATGACCATCCTCTTAGTGCTGATTTTAGGATTTACAGTAACCTTTATGTCCTTTATTGGAGATCCAATTTATACGAGCCAAAAAAATAAATGAAGATGGTTTGATCTCTTTTGAACAGAAAACATATAGAGGTTATTTAGAGATAAACCTTTTCTGCCATAAAAAACAATGTTCTTATGTTCAACTTATTTTTGTTAGATGGGAGGAATTTTTGGACAGATTTGATAATTCCTACCATGAAAATATTCATTTACACAATGATACTAGTTAACATTGCTTTCTTCGTATTACATGGAGCATGTTACGAACTGAGTTTACCTTTATGATAAGCACATGTTGTTCAATATTTCTGTTTATGAAATGAGTTTGTGTTAACTGATCTCACACAACCATAATTAGAAACGTATGATAGGGTAAACTCTGGTAAATCAATCGCTTACATCGATGATAAGCGCAATGATTTCAATATCCCTATTGTGAATTTCCAAATCTGGATAGCAACATCGCTGTGACACCAACCAATGCTGTTTACACATGTTATAGATGATTTGATTTCCAAGAGCTTCTTCCTAATAACAACTTTTTTCAGTACTAGGTGTTAACAGCTTTAGATGAATTCGCTACACAGGCGTTCGTCAGATGTCGGTTGATTGATGCTCGTGAGTATGTCAAGTGGTTCTGTTGTTGTTGCCTTGTCCTCATATGGGAACGCACGACATTACTGCCGTCGATGATGGATTAAGATGCTAAGCCTGTCGGAACACTTGGTGTTACACCTAGTAATATTTTCATGGATCCCCACGTAAAACTTATTTGTAAAAAAACATTGTTTGGCTCTATTGTATCTAACTCCAACTTTGTATTTATAGGTGCTGTTTACTTGTTTTAGCTTTATCAAATTTGTGTTTTAAATTAGATTAGTTTTGAATATCAGTGTTTTCTTTATCATTCTGGTCAGAATCTATTCAAAGAATCTGAATGCAGAGTAATACTTTTTTGAAAGTCAGTATTGCAGAGCTTTGAAATGAGCATGTTCAAAAGGTAGACTCTCTAATTTGTCGATTGTTTACCACTCTTTTTTGCTCTAACACTTTATTTAAATGATTAAATTGATTTTTTCTTTCAAATTTTCTTTTGAATACCAAACACAATTTTGGAAAATAACGTTTCGTGTCCCAAATCACGTATAAACGTCGATTGCTTTTTCTGCCTCGCGGTAACAAGATGGCGATGTCAAGAAGCTCGTGTCAATATAGAATAGTGAATCCACAGCAATTTTTTTTTCTTTTTTTGAAACAAAAAACGCTCTCATACAGAGAGAACGAAGGCGTTCTTGAAATTTAGAATTCAAAGTGCCTATTTTTAAATTTTCGTGATTCCAGTTACTTGCTCCTTAGAGAGGCCTTTCCCCAGAACAACAGTAATCCGTCATTGGGAGTAGTATGCAACCAAGTTTACATTTTAGAATCAGTATTTAATTACCTAATTACCAATTAGAATGTGTTTTCTCGTCATTAGCGTACAAAGTCAGAGGTCTTTGGGTATCTAATGTATGCTTACTTGCAATTAGAACACTTGTATTTTCTGTTGATTTAGTTTCCTGTACACCACTTAAATATTTGGATCAAGAGTTGACACATAACTGTAGGATAAATTTTACGTCATGAGAATTGGACAGCAAGCATAGTCTATACCTCTCCTTAGGCAATACAAAGTGATGCAAACAATATGAGCATACAATAGTTCATACATACATTCATGCTCACATACATAACCACACACACAAACAACAATCCTAACACACACAAGCACGTGTGCATTCACTACATTTTCGTTGAGACGTTCAGGTTCATTATTTTCCTCTCCTGGATTTGGAAGGAGTATGTTTGTCTAACAAACGTATAATCATGTCATACAGACTGGATAATGTCTCGTCTGAGTCAGTTTTGTTTGCTTTTTCATAAAAGTTTGTTTCCAGGATCGTGTATAAAATCTACGTTAACAAGGTTCTATATTTGTTGTAATCATGTTGTAACTTCTTTTTTCTGTCTTTACCATAGGAAATCTGATACAGTGTTACATACGTAGTGTAATGATACAAAGAACGTGAATAGTTGATTACTCTGATTGTCATCGATTTTTCTCCTATATATTAAAGTATGGTCAATATAACCTAATACTCCGTCTTCATTTTGATTAAATCTTTAAGAACTTGCAATTCATCATTCATTTAAAATTGTAAATGATGTTAATCTTGGTCTTTCCAAGCAAATAATGTCACGTTACAAAATGAGAACAAGGTCAACAACAACGTAACCCCTATGTTTACTAACGAACATTAAGCACACCTAGCTTCATATCGTACAAAGAATTGAAATATTTCTTACGTGGTCATTTTGACGACCGTAAACTTACAAAACATACTTTTTATGATTTCATTATAAAGCTATTTAACTTGATCCATGGTTCCAGTATCATATAAAGTGGATACATCTAAAGTCTAAAAAGCAGGGTACACCTTAGGGTCGATAGTGACCCTGTTTATACGGCATTACTATTCTGTCTACTAAGGTATATGCTTACTCATACACGACTTTAGTGTTTGTCTTATCGGTGGTAACGTATCATCGCTTACCTGTATAAGATTATCTATAGGTTATATAGTGTTATGCACATCATAAACAGCCATATCTCGGTGGATGTTTACTTCGTAAAGTTATGTTCACTGTGGGATGAAGGGATTCGTTGAAGACTGACTATGTATAGGGTCATATCTTGCCGCCGACAATTAATTGATTGCAGAATATTAAAACGAATTTTACAGACAAGATCTTTCTGCAAAGGAAGCGTACAGAATGTTGCCAATGAAGTATCGTCAGACGTACCAAGCAGTGCACGTGTCGTCATTGGTGGGGGAGGAATTGTTGGGGCCTCGGTAGCGTATCATCTGGCCGAGAGGGGCTGGACTGATGTCACGGTACTTGAACAGGGCAGGTAGGTATCATCTGGCCAAGAAAGGCTAGCCTTATGTCATGGTTCTAGAACAGGGCAGGTAGGTATCATCTGGCATAGAGGGGCTGGACTGATGTCACGACACTAGAACAGGGTTGGTAGGTGTCATATGTTGAAGAAGGTCTTTATTTAGTCAGGTTTGTACAGTACTACTTAATGAAAATGCTTTTGTGAAACCAAGTGTTCATAGTAGTTATAGCATATGTGTCTTGTATTCAAACAGAGATTAATTCTTTAAATAGTATTTATATTCTATCAATGTAAACTCACCTAAGATATGGTGAGGATATCAAGCTCTGATAATGATGACTGACTAGGATTGTTTGTTTTTTTAAGATAATTAAATATTAAGATGACGATATAGGATGTGATGAATATAATAATATGAATGATGATGATGATGATGATGATGATGATGATGATGATGATGATGATGATGATGATGATGATGATGATGATTGCAAAGAAGAAAAAATGAGAAAAAGTAATGTGAATGTGTGAGTATGGATGATGTGTGATGGTGTGAGTGGGTGTATATGAATAATGTATATGTCTATATGTCCGAAACTCTTGAAAATAAAACAATTACAAGATAAACCTCATACACTAATGCATTATATTCTTGTTATTGCGATGAATGATTAAGTGTCGTATACCGTGATCTGCCCGATCCTGTAACATAACTTCCCAATCAATGTATTGTAATAAGTGTTTTTGCGGACTCTAGGTTAACATGCGGGACGACATGGCACGCCGTGGGATTGGTTGGTCAGGTCCGGGACACTCTATCGACTACCAAACTTATGGGATACAGCAAGCAACTCTACCAAAAACTTGAAAAAGAGTATGGTGTGGGTAAGTAGTTAGTCTGATGAACCAACAAAGAGATCCTCCAGTAGCCTGTAAATGTCAGGCTATATCAATTGTTGTTTTCCAGAGAAACGTCTTTCAGATCGTTGAAACTCAAAATTTACACCGGTTTTCAACGTGAAACGTACAGTTTATGATAAATATACACTGTCAAAAAAAAACACAAGAAAATACCAAGATGTTAACATAAGAATAATTCAAACTCAAATTCAATACAACTAAGACAAAATGTGAACAAAAGAAAAATTTACACAGACCTTAAATAGTACCATGTGGATAAGATCAGGGGCCCCGGAAGACTAAGCGTCTTCTGCTTCATCGACATCCGCTGTGTGAATTTTGTTCAATCAATGAGAATGAGGTATACAAGAATGGAACCAACAGGCAAACAAACGAGCATCAATTACACCCAGCTTCATATAGCACAAAGACATTAAATATTTAACAATGGGATCACTTTGACAACCGTAAAGCTTTCCCATAATTTTCATCAATTTGGATTGTTTTAAACACAGTAATAAAAACAATGGAACTGATTTTTATCAGAAATCAATTGACGCTACACACAATAAATCCTTTATAAGTAAATGCTAAACATTAACCTATTTTCTTTATTGGATACCAAATTCTTCAGCTTCCGTTTTCGTGCAATTCTCATCTCAATCAATTTACTTGTGTCACTTAACATACAGTTAGGTGAAAATATCAAAAATTGAGCGCGTACAAATTATCGACAGATAATTACATGTTGGTATTTTCTTACAGCATTTTGTTCCATTTTTATGAATTCTGGTTATTGCCCGGAAATGACCTTTTCTCATCTAACACTTAGCAACATCTAAACATCAGTCAAATGAAATTGCCACTGATACATACAACTAAACTGGGCCTCATTTTACATTGTTATGCGTCTGAAACGTTTCGTATTTTGGTTTGCGGTCCATTTTGAACATATTCACATCACATTCATTTATTTCTCATTAGGTCTGAAGGAATGTGGAAGTATCACTGTTGCTCAGACGAAGGACAGAATGACAATGCTGCGACGAAACCACGCTATAGCCAAGTATTGCATTTCATATTCATTCTTTTCAGGTTTTATGAGCTCTTAAATGCTTTTAGAATTTTTCAGGTGTTACCTCAAATAGACGTATCTTTTAAATAAATTCTTAAGAACCTATTTGTATGCAAAAAGCTTGTATAATCAGTATGTATTTATTGCCCGGCTGTTAATGACCCTGTCTTCTAGAGCTGCTGGGGTAGAATCTACACTGGTGACGAAAGAAGACATACAGAATCTATGTAAATGGATAAGAACTGACGACGTTCAGGTAAAGTTTCACTTCTAATCCCCAATTCATACGGGTTCTCTGAATCGTGAATTTATATATCAATTATCATTAGTTTCAGTAAACTGTAATTGGATCATTTATGATTCCACAGTAATATTCAATGTTTGTAGCGAAAATTACTTAATCAATTTTTTATTTTATCATATTTTCACATAGAAAAATGGCAAAAATCAAAGTAACACTTTTATTGTTTACTGGTGGAAAATACAATTATAAAACTGATTTGGTAAAATCTATCAATCCATAAACAAGAGAACTTAAATCCACCAAAATGTTTAAAAATCATCTTTAAGGAAAGTACACATATAGATGGGAAGGTGCAATAGCCCCGTAATTCAACACTTTCTGCATTTGTTATATATATATATATATATATATCTGATATTTTTATAACCTTTAGTACATGCGTGTATTCTGTATTATTCAAATGAATCAAAACATAGCATACAGATTACGGTACTTGAAGTCCACCACCTGCAATATCGAACAGTGTACAAAAAACGCACATGTAAATAGCAGCTTTTAATAAAACTTTAGAGATAGATACATTAGAGCCAAGAAATGAATTGAACTGCATCACACAGATATTTCGTCCTTCTAGGGCTCGTCAGTGATGCTAAGGGCCTAAATTTTGATCAGACAAGCCATGCAATGAGAGGTATAGCAAAGAAGGTCCTTTATTATGTATAGTAGTCTGTAATGTCCTAAGCACTTCCGTATATAGCATTAGCAAGCAAGCAAGCACTGTTATTTAGAATTAATAAATTTGTATAAAAAGGTGTTATTCATTTGTGTGTCTTTTGAACAATCCTCAAGCTTAACGCGCCTTACAAAAAGAGGACTCTAACTAAACATAAAGGACAACTGGACAGATTGTTAACGATATGATATACACTCACATTCTTGACAATATTAATGAGATAATTTACTGTTTTGACTGATTCGCCACTGAATTGTCTATCTATATTCGCTTACACTAGACAGACGTTTCCATCCTTTTACTGGTCTGTTTGAGATTTCTTTTTCGAACCCCACATGTGCATTCATGCCATGTCTTTGTTTGGAAAGAGTAATAGAACTTTCCATCCCACTGGGTAAAACAGTTAAACAAGGCAACCTCAACATTCGGAGAAGTTGGCAAAGACAATGCTTAGTATTACTCTTCCCTCGAGGATTGTGATTCCCCACGTCACGTCGATCAACAAATTCAATAGCAATGCCAGCACCACATACAAGAAAAAAGAACCATCAGGGAAAAATTAATATGTCCCATGTTTGTAAATCAAATTTATGATGTAATATCGCCCTATCGGACCCGCTACATGGTGAAAGATTTAATCTGTATACGGCTTTGATAATGGTTTGTGATGTGCTATCATAGGGCGGCTTATGGATCCCGGGAGATGGGGCGCTGACAGCACCAGACCTGGCCATGGCTTACTCCAAGGCAGCAAAGGAGCAAGGTAAGGACAGACCACCGTTTGACGGTCGGTAAGTCACAATGAAGTCAGGAGTTTCTTCTCCTGATCTCAACTTCTTACATATTATTCAGGTAAACTACATCTTTCACATCACATTTTAAGAAAATTAGAAAAGCTTATGTATATTCGTGTTTTTACGTCCTGTAATCATAAAATCTGCTAAAGATCGTGTGTCTGTTATAAGTCATTATATATAAAACAAAAACAAAAAGAAAGCACCAATATGTCAGCATAATCATCATCCAAATTCAAATACAATAATGCGAAAAAGAAATAAAAGAAAGATTTATCCGGACTTTCCTGAATAAGAACAAAGACAACATGGCGAGGTGTTCCAAGAGAGTAAGCGTCTTTTGCTTCATCGATGGCATCCGCATGTAGACCTTGGTCAATCGAAATAAATAATGTCGCGATCTTGAATGAGAATAAGTGTACAACAATGGAACCATCACACAAACTAAAGAGCATCAAACACGCCCAGCTTCATATTGTATAAAGAAATAGAATATTTCTCAGTGAAATCACTATGACGACCGTAAAACATCCCCATAAGTTTCATCAACCTGAATAGGCCAATGAATCAACTGCGACATGTATATACCATAGATTGGGGATGCAGGGTTGTTAATGTCCAGAAATGGAAAAATCACCATAGGGAAATTGAATCATTTCGCTTACCAGTTTGGTGAAAAGCTGTTCATGTTTGTCTGTTGGAATTGATGGAGATAAGCAGCTGATGTAGAAGAACATGTAGTGTCATTACGGTGTATATACAGCGTAATTTTTTTTAAAGAAGACGTCTTCATTGTCTTGTAGCAGTACCATTCAGTGAAAAAAATATACTATATAACAAAAACTTGAAGATTGGCTAATGTAACATACGAAAACTGGTTTACAAATTCCTGACTATGATAATTCCAGGTGTACACGTCATTGAAGGAGTAAAAGTTAACAGAGTAAACACATCTAATGGTCAAGTGTCCGGAGTCCAGACATCACGCGGCGACATCACGTGTGAATATTTCGTTAACTGTTCTGGACTGGTAGGTATAAAATACTGCTTTCAAATATTTCAAAATTGACCCAGCTTTGATGTAAAAACGTATTGTATGTTTCTACCGGCAGTTTTTCTGGATTTTTTGTTTTTGTTATTTTTCTTCATTTTATTCCTTTTATCACTTTTTTATACGTTTGATTCGAATACATTTACAGTGGGGTAGAAGTCTCGGACGTCTGTCTGACCCTCCTGTAAACATACCCCAACATCCTCTGGAACATTTCTACATCGTGAGTCAACCCATTGAAGGACTTGACAGAATGATGCCAGGTAAAATATACTAAACGGTCTTCTGGTGAAAATTGATCAGACATTTCATTTTCATTTCAACCAGTTTTATTGACAAAAAGTGCAATACAAATTCAGTCAACAGAATCGAACAACAGGCAACAACCTCTTGCCGGAGGTGACTGAAGTGAAGTAGATAGCAGAAACAGTTGGAAATGAAAAACTTGTATACAGGGAGATAACTCGTACAAAAATACATGCATTTTCACAGATTACTCACAAACATTTTAACATAGCGCTATTATTAGATTATTAGAACATATTACATAAACTATCATCATATTACCATATAGTTATTGGCAGATATTGACCAAATGTCCGTGTACATAAATATATACACTGGTCATAGATATTCTTAGCCTACTCGTTAATATACTTGTGTTGTTAATGTTTACACTTACATTCTAAATTCGCTAGGTGAAGCGCATAAATTCTAACGATTTTAATTATCGATAGTCACAAGATATTCAATTTCTGCCACGACTTTGTTGTATATAAATGATATATTTGTATACTTACCAATATTTTATATAAAAGCAGCGTAAATGTGAAAGGACAACTTGCAAGAAACTTAATAAAAACGACATTTTTATCTGATATTGTTGGAAGTATTTTGTTGTTCGCGTTCTCAATGACACCCATGTGGCATCGCCTACTGTTTCCAGTGTAGCGTGACTATTCAATTATTTTATGAACATGTATAAAGTGTCAAATGTATATATCGATGCGAAACAAATATTAAGTTCCCGACGTAATTATATCATATCATTTGCGAAAAAGATTGAGAAATAAAACGTCTTGTTTTTCACACATATTTGATATTTGATACTAACAAATATTCTAACCGTGAATTCAATCTGTCGATTTCAAGTATGAATATTTATTTTTCATTCGAATATCTTGTTGATATATCTTGATGATATTGATATATACATATGTCTGTATCAAGTCGACCATCACAATTGAACACATTCTTGTTTTCTAATTTTCATCAAATTACAATAACATTTATTTCATGTAGTCATTGTATTTAATAATGTACTATAAATCTCGGAATAGAACAATGATTACGTATACTTTATGTTGGATGTCTAGTGGTGAGAGACTACGATGGTTTGATATACGCTCGTGAGTGGAGTGGCGGGATAATGACCGGGGGATTTGAACCTAAAGGCAAACCAATATTTGGGGAGGTGGTGCCAGACAAGTTTGAATTCCAGCTATTGCCCGAAGACTGGGACCACTTCCGTATGTTTACCAGCAATTATACTGAATCATTGTCATCAGTTTATATATATAGATATCTCTATATAATATATATATAACCGTTATAATCGTGCTTGTAACATAGAAACAATCGCCTTACACAGTTGAAGCTTTTTGATGAGATCGCCTCAGCTTAATTTCTCGATTTTTTTAATTTTTATTGAATAACGAAACAATTTCCTACCAATCAGATTAACTTAATAAATTAATAAAGAAATTTCTACTGATGCCAAAATACACATGTATTTACGCGTTTGTAGTCTGTGTTGTGGTGTCCCACTCTTTATAATATGTTTTAATCATTTTGACATTGAATGTTACAATGACCTTTTTATCCCCTCCAAGAGGTTCTGATGGACGGAATATTGAATAGATTCCCGATACTGGAGACGACACAGATACGGCAGTTTGTGAATGGACCAGAATCCTTTACCCCAGATAATACATGGAATGTAGGAGAATCTGCCGAGGTATTCCACACACTTAATCCGTATTTTTCGTTGAAATATGGATCATTTTATATAGAAATAATTTGGTGTAGGTTAATTATGATATATAGTAAGGACCATTTACAAACAGCGGGAGAAAGGCTTTCATCAATTCAAGGGTAGTGTTATTGATGTTTTTAGTTATCAACTTCACATCCCTATTTTCCCGTGTGCCGACGCCATTATCATAAGCTCTGTGTTAAAGTCTTTTGCTATTCACATCAGATCGAGACAAAATTAACGATTTGCTCGAGCAGGTGAAGAACTATTTTGTGGCCACTGGTATGGGTTCAAATGGCATAGCAGGGTCAGGAGGACTAGGCCGTCATATGGCAGAGCTTATCACAGGAGAGCCTACCTCCGTCAATCTGTCCTCTGTTGACGTAAAGAGGCATGCACCACAACAGGGCGATATACATTATTTAGCCGACAGATGCTCAGAAGTAATAGGTAAGCTGACAATGTGTATCTTTTGGTATTATATTCATTTAGAATCCCGCAACATTGATTGAAAATCAGACTATTGAAACTTAAACAGTTGCGTTGTTCAATTTGTGTTTATCCGACATTGACGTTACGCTGAATTTTGTCTGATGACGAACGCCAAAAAAAATGCTCGGCGGAAACGTGAATTTCTGAATTTTCATAAATCAACTTGTTTATTACAACATGTAAAATCGCTTATTTCAACATCTATCTATATTTCTAAATGTGATATTTAAGTAAATACAGAGAGTAATTCTGTCAATTAACCACACAGCTGTTTTCCGTCACTGCCGAATATATGTTGCAGGTGTATCCGACAATGGCAGTGCCAGTTGCAGAATAAATAAACTTTATACATTTACTAAAATAACAAATACATTTTGCGAACGTAGCGAATATTTTGTGTATCTTTCATAAGTATAATGTTTATATGTTTTGATACTATAAACGTTCTGTTTACTCTCCGATTTCGTTTTCATCGGCTGAATTTTCAGAAGTGGCATTTGTACTAGCGAAAAAAAAAAACACAAAAACAATAGAGAAGTTTTCATTCCAGTGAAAAATAATATTATCAACTGGTATTTGTCGATACATGTACTTTACATTATTAAAAATGACATAAAATATTCTAAATTTTATTTTTTAGCGGAAGCGAGGAGGCGTAAGATTAACAATGATTGCCTGTATATATATTTACTTTGGGTTATTTTTCTGTCTTGCATATTAATTTTCGCATCCACATTTTCCTTGTCTGAAGGTCGGTACAGACTTCGTTATCCGGACGAACAGTACAGAAGTTGTAGGGGACTTCTAGTGTCCCCGCTTCATTCCAGACTGGTGGCTGCAGGGGCATGTTTTGGAGAAGACAGTGCTTACGAAAAACCACTTTGGTTCTCAGAAAATAAAGGTAATTCTAGAGTTAGGTGTATAGGTGATGAAAAAAAGAGGGGGTCAGTATTATTTCTAACATACATATGTCCTGGTAAATATTTAGAAAATAAAGAGCAGCCCTTCAAAATAAGACAAACACACGCAAACAAATCTACAACAGGTTATTTCAATTTAGTAGTATCAGCTTATTTCCGTGCTGTGTACAGTGTCGCATTGTTACATTATCTAGAAATGATCTAAAAATATTTTAACAACAATGGCGTAACTATTGAAAGGTATAAAAGGTATAAAACTTGTTTACTTCGTTTATACTATTTTTAAAGTGTATTCATGCAAAATAAGTTACAGTTGAAGTTATTTCTGTGTTATCACATGTCGGGAGGATAAACATCCCCTGCTTCATCAACAACACCCGCCACATTAATACGTCCCTCCGTTATATTATTGACTCCCATACTTGTTTTATCCCTGGTTAGGTAGAGAATACAGACATTGTTGTATAAGATAACATTAATGATTATTTGTCATGTTTGTTGTACTGTAATCTGTTGTATCGATGCACGCTAGTTTTCCCTTTTCGTTTTGTTTCCGTGCACCTGGTCACCATGTCTAAACTTGATCGTCCTTACTTCGGTTTCTATGCTTTATATGGAGCAGATGACGCTTAATCTCCCAGAAATCCTGGTCTTACTCTCCTTGGACTTTTCTAAGTTACCCATGCATTTTTCATTTGTTCACGTTTTTACGATAACACGTATCTACCAAGACCTCAGCGCTGTCAACGCTGATAGCGGCCAACACTGCATCACCAAATCACAGCATAAAGCGAAACAGAATTTGACTAAAAATAATGGTCAAGCACTTGATAAAATCCAACTGTTTTTTGTAGTTGCTGACAATATCGTGTACAAAAACGAGATACTTAGGTGTATATTTAAATGGGTGCTGTACAGATGTGTTTAAATTATCATTTTGTATTGTCATGGCGGTATTATGTTAGGTGTGAGTCATCCTCGATACTCCAGGGGTGAAATCACTATCGCACTCTGTACCCTTGTCACCGTCCTCGATACTCCAGGGGTGAAATCACTTTCGCTCTCTTCACCCCTGTCACCATCCTCGGTACTCCAGGGGTGAAATCACTCTTGCTCTCTTCACCCGTGTCACCATCCTCGATACTCCAGGGGTTGCAATCACTTTCGCTCTCTACACCCCTGTCACCACCCTCGATACTCCTGGAGTGAAATCACTTTCGCTCTCTACACCTCTGTCACCATTCTCGATACTCCTGGAGTGAAATCACTTTCGCTCTCTACACCCGTGTCACTATCCTCGATACTCCAGCGGTTACAATCACTACATTCTCGATACTCCATGGGTTACAATCACTACATCCTCGATACTCCAGGGGTTACAATCACTACATCCTCGATACTTTAGGGGTTACGATCCCTATCGTACTCTGTACCCTTGCCACCGTCCTCGATACTCCAGCGGTTAAAATCACTGTAGCTTTCTACACCCCTGTCACCATCCTAGATACTCCAAGAGTTACAATTACTTTCGCTCTCTTCACCCCTGTCACCATCCTCGATACTCCAAGGGTCACAATCACTTTCGCTCTCTTCATCCCTGTCATTATCCTCGATACTCCAGGGGTTGCAATCACTTTCACACTCTACACCCCTGGAACATGCCATGACAAAACTGAAGGTTCCATTTGCGACACCTTAAGACGAAAATACTAATTGATCCTTTGATGTACATCAAACGAAAATCGAGTTAGCATTACGGTATATTGTAATCACGAAGTTGGGTGTCTTTCCTTAGTAATCTTGATAAGGAGCGTATCAAATGTGATTGGTCAGTTTTGTTCTCCTGGAAACAATCAGCTTACTTCGCTTGTACATTCAATTTTGCCCTGGAATGATCCATCGGTGTAGAAAGCGAAAGCGATCGTAACTCCTAGAGTATAAGGATGGTTGTGAGTTTGTGTGCTTTTCAGATTTATATTATTAGTTGTAATTCACACAAGCAAGATACTACTATGAATAAAGTTTATTTAATTGATACTAGACCCATACAATGCAGCGAGTGGTACGTTTGGGAAACCTTCATGGCTGGAGTCAGCAAGGGCTGAGTATATGGCTTGCAAAACACATGTGGGGATGTTTGACGTTTCATGCTTTACAAAGATTGAGGTCAAGGTATATTCCAGATTCGAATGTTGCTTTTCTTATCCCAAAGATACTGCATGCACTCATTTACATCGCTGCAGGGTTATCGAACAAACAATAATTTTCACCTCATTGTATATAAGAGTTATCTCCCTTGTTTTATCTTTGAATGTTATCTTTACCATTCATCAAGTTAGTAATCGTTTTTCGTCGCCAAATATGTTGTGGTCATTTTCATCCACCAAGGCAGGAATGGTGGAACCGTGCTGTTGAAAGAAGTATATGATGTCTTAAAACGTGATAATTTGTCAACAAGACTGAAATTAGATACGATAAGTTTTCATTTCATAAAACGAAACAATAATAAGAAATTAAACCCGTAATATAAAGAAATACATTTTTATGTTTCATTTTTATCATAAGTGTAATGCAAGTATTTCAGGGGTTGAATCAATCATATCTATAATAAAGCTAGTAAGGTCAATTAACTGTGTTTATATGTTCTACTGAACAATATTATGACACCTTTTGTTTTGTTTTTGTTTTTACCTGAAGTCATCGGGATCTGAAGCCTTAGACACTCTACAGGAGCTTGTGTGCAGTCACTTGTCTTCCAAAGAAGGAGAGGTCACTCGAACAGCTATGCTTAACACCCGTGGTGGCTTTGAGCTTATATGTGATATTGTCGCAACAAAGGACAACAGGTTACTTTCAAAAGTCGTGTTTTTCTTCCTACAAGTATTTAATCTTTTTCTCTACATAGTTTGATCTAAATATTTTCTTACATCTTTTTCCATATGTATAGCATTAGCGTAATTCTTCACGGTCTTCATTAACTCGCAGGCCAAAAAACCGGTTGAAATAGAAAGAGTTGTGAATACAATAAATTTACATGAATGATATGGACATGTTCAATGTACCATGAACATAAAATAGATCATTTATATATTTTAATGTCGTTTAATATCACGGACTAAATTCATATGAGAAAAAACAATACATGTATATTTATTGATTGATTTACAGTTTTATGTTGCTATGTCCCTCAACCCAAAAGGCCCGATGTCTCACGTGGGTGCGACGGAATGTACCGAAAAATGTAGAAGTCAGTGACGTTAGCGAGGCATATGCTGCTCTGCATCTCATTGGTGGAAAAGTTTCTGACATTTTGTCCGAGATCAGTGATGACAGGATATCAACTAGTCCTCGGTCTAATTCACAGGTAATTATTAAATACAAGTCATTATTTAAGACCATCAGTTGCTTCAGACCAATGACATGATGGCAAAATGTCGGTGTAATTATTGATATCACAAGCCAACCAGAGGTAAGGTTTTTGATATGTTACTGTCCTTAAAATGTCTGCATTTGCAAAAGGTCTTTTTTGTTAACCATCATGATTCCAAGGTGCATGAAAATTAGTCCTTAAGACAAGTTTTAGTCAGAATTGAGGGCAAAAGTGTATCTGCATACTAACACTGTTTATTGTATTAAAAGGTGCTATTCACATGAGTGACTTTTACACGATCTTTGATCAAACTCATAATCAATAATTTAATAGTATTCAATATAGATAAAACGTTTGATTAATGTTTGTTGAAGGGAGATAACTCCAGACAACATGGATTGGAACTTTATTTCGGCACACAAAACTTGTACCTTGTCAGATCCGTTGTTATACAGTCTTATGTTTAACGGTATCACAAGTGAACATCGATTACATCTAACCTTATGAAGCATAATGGTGTACTTATATTTTAGTTTTTCATTTATTGTTTTTATAAGTTTCCCCTGATGTGTATATCTATCACAGGAAAGATGTATACAATATGAAGTTGTTTACATCTACAAACTCTTTGATACCGATCCAACTGCCTCATGCTTGTATCACAGGTTGTGAAAGCAGGTATAAAGAACTAGAAATGGAAAATTCGCAATTTGAAAGTTGAAATAGCCTTGCTAGTCATACAGTTTAATGGGAAACATCTCTGATTCTTTATAGGTGAAGATCGAAGTAGTTAAATTGTTGTCGTAAAACAGTATGCAGTTTTCTCTTTTCGAATTTTGTTGGCAATATGTTGATGTCGGTTACTGACAAACTCGGAAACACTGGTTTTGAAAGATGAACGTTGATCAAGATTTCGGGGAAATTTTACATTCGTCGTAACATATTATTAAGATATATTTTATTTTCTTGTGCAATATGAAGTTGTGGATGTGTTTGATGCTCGTTAACTAATTCGTCGTCAATGAAACAGAAGACGCTGACTCTTTCGAAACACTTGGTCTTATTTTCCTTGTACTTTTACAGGAGTCTCCATGTATATCTCTTTTTTTTGTTCATATTTTGCCCTGATTTTATCTCGACTTTGTATTTGAATTAAGATTCTGTTGATGTCGATATTTTCTGTGTTGTTTCTAGATGTTTAAAGGCTGCCATCATGATATCCTTGAAGTAATTTTGCTGTAAAATCATCTCAGTTTTTCCACATTTTACCAATTTTGAGCTTTAATCACGATTTTCTTTTTTCATTTCAACTTTTCGGTTTTGTGTTGTTTTTATACATTCCAAGATAGAAAAAAATATGTCGCTCTTCAGTTCTTTACATCAAAAAATCAATTAACGAATCACCTTACTGTTTATTTACCACTTAAGTTCATCAGTAATTGATTTTTTACTGCAATGTTTAGATAGTAAATATTGGACATATCAAAGACGTCAAAGTACTTGGACAGAATTTGGCCGGGATGGCTGGTACCACTGTCCTTGTTCCTTCACGGGTGAGTGCGTTATTAGGAGACGAGCCGTGAACTGTGGACGTCTGTTTCTTTTAAACAATTATCGATGGTTGAATAAACCTTAGCTCAGTCATAATAATGTTACTTACTGGAGTAGATTCACTGCATGATTTCTAGACAAACAAAAAAACATGAATAACTAGATGTAATAAAGTTTTGAAATCATATTTATCACCGTGTGACAAGTGCTGTTAAATAGACATTATATTGTAATTCTTCAATCGCTATAGATTAACATTGTTCTCGGATACCTATCTAAATCAAATGTCTTAGTCCACCTGATTTCACTGGACCCTCTGAAATGTTTCTCGTCGCTTTGAGCCTATAACATCGTTGGAGTACTCTAGTGATGGCAGTGTGCCTTGCTCTGTTTCTGCCAGAATATTTGAAAAATATCTTTTAAACAAAGCATTTCACTCTCCACTTTCTATAATTAATTGAAATGTTTTAAACGCTACAGGATGCAATGGATGTTTATGATATGTTGATGACGATAGGAGAGAAGTATGGAATCAGAAACGCCGGTCACCATACACTGAGGTTGTTGCAGACAGACAACGTCCGTCCCCAGTGGCTAAAAGACTTCACGTCGGCAGACACGCCACTAGTCACCGGCATGAAGGACATGGTCGACAACCAGGTGAGTCTCAATATTTCTGTTTTTGGGTTTTAAGCTTTTAAATAAAATATTAAATATTTCTTTTTAATGGGTTTTGTTCGCCTTTTTCTGTTTTAACACAGAAAAAAGTTTAGACTGAAAAGTACAGCTGATGGCGATTACAGTAACTAGGAGTAACAGATTTACTAAAAGAAGCGTTATAAACTGAAACTCATCCACACGTATTAGCTGCCAAAGAGATAACAAATCGGTTTAATGGGAAAGCTGTGACCCAAAAAACTGACTGGATAATTGAATAGTTCATTTTATCGAGTATATCACTGTAATGCATCAGTTCAGACATGTTTACGATAAACAGTATTCACTTTATATTATGTTTAATTTTGACAAAGACACTGATTCGGAATAAAAACCATCCTCAATACTTCAGGGTTATGGTCACTGTCGCTCTCTGTACCCCAGTCACCATCCTAGATACTTCAGGGGTTATGGTCACTGTCGCTCTCTGTATCCCTGTCACTGTCCTCGATACTCCAGGGGTTACGGTCACTGTCGCTCTCTGTATCCCTGTCACCATCCTAAATACTTCAGGGGTTATGGTCACTGTCGCTCATTGTACCCCTGTTACCATCCTCGATACTCCAGAATTTGAGTTTGGATAACGATAATGTTGTTTTGGTCTTTCTTCTTGTTTTTTTTAGAAGGAATCTTTTGTCGGGAAGGACGCAATAACAAAAGAAAGCGACAAAGCAAATTCCTGTATAGTCTGTCTGGAGTTGGAAGACTTCAGTGTAGAGAAGGACGTTTGGGTTTGGGGAGGAGAACCGATTTATTGTGACGACAAAGTGACAGGCTCCGTATCCTCCACGGGATTCGACTTTTCCAAGAACACAGTGTTGTGTATGGGAAATGTATCAGTATCCAAAGATACACTACATAACAAGTCGTTTAAAGTTGACGTCAGTGGTACATCCTACACAGCAATTTTGAGATAAGAATTTGAAATATATCAAATTTGCAATACAAATATGAAGTAACAATACTTTAATTATCCTGTATGTTACCAACTTATAATACATATTGCTCATTTTCTACGTCTATGTATTATTCCAATCATGTTAACCTTACTGTGGTCTATAAAAGATCGACGACACGACAGGTGATTACAAAATTTAAACCACCGACATTATCATACATTGATATATGATTTGGATGTTTCTAAACTTCGAGTTTCATTGTCTCAAGTAATTGTAGTTATGGTCGCTTATTTTTTTACAAAGACTGTAGTCAACCATATTATTTAACTATTGTATGAAATGCCTATTGTTAAATAAAGACGATACGAATGATAAAGTATTGGTGGGTTTGCAATATTTAACAACGGAAATGTTTGAGAATATGAGAAATCTTGAATATCCAGAAAACAAAGTATTTTTTTCTACTCTGTACATTGTTACACCGCATTCAAGTTATTAGAGTGTTCTATGTTTGTGACCTATAATGGGCGTAAGTTCCAGAAAAGTTCCTCTTCAGCCAAAATGAAATTTACTGGTGACGAACCATTTTCGCCAGGATTTTAGTCGACATCATAGATAGAGTAGTAATAGAGTACAGGGCCCAAGTCCATTTCCCCTACTTGTCTATTAGCTCAAATAACTATTGTGTATGCCCAATTGACCTGTATTTTACATCTGCTAATGATGCAATCATTCAGCTGATATACGTCATTTATATACTCCAATGTGTCTCCTCTCATGAAACTGACAGGCAAAATCCTGATTTCATAACTGGGCTACGAAAAGTTGTGCAACAAATTTGATCCTTGTGACCTTGAGAATGGGTCAAGGTCATTTGTTTTCCAATTCGGCCATGCTTCATTCCAGAGATATACCAGTTAAATACTTTATTTTAAACCTTTAGGTTATTAAATGAACATTAAGATTTTTCAACAAATTTGACCAATGACAGTGAACATGTGTCAAGGTCATCTGGTTTTACAAACGTTTTCGGACTTCATCCCAAGATACTACCAACCAAACACCTTTATCCTAGGCCTTTTGGTTACTTGTAGGTTGTATAAAAGTTTCAACTAATTTGATTCATGGCCTTGTACACGGTTAGTTCTTTTTGCAAACATGTTTATGCTTCACCCCAGAAACCTTACCAAAGGAACCTACAGGCCACATATCTTGATTCTATGCCTTTTGGTTGTTCAGAAGTGTGTCAACAAAATTGACCTAAAGTAAGGGTCAAGGTCATTCGTGTTCACAAACTTTGTCAGGCTTCGTCTCATTAACCTACCAGTCAAACATCTTGATTCTAGGTCTTGTGGTTACTGAAAAGTTGAAGTGTTTATCATATTTGACCCCCTGTGACCTTAAGTATGCGTCAAGGTTATTTCTTTTCGAAAACTTGTTGGGCTTCATTCCAGGAACCTACAAGCAAGGTATCTTCAATCTTACCCTTTTGGTTTTTGAGAAGTTGTTTCAAGGAGAAAACAATGGACACTATACCATGATAAGCTCACTTGCAAGTTGGACAAGTGACCTGACAATATTTAAGTCCATGTAAAGCTTTCTCACACTAAGGAAAAACAATGGCACACATACTTCATTTTAATGTTTTATTATTTTTTTTTTTTTTCATGTCTTATTTTTTTCTTAATCTACATTTCATTTTCGACAGTGTTTACCGAACTACTTCAATTAGAAGTGAAAGACAAACATCTACTTAACAATGACTTCTTAAAAAAGATAAATTATCGCATCACATTTCAACATTACGCCTTCCTTCTTATAACATATAGCTTGTGTCCCTGAGCACTTTCAACAACTGACAATATTCTACATCAATATTCTATCAATGCTGACAGAATGTAAGCTTGACACTTATAACATATCTCAGTAAAAATAGCACCTCACCTCTGACCTCTGTCTAACTCAAATGAACCACAAAAAAACTGTTTCACATTTCCAAATCCACTTGAAATCAAATAAAGTTTCATTATGATTGTCTCTCAATACTAACATATATTTCAATTATCAAGTTTTCAAATTTAGTCCCCCACCTTCCTCATTTCCCCAACAGCAAAATAAGGAGGCATCAAACCAAATTAAAATAAATGATTTTTTGTTTAACACGAAAGAAAACAATAAAAACACTTCGGTTCATTTTGTATCTTATGAGGAAGAAAGTGGCTTATCAAACAGTTTCTGTCTTTAAACAAAGAAATAACAGTTTTTTTGTCTTTAAACATTTAAAAGTTTTCTGTGTTTTAACATTTAACAGTTTTTTGTCTTTAAACATTTACCAGTTTTTTTGTCTTTAAACATTTACCAGTTTTTTTGTCTTTAAACATTTAACAGTTTTTATCTGACTGATTAAACTGAAACACAGGTGGTCCAAAAAGCTTCTGTCCATACTTATGAAATAAGATGACACATATCCAAATGTTAACAATTCTAAGTACAGAATGTGATACATCATTAAGTTTTCTGTCAACATATTAGTAACATCAAAATGCTGGAATGTAATGAAGTAAGCCTCTACACAATGATAACTACACAAGTGTGTTAGTGCTGATATGTGGTCCGAGTTATCTCCAATAATTGATAGCATGGCAAGACAACATACAACTATACACCAAATGTATAAAGTAATAGGTTTAAACTGCCACTGACTTAGACTCTGTTCAAGTGTTTTCACCTATACATAAACTGTTCAATTTTCTCAATCTTCTACAACACAATTACAACCTACTCGTCAACAGCTGAAACACATTTTACATACATATATATATATATATATATGTAAAATGTATATATAAAAAGTTACTAAAATTTCATGTTGACTTGTTTTTAAACTCTACAACAGAATCTTAAATAATCAATCACTGGTAACTCACTTAATTCAGCAGAACAGAAGTAAGGGTACTTTTATATACAGAATAGGAAGTGCTTAATTTTCTTTTAACAGCATGAAAACAACTTTTGAAAAGCAACTTGCATATGAAATCCAGCAAAAAATATTTAAATTTTTCTCTAAAATCTTAACTGAAAATACCACTATCAACAGCATCGTTAGGTTTTGGTTTCAATATTTTTACAGACACTTTTAAAAATTGCCTTGTTTTTATCGTTATTGTCAGAAAAATTACAACAGAAAATACACTCTCAAGGAATACTTTCTTTGTATCCCGTATCTCTTAATGTAATTCCATAAACTATTGATCAACACAATAACATTCAAATAAGGCAATAATCAATATATACCTCCAATTACAGAACAAACACATTAATTAATGAGGAGCAATATCTCTGAACCATTTGCCTAAACTGTTGGCTTCCACTACAGTTTGGACTTGTTCTGTTTCTTGTCTAGTAAAAATATCACATTTTATTGCTTTGTCAATTAAGATAAATTAGTTATGAAACATGAATATTTGTGTGAATTCTGATTTCAGAATTAAATGACTGACAGAAAAGCCAACCATCATGAAAGAAATGAAAATAATGATACACTAACTTGACAAAAATATATGGTTAACAGGAAGGCCTAGTTGTTTCAATATCCCTTATATAAAGAGCAACATCTACGGCAAGACAAGATTTCTACCTTTTCTGTTTGTTTGCTTTTTTAAACTTGCTGGAAAATCTTACCGTTTTATCTAATAATAATTTGGAATCTTAAAGCTAGCACATTTCTTTTTTTGAACTTTTTTAAACCAATAATGAATTTGATGAATAACTGCATCACACAAATAAGGAGATTGAGACAACCAAGCCATGTACATACAATATTAAAAAATCTGTAACTGTACACAGTGTATTGGACTATACAAGGAGTCCTGAATCATACCATTACCTGGGCTACAATCAAAATTATAAAAAAAAATTGATGATTCAATGACAGGAAATTATCACTTTTACATGCCATCATATGATTTTTTCATGAAAAGAAGGTAATGTAAAGAAACATTAAATGGTATGAGAAACATTTGTCTAAAAGCTCACATTGAATGCATGAAATAAGGTTCACTATCAATTTAAACTAAAATGAAGTCTGTAGGTTTCACTTGAGTTATTTTTTTTCACTTATGGCACAAAATTTCTATCATATCAATAAATAAATCATAAAGTGTTGCCATGATGAAAAATTGAAATTAAAATATGAGACATAGATGTTAAACACTATTTACAATTTGACACAATCTAAAATATCTATAATGAACAAAGTCAGCATAAAATAACAAACATTTCTAATACAGTATATATTGTATGCAAGTATGTTTTCTTATCACAAATTTACAAATGTATATCAAGTAGTAACATCAAATATCATGTATTATCATAGGACATCAAACTGGGCTACCTATGTCTGCTCTTTAAGGAAACGTATTTATTAAACTCAGTTACGGTGTAAACATAGTTTTAAACCACAAGTCTCTGATGTTCCAAAAAAGAAACATCAAGAAAGTACCAAATTAAATAAAAGTTCTAACTTTTTTGTTAAATATGAATAATTTAGTGAAAAGAATATCAGCTATTCATTGTTTGTCTCTGCTTAAAAAAAATGAAATATTGCATTATTTTCGTTAAAGGCACAAAATTCTGATTTCTTCAAATTTTATGAATATGGATAACAGCATTCTAAAATAAACAATTTACACAAAACATATTACACTGATGAAAAAATCAGACTAAATATGTGTGTCTATTTCTACCCGAGAACTTTACACAAGTTTTATAGGCGAGGCTTGGAAAGTAACTTTAGTCATTATATGAATGTACTGCCATTCTAATGATGATTGACTCTGGACATTGCTGTGTAGAATTAATCCAATATATCATTCCACTTCTTTGAACAAAATTTGAAAAAAGAAAAATAGACAGAGAAAATAACTAAATTATTACATCATACCAAGGAAGTATATTTTGTAAATGAATATCACAGGTGTTTTACAAAAGAACAAGATTTTCAACAATTGCCATTCAGAATTTTTGTTATAAACAGTTTGAAACAGGAGTAATCTGTTGCAAATCAAAAATATCTGGGAATGTTTTAATTATTAGAGAGAGAGGTAGGCTTTGTAAGTATCAGAAAGCTGCAGTTTTCTGTAATATTAATACTGGAACTATACCCAACTATACTACTATAAACTCTGACAACCTCCGACAAAAATAATTTTTTAACATTTATGACGAAAGTCTTTCACAGAGTTGTATCTATCGTACCTAACATTCTGTACTATTAAAGCCTGACAGACTTAAACAGTCTGATAAATGCTGTATGAAAGTACCGGGCAAGTCTTTCTATGTGGTGTTGGGGCAATGGGTCAATTTAAAAGTCAGCACCAATATGTTGAGTCCTAAACGGGGATACTGTAGTGACAACACAGAATAATGATCAGGTGCTGATCAATTTAATCAAAAAATAAATCAAATTCTTCCTATCCCAATATTAGCAAAATTTTCAGGTTGATGGTAAGGATGATATGTTTAAATTGCTTTGTTGGAGGACAAATTCAGACAAAGGAAAAATTCTTCATGAAAGCAACATTAACCTGTAACAAAATTTCTCAATGACATCTAAAAATATCATATGTACATATGAATGTGAGAATATTTACATACATTTTTGTATTTACATGTATTCCTGTGAATCAAATGAGACATACTTGAAATGTGTTAAGTATCTGTGGACAATTCATGTATAATTATTGCTATCATACTGGTGAGTAAGATTTCATATACATGTAAAAATATTATTGAAGTTTGATTATTTTTCGTAAAGTTTTTCAATCCTTGTTAACAAAACTAAATGATGACCAATATTAACACTATGGTTATGAAGCATGAGAATGAAAAAATGTGGCAAACAATGTTGATGATTTATGGTGTTTCTGTGTGAAGTCAAATGCACAATCCCGATAAATGTCTTGTTTTTCCTGTCAGTCTGACATGATACAACCGTCACAATAGTTTCACATCCAACAGCCAGGATGACTGCCTTTGTCACAATCTCACACAAAAAATATTTTTCTTCATTAATGAATAGTATGTTGATGAGCATATCTCCTTTCCTGCTCCCTACCCTACCCCCCAACCCCCCGGCATAATTGTTAAGTTTTAACAGAGAAGGCTGTTGGCAGGAACACATTTTGTACTGTCTGTATAGAAGTCCGACACAGTGGACACTCAGCCAGCTGAGCAGCACAGTCATTACAACACACCATGTGACCACAAGGACACAACACTGTTGAGATCCCATTGTCCATACACACTTTACACACAAATGAGTCTTTTATTGTCTCCAACTTCTCTTTCAGCATCTGAAGCAGAAGATAACAAAATTGTTTATCATCAAGAACAATGATAATCTTATTCAAATTACGACCTTTTTAACATATGTATAAAGCTTGATCAACATCACTTAATTTCAAGGAATGAAGATTACAATACAAAGTTCTTCCTGAAAGGGACAGGCTCTATGGATACATTCTATGTAAGAAAACACAAGTAACCACATGAAAATTGACAGTTAGAATCGTACCGTATTTCACCACAAATAAGCCCCCTTCCTCAAATAAGCCCCCCCCCCCCCCCACTTTTGACAAGTCTTTTTGAACTGGGTGGGGGGGCTTATTTGTGGTAAAATACGATAGTATACAAGAATTTTCTCAATTTCTATCTCTGTCCTGAAGACAAATATTATTGTGCTGTATGAATGAAAACATTTGTGGTTGATAGTTCTTCGGGAGGTACAAGTCTTAAAAATTCTAAAACTTTTATCTCAAAAATTTAGTACAAAATCCCACCACTTATGTTAATAACTACACAACAATGATACAATAGAAGATATATTAACAGCTTAAATATCTTATATGACAGAACTATTGTTTAAACGGAAATATATCGGGTTACCAGATATCATTATGTACTCACCGACACAGGACAAACATCAAGTATAGTCACGATTAGTGAATATCCAAACACACAAGGCTGTGTATAGTTTACAGGCTGATCACACAGAAAACACTATCATTTGTTCTGGGGACAGGAAATCTCTCATGACTGCGGAGTCTAGAGTCTACAACTGTTTCCTACTTTGAGCATAAACTTTTTTTCCCTCTTGTCTTAATTTAAATGAAACCAAAGGTTGCTGATACACTTAATAAAAAAATAATGATCAGTGTCAAGCAAACCGCCCCGATCTCCCCCCCCCCTCCCCCCGACATTTGCTCCCACCCCCAACCATTGAATTTTTTTTACATGCTATATGGCTTTACTATCAACAGAACAGTTCTAATTCAAGGCTGAAAGGATGTCATGAAAATCAACTTTAAAAAATGAGATACCTGGACTTGATGTTGTTCGCTGTTCTCCTTATCGTCCTGTGAAATATCCTCCTGGCTAACTGATGGTGTCATAGGAACCTGTTGCTGTTTGAGGAGTTTTCTTCGAGTGCTATCATACACTTCTTTACATGTTTGTTTCACATCAAATACATAATTTTGGCCTGAAACAATGAAACACAAAATCTTATAAAAATATAACTTTTAATTGTTTTAGATAACCTGTTAGCTTTGTTTCAAATTTGACTCTTTAAATGACTGATTAACTATGTAATCAAGGTCATCATCAAATATGAGTTGATTAGAACTGTATAAGAGCAGAAAAATCTCCGTCTCATCATAAAGTTGTCCATGTGGTAAATCCAAAGAATTACATTGTATATTCTGATAAAATGTTACAATTCATCTGATCAGCAGTAAAACAGTGTACATCGGATACTGACAGAAACCCTCGAGACATAAGAATTTTGCCTATTGAATACCAAATTAGCAACAAGATTTGGTCAGAATGGAGTACTCTTGATAGAGAACAAGTCGGATTTTGAAAGAATTCACTGTAAATATTTTCACTGCACAGGGACTTGTATGCTGGTCTTACCACTAGCAGTATTATCACTGAAGATGGAGGCAAGCATCCCCTTGAGGTCATGGCTCACTTGAAGACTGACTTCATCATGAACTGTATCACAGCGGAAAAAGGAATGCATTTCTGTAATACAGCGATACAAGGCATTGGCAGCTCGGCTACTGACCAGCTTAAACTCATACTTATTGGTCTCTCCTTCATCATTATACGCTTCCAGTATAACCTTATTTCTATCATGGATAGCTTTCATCACCATGGAGTACTCCAACCTGTCAAAGAAATGACAACAATTCCAAAAGTTTTCTATACTGTATGCATACATAACTGAATTGCTTTATACCTTCTACACAGTTCACCAATCAAAACACAAAAGAGTTTTTTAAATTACCATATTTGGAATTCTGATCAATGATTTATAGGTTCTTTTTTTTAATACTTCCCCTTCATTTGTTTCCTTCCTAAAACAACAATAGTATCTACTTACTAACTTAGTACGAAGGTCAATCACAAAAGCTTGGGATAAGTTTTTTTAATTTATAATAAGAAACCAAATAATTCCAAGCTAGTTGAGATTGACATCCTGTGCTGTTCCTAATCCTCAATCGCCCTGCATACCAGATAGTAGCTATGCCAGGGATATCAGGAACACGCCAAATTGCATTTAAATGTGAAAGGATGGGTTTGTAAATTTCCATCAATGAAAGGACTCTTTAAAATCGTACGCGATGGTCAGTTAAGGTCATCATCTATGAAATGTAACAGTGAACAGACACTCAGATCTGCAAGCTTACCAAACTAGACAAGTTAATCAAATATTAACTGTCCACTATAAAACCTATTAATCAAGGCATCTATGATTGTGTCACTACATTTGACTAAATACCCAAAGTCTAACCATACAGACATTTAAGCAAAGTATCTTGTGTACATAAATTGGTTAGTGTTATTTTATAACAGTTTGATATTTTCATAAAAAGATTCAAAACATGGCGGATGTATTAAATACACCTCAGTTAGCATAACAAGCTATCATACTAGTAGTACATATACAAGCACATTTCTTCTTTTAGAAATATCATTTCAGATATTATATAAAGACTGAGATGACAATGAAAGACATATATACTATATATGTAAGTGAAATGTATGTGTATATCCTGTTTCTATGAGTGTTTGTCTACATTATGTTGTGAAATAGTACTTAAATGACCCTTGTGTTTACCAATGACCAGTACAAAGTCCATCCAGAAAGCAATCCGACTGACCTTCAGGCTGTGTACACTGGTCTTAGGCTCAGTGTGTTGTGTATACAAATCATTTAGGTCTCTTGCTCACATGACCAACGACCCTATTTTTGTGTCTGATAACCATCTACTTGAATATGTAAATGTATAAGTCTTTACAGGAAATCAGCTACACATGTAGGATACTTAGTAAAGTACACAAAGTCGGTCAGACCTGTACTGTTTAAAGAGGAAAACAAGCTCTTTATAATGGTTTCTTTAAATTACAGTTTTTGCTTATAACAAATTACGAACTGACAATGTGCAAGTATAAACACAGAATTTTTTTTATCACTTAATATGTTTAGTTTTGTCCAAGTTCTAATTATGATCTCTGTCTTCAGGGTTCAACGTTCAATAAGACCTTGTACATGTATCCCTAGCTACAATGCTGTAACTCTGACAACAGTATGATATTATTATATGAACTGTGTTGCCAGGAAAGGAAGTGGCTGGGTATTAATATTAGTAGTGTATCACTCTTCCCTTTCAGTAACATCCATCAAATCTTTATTAAAAAATATTTACGTAAACAGGCATAAATCTAAAGTGTAAATATTTCCTCAAAAAGTGAAAAATCGAAGGAAAATAATCAATGACATTATCAATGATATACTTACTTTTCGAAAAACTCGTTATTGAGGTCATACAAGAAAATGCCTTCTGGTCCAACTCCTACACTAACAGTGTTGCCAGACATATTCTTTGCCTCGTGATATTCTGTACCGTAGTTTTGGATCATAGAAACTTCTTGTAGCATGCGATACTCTGCCTGCGCCTTAGTTACCCTCATTAAACTCTCATGACCTATAGCAACTTCCCTGACCAGGTCACTAGAAAGGTCAGGGGTCAAGCCCTCAAGAATTTTCTCATACAACTGCAGTAACATGGGATTGTCTGTCTGGTCTCCCAACTCTATCTGGGCACAAAGGGAAACAATTCGCACCAATTGGGCCTCGTCTGTTATCTGGAGCTTTCCACACCTCAATTCCTGTATTACTTGTTGGTAGAACAGGTGCCTGCAAGAATAATGCAATCATTTATCAGTTTTTCTTGAGGATTTGCATGGCTGTATGTATATACAACTGTTTGTAAATCTGTGGAAATCAATGATGTCCGTTCCCATATCTTTGGTTTAGAATATCATACAGTTATGTGTGGTCAGTGATAATTGCAGTATGCAGAGCTGTTTGATGTATTAAGTCAATTTTTAATGAAGCAGATTTCCTTCCCAAAAATGTCTGAATTTTGAAAAAAAAAAACTTTATTTTGATTTTTGGATCAGTAGGACATGATCAGAAGCACTCCATTAATGGCAATTTTGTTAGCTTTAGGAACACTGGTACATGTGACAGCAAGCAAAAGTTAACTAAGGCAGTATCCTAGCAATCATAGATACATTTGCTTTGACCTAAACATGCAACTTTTTTATCATCAAAAAACATTAACAGAATTACACTTTTATCTGAGTCATAAATACAAAACAGTACATTTTTTATCATCCAAGTATCAAAATACTGAACAACTTTTCTTATTCATCAAAAAGTCCACAGTTACACAATGTATGCCTGTGTCAATACCAAGTACTTACTTAACATTTCTATACCAGAACTGTATAAGGCATATCAAAGTGATAAGGTTGTGAGACTAGTACAGTAAATTGTTTGTGTATCTTTTTATATATATACTGTATGTAACACTGATGTATGTATAAGGTAATACACTACCAGCCATAGAGCCAACTGTTACTCATATGTATACACCATAATGTATCTACTGCCTAAGGGGTGATTTCACTAAAATTACTAAACACTTTTTGTATACCTCCAGGTCAAATTAGCTGTAGGTTTAATACAGATTATAACAGTACTGAGACTTAAATTATCATATGACTCAAATTTGAATGACTTATTCTACCTACACACAAGAAAAACCTATGAATGACTTCTGCCTACACAATACGTATAATCAATCGATCAGTGATTTTATCTCTGAATTAATTTGAATATGTATGTGTCAAAATAGTGATTGACTACTACACAGTGTTCAAATGTTGTATGTCTATGTCAAGTGTATGTCAAATAGAGGTGATATGTATTGTCATCTACACAGAAAATAACCGTGCACTGACCACATTCTTGCCCAATCAAATCATCTGCTTTATTTATACCTCAGCTAATGCAAAGAAAATTTATGAATATTCATGAAATACATGTTCAAAAAAAAAAATTTAACACGGATATATCACAAGTGCAATTTTAACCTTAATCATAGGAACTGGAAATCCCACACACCTAACATGTGACATCACAACTATTTTCATAATTCTATTTATATAGCCAGGGATGTATTACGTATTATACGTCCCTGATATAGCACACTCTATATCCTTTGTTGTGATGTTGTAAATTATCCTGCTGTCAATTTGAAGAAGAATAAAACTAATTCTAACACACCGGAAATGCTGATAGAGATCACAAATGGTCTGTCTAACAGTTAGGATAAACAATTTAAAATCAAATTTCTGTTTTGGAACTTTGGCTTGTTAAGTTTTGTACACAGCGACCACATATAAAAATAGTACAAATTACATACTTGTAATAATTTTTCATAATTTACTTCACTTAAGTATCATAAGCACATCTGTTAGTGATCTCATTGGGCTTTGTGAAAAACTATACATCTTTATAGTCTCGATTAGTAAATTCATTTTTAGTCAAAAAGATATGGTAATATCCAACCAAACCCTGGAAGGGCAATGGCATTCATGATAGATATAATGTTATGATCAGAGATTGACATGGAAACATAAAGTATTGTAGAGATGTATTTTAAATCTTTACCAACCTTATATTGTACGCACAAATTGATCATTTAAAATTAGTAAAATGCAGGAACAAAATAATTGGCCAACAGAGGGATCTGTGAAAAGTAGGAATAAGGTGTTTCTATCTCTGCACTGAAATATTCTCTTCTTGTAACTAAAGTCTAAATCAAAACAAAAAATATCTTTCTGGTACATATTGATATTACAGATGAAAAGTATTCAGTAATATAGTTAAGAGTGAATTTAACACAAAGCAAAAATGAAAAGTTTGATGTCAGGGTAAAAATAACTCTGATGTTCCCTACAAACACTTGTATTTGTACTTTACAGAGATACTGATATGTATGATGTGGCTATTTAGTTTACCACTAGGCCTACATGTAAACTCAATTTGCGTCTTATCTAGATTTTTGACAATGTGACACTGAAACCGAATTTCTGAAATCTCTTAAGATGGATTTCATCTCTTTCTTTAAACCAACAAATGCAAGGAGCTGCATGTTTACAATAACAAAGAATGAGTCATACATTCACATGACCTTAAATTCTACAGTTATATAGGCCATCAGAATACATTAACCCATATACATTTGTTTTCAAATCCTGGATGAAATAAGATAACTGTAGACAATAAGTGTTACAGAACCTAAACAAAACATTTAATACACTGAAATAGATGTACACAAAGTTCATCCAGACATATGTGTTCATGTAATTTATGAGCATATGCATATACATTTGTACTCTGTTATTGTATATGACAAGAGATATTTGTGTGTAAAATATCTAAGGGTTTATGGTCGCCATAGATTTGTGTTTTTTTTAGATTGTTTATATGTGCGCTGAAAGAGAATTCTAGGTGACCGAATTTTTAGATCCTGTTTACACATTGTTAGGTAGATAATATATAGAAGAAGCTATTACGGCACGAAAGACCCTTGTATCGATTGAGTAGACCCACCTATATCTACACTAACATTGATCAGTGACATCGGTTCTGCCTAGGATTTATTCCATTAAATCAGGTTAATGACCCTACCAACACATGACAGTGTTCATCAGGATTTGTATAATTCTATAGCAAAGACCTGGAGTTTAGCTCAGATTTAAACTGCATATCTACTTCTACCTTTCACGTATGTTATTGTAAGTTATATTGTTACAACCACCATGTGTGAAACCCTTCAGCACAATGACTCAGAGTCACAAAACACTGAACTTTTTATGTGGCATTGTCCGCAGGTGGGGTCAAAGTCCACATCGCCAGTTTTTACAGTTATGCCTGGTGAATACTCTCGCTTGGTTGTAAACATGCATGAACATTTCCTAGATATACAAAGAGTTATTATGAAAAGTTCTTTATATTATTTTGTACTGACTTCAAGGAAAAAAAACACATTTAATATTTTTATGTGAGTATTTGTTCAATATTACCAGTCACTTCAACTGTTTACCAGTTATCAATATCTGAATTCCTCAGTCCAAAGTCCAATGATATCAAAGTCCAAAGTTCAACAACTTTTCAGATGCACTGTTAACTTATCTATTACCAAGTCATCCCTTATCATGATTGTGCTAAACACTAGACAATTTTTGTCACTTTCTCACCTTAATATGTTTGTTATTTAAAACATTTATGACAAACAACATAACATCTGCTTCACATATAAATTTCAAGTAAGTTTGTGCATATTTCTTTTCTTGAAATCAACTCCCAGCATACATCTTATTCATGAAGCATATAATGTACACTACCAAATTTTCCAGATGACCAAATATAATATTTTGCCTATACATCTTAAAATTCCTAAGTCTGAAGTCAGATTTACCTTAGGATAATTGCTGGGGATTTATGTATGTAATGGTATATGTAATTTGAAATTACCGAGATCTTGTTCAGATTAAAACATTTCCAAAATAAAATTTCTAAGTACCGAAAAATCATTTCCATAAGTGGTCCAGTGACCTATAGAACAAGTGTGAGTTTAATCTGATAACGGTCCCTTTACTAATTACCATGTTTGACCACCTTAAGGTACACTTTATATGTACACTTTGAAATATCATTACGTAGTAGGTAATCTCTCATTCCTACAGCATGACATAACTTATATAATACTAAGAAAACTGATCAGGCAATATGTCCATGTTTTGTAATAAACCCATTTATACCCAGTGGGGACTGCTGTTCAGAAGTATGAACAAATTCTGGTTTTTTTTTAACCTGTGAAAAAGAAAACTTGTTCAGCTTCCCTTAACCTTGAGTTAAAGCTGTTGACTCCTACTTTAAAGGATAAAATAATTGTTAATGAATCATACTATTTAATATCCTCGAGCTTTGGATTCTTTTATGAGGAAACATTTAACAACTGTTTTCATGTATTTGTAACTGCAATTGCCAAATTGGGTGTTTTTCCTTGATGACTGCAAATCTATGTCATTTACAGCGATCATAAATGCTAAACTGTTGTATTTTCATTCTTTTAACATTATATTATGTATATTCTAATTAAGTTAATACTAGAAATGGACCATTCATCTTGACTATATCCAGTTACTATCTCGACATCACAATGGTCACATCAGTAATAAGTAAGACTAGTTAATCTTTGTCAGATTTCTTTAATGGGATGGTCATAGAAATATACTTGTAACCTTACAGAACCAACAAGTTAGTGGATATGCAATGGCATATAGCAGTAAATTTTGTCAAGATTTTTTCAGGCGAGTCCACAAGGCCATTTCTGAAATTTTAACGAATCTCTATATGAAAGATATAGCGGGTCTTCAAAACTCAAATGAGACCCAAAGGAAAATCTTATGTCCAGGACAAGGCTCAATTACCTGGGTCCAAAAAAACGCTGATATAAAAATAGGGTTTCGAGGAATAATATTACATGTGCTGAAAGCTGTAAAGAATATCAATTATAATCTCCATTATTTTTACCTGCATTCTTCCTGGAGAAGAAGGTGAGGCTGGACATAAAACTTGACACGCAGCTGGAACCTGTATGGGACCGGTCCAGTCACTTGTTTACAAATGGGATTTCTGCCGTTTAGCCATAACAGCTCTCCTTTAGCACCATGAAACTGGAGTCCGAAGTAGTCTTGCTCCACAATACCCAGTTGCTGGCAAACCTGAAAAAATATCAATTGAATGATCATCATTGTGAAAGATTTAATGTAAATCAATTTTTAGTATTAAATTATTGTCAGGTCATGGTGAATCTTCCTATGACACCTGCAATATTTTTGAGAGAACAGAAACAATTTCATTGCATACTTTACAGGGTGATCCTGTTGTTGCTGTAGATGGTATGACTCTGTTGTACACAGGATAGGGAAAGACAGCTAGCACACGATATTCACAATAATGTCATATTTCATGTAACAAATTGATAATGTCATTTATTTTAATGCAAGTTTCATAGTCTGCTGATAATAACTTTCTAATAAGGTTTCTAAACAACTTATTATGTGTTACTGTTGTTTTTATACAAAGCAAGTAAGAAAACTAATCAAACATGGGTATGTTTTGTGAACAGAGATATATCTCAATCTTCGTCAAGAGTTTGGCTGGTCTGCACTCTGTAAGCCTCGTGCTTACCAGTCAAACTCTTACATTTGGGTCAAGAAATCCCTTTCCACACAACAGACCCATGTAAGACTCTATTGGTCCAACACACACTAGAAGTGAATGTTAGGGGATCAAGGTATGAAGGACTTGCACTGCAACGCTGAATCAATTAAAGAGAATAAATTTAATTACAATTAGTTGTTTTGTTGACAGTTCAGTGGTATAACATTAGTCAGGGTCTTGCAACTTATGCTGATATATTTAATATCCCTTCATATACAACAGTACGACTGTTGCCTACACAGGCCCTAAACGGAGGTATAAAATGTCCTAGATTGCATCACAAAATGAAACTTTGTCTATATAAATAACACACAAGATATTTCATACGAAGATCTTTTAACTATCCATTGGTTTGACAGTATCCAAGATTAAAGTATACAAAGATAAAAATATAACTTGATGAAAACGAAGTATTGCTAAGCTAAATATTTTCTAAAAATAGAAAACTGCCACTACTACGACAGCTGATCGAGTCCTGCCAGCTGATCACAATATAATACTTAGAAATGCGTTTTAACAACCAAACTACAAATTAATACACAATCATGACATTCTCCTAGTTTCATTTATTGCTGTACTTCCAAATAAACAAGTTGTCAGCGTGGTAAAACAGCAAATAACGCCCCGTTCTTTGTCTGAATACACAAGAAAGAGACGAATGAAACCCGAGGTTGGACTTTGGACCCTGGTCGTTCATTGATCGCAACAGCATGAAAGTTCACTTCAGGAACGTATTAAAGAAAACAAAGACAAATCTTATGTAAATTACTTACAAAATGAACAAATATAAATCACACACATAATGTTGAATTAAAGCATGTTTGGATAAAAGTAATATTGTATAACGGAAACAAACTCCTCTGTTACTTTCCTTACAGGCATACTCCATCATAATCATAGGTAGAAATGTCAACTTACCTTTTCGAGTACTTCTTGTCCATTCGATTTAGGGTCCACATCCACTTCTAAAACTACGGAATTAGGTTGTGTTATTTGACAACGCATTTTGAGATTGTTAAAAAGTTACCATTAATGGTCTTTCCTACATTTTATCACCTTTAAAAGTGTCCCTCTCCGTTTGCAACTGATATACACACAGCATGTAGGTCAGAAGCTGATCACATGGACACTGTAATACATTCAACCAATCAGCAATGAGGTCACCAACCTTGACCTATCTGATTTTCATAAGGTGGAGTTAACCCCTGAAGGTTGACACTCGTAAATATTTTGACCTGGAACACGTGCGCATCAACAACACACGTAATCTCGAAGAATTAGTTAAAGCACGGACTTATATATGTCCGTGGTTAAAGTATTTTCTTTTTTCACTGTAGTATTTAAAATAAACGATATTTACTATAGAGTTAAACTACGCCTGCCCACTCTGCTTTACGAGACAATCTTACCTAAAACGGAAGACCACAGACTAAAGCTATTTTTAGTCCACAGTAAGACACAGTCATTGATATTGCGTCATAACAAATAATAGTCTCTGTTTGTGAGCTCTTCTTACCTACACCGACCTTGTTTATGGACGTTCAGGTTAGCGGATATGATGTTTGTCCTACAGTTTCATCCGAATTGTGAGATACTTCATTGATAACATGACAATTAAAATAAATGGTTTAAAGTGGATATAATTACTGGGCGCTACTTAGGAAATGATAATATAAAAGTGAATCCTCACAGCTTTGGACTTGATCACAACACAGAATCTGATCACAAATGTCGTCGATATAGAGTTATAGACAATGTAGGTGAGAATGCTGGTCTTAAGGACAATATTTAATAATAATAAATAATAAATTTATTCAGGATAAAGATGTACAGATTTGTATCCAAAACATATGAATATATGGCACATATAACATATTATACATAATCATGAATGAGTTGTTTGCTACATCTTTAATGTATCAGCTAGTTAGAATTATTAATAAAGACAAAAGTACATATATCCTAGGATTTCCCAAAAAAGCGTTGAAACGCTTATTTCCATTGGGGTCCTTAAAATGGATTTACAAATGTATTTCCATCAATAATATACATAATAACTATCATGTTTCTCTTGCATTTTGTATTGAAAGTGACGTTTCACTTGGATTTTGAACTTAAGCTTATTTGGTATACTTTTAATATAATCTGGAAGAGAATTCCATTCTTTTGCGCCTGTAAAGTAGAATGCTGTAGATTCTTTACCTTGTACTGATGGGAGACTGAAATTATATGCCGAGGATCGAGTATTTTGTAGACATGGATTCTTGTTTAAGGAAGTATACATATAGAAATATCTCCTGGAATTGCATATGCTCTTTTTCTTTTTTTTTTCTTTTACACTTGTGTTCATATACGCGTAACTCATCATTTTGGAGTTGCGTGTAGTTGAACATAAGTGAAAATACAGAAAATGACCATATGTAAGGAATATGAGACTCGTATTACGTGTAATGTAGGGAGAATGACATGGTGTAATATAAAATACAGGGTGTATGTCACTGTTGTAATATACAATGTATGGCGTATGCTATTAGAATGATACACAAAGTAGGGAGTTTGATATTAGAATGATGCACAATGTTGGGAGTTTGATATTAGAACGATGCACAATGTGGAGAGTTTGATATTAGAACGATGCACAATGAAGGGAGTTTGATATTAGATCAATACACAATGTAGAGAGTAGGACGTCAGCATGATGCACAATGTAGGGAGTTTGATATTAGAACGATGCACAATGTAGGGAGTTTGATATTAGATCGATACACAATGTAGAGAGTTTGATGTCAGAATGATGCACAATGTAGAGAGTTTGATATTAGAACGATACACAATGTAGGGAGTTTGATATTAAAACGATGCACAATGTGGAGAGTTTGATATTAGAACGATAAACAATGTAGAGAGTTTGATATTAGAACGATACACAATGTAGAGAGTTTCATGTCAAATCGATACACAATGTAGAGAGTTTGATATTAGAATAATACACAATGTAGGGAGTTTGATATTAAAACGATGCACAATGTGGAGAGTTTGATATTAGAACGATACACAATGTAGAGAGTTTCATGTCAAATCGATACACAATGTAGAGAGTTTCATGTCAAATCGATACACAATGTAGAGAGTTTGATATTAGAATAATACACAATGTAGGGAGTTTGATATTAAAACGATGCACAATGTGGAGAGTTTGATATTAGAACGATAAACAATGTAGAGAGTTTGATATTAGAACGATACACAATGTAGAGAATTTCATGTCAAATCGATACACAATGTAGAGAGTTTGATATTAGAATAATACACAATGTAGGGAGTTTGATATTAAAACGCTGCACAATGTGGAGAGTTTGATATTAGAACGATACACAATGTAGAGAGTTTCATGTCAAATCGATACACAATGTAGAGAGTTTGATATTAGAACGATGCACAATGTAGGGAGTTTGATATTAGATCGATACACAATGTAGAGAGTTTGATGTCAGAATGATGCACAATGTAGAGAGTTTGATATTAGGATATTAGAATGATGCACAATGTAGAGAGTTTGATATTAGAACGATACACAATGTAGAGAGTTTGATATTAGAACGATACACAATATAGAGAGTTTGATATTAGAATGATGCTCAATGTAGAGAGTTTGATATTAGTTTGATATTAGAACGATGCACAATGTAGAGAATTTGATATTAGAACGATACACAATGTAGAGAATTTGATATTAGAACGATGCACAATGTAGAGAGTTTGATATTAGAACGATACACAATGTAGAGAGTTTGATATTAGAACGATACACAATGTAGAGAGTTTGATATTAGAACGATACACAATATAGAGAGTTTGATATTAGTTTGATATCAGAATAATGCACAATATAGAGAGTTTGATATTAGAACGATACACAATATAGAGAGTTTGATATTAGAACGATACACAATGTAGAGAGTTTGATATTAGAATAATGCACAATGTAGAAATTTTGAGATCGGTTCGTCCACAATGTATGGAGTATATTGCACTATCCAAACAATGAAAATTATCATTTCTTTAATTTTAATGCATTCATTGAACAAGCGAGGATTTATAAATGTAACAGCTAATAGTTTCAGATACCGAGTGTATACGATATATAGACAGGGTGAGCACCACATGATTCGAAAAAATTTTACGACACAGATCTAGCGACCGTGTTTAGATTATGTGGAAACTGACACGCAGTCTTTTTCATTAAAAGAAATACTCATCAGATCAGACACAATGATGGGGTAGGACATTGATCGGAAATTTAAATGTAGTACATGTTATCCGCTTGTTGAACTCAGAGATAAACTTGAGTTCCACATCTGTCTTGAGGCTACAGATTTAAGATGTCGTATGTTATTAATTGTTTTGATATCATGAGTTCACAAAGGTAGTCCCCTCCTTATCTTCTGGGTCAAAAACATACTGTGTATTTTTAGATAAGTGGCCTAGTTATCTGAATATCGACCTAGAAGTTGATAGTGTCTTTGTCTCGAGTTTTTGTTACCAAGGACAGGAGACATTCTGCACTATTTATATTAACAAAACATCTCATGTATGATATATTGTTTAAAACTTTATATCCACCCGTAAGAGCTTGTCATTTATGGTGACATAAACCTAACCCAAATTGACCCTTAACAATGTACTAAGAGCAATATTATTTCTCCCCGTCATGTTTTGTTCATATGCAGAATGTTAAATTATTGACTTAGATAGAAAAATGATGATTTATCATCTCATACCTATGTACGCAACACTGGTTCGTCCCATGTTTATCATGACAAATATTGTTGGAGACTATTTCATACGAGTGTATATACTGATAGGGCGAAAATAAAATTGAAACATTGAAAAGTAATCACACACAATTGCTTTCTTCGGGGAAGGAAACACTGGAAGAAGTCTTAGAGGAATTGTTAACAAAAAAGGGACGACAGACAGACAGACGAACGAATTGAGCCATTAACAATATCCCCTTCTGATCTCCGATCGTAGGGTTGTGGAGTGACGTAGAGTTGTGGAGTGACGTAGAGTTGTGGATTGACGTAGAGTTGTGGAGTGACGTAGAGTTGTGGAGTGACTTAGGGTTGTGGTGTAGTGACGTAGGCTTGTGGAATTATTATGTCTATATACGTAACCAATGGCAGCTCTTAATAACAACGAATACCCTTATCATGACAACTTCTGATTAATTCACATAACCCATAATTAACGATGACATACAAATTCATCAATCATAAATACATCCACAATAACCCATAACCATACGTGTAGTATACACAGCCACAATAGCCCATAACCAAACGTGTAGTATACACATCCACAACAACAAGTAACCAAACGTGTAGTATTCACATCCACAATAACACGTAACCAAACGTGTAGTATACACATCCACAATAGCCCATAACCATACGTGTAGTATACACATCCACAACAACAAGTAACCAAACGTGTAGTATTCACATCCACAATAACACGTAACCAAACGTGTAGTATACACATCCACAATAACCCGTAACCAAACGTGTAAAATACACATCCACAATAACCCGTAACCAAATGTGTAGTATACACATCCACAATAACACGTAACCAAACGTGCAGTATGCACATCCACAATAACCCGTAACCAAACGTGCAGTATGCACATCCACAATAACAGTAACCAAACGTGTAGTATGCACATCCACAATAACCCGTAACCAAACGTGTAGTATGCACATCCACAATAACCCGTAACCAAACGTGTAGTATGCACATCCACAATAACCCGTAACCATACGTGTAGTATGCACATCCACAATAACACGTAACCAAACGTGTAGTATGCACATCCACAATAACACGTAACCAAACGTGTAGTATGCACATCCACAATAACACGTAACCATACGTGTAGTATACACATCCACAATAACACGTAACCATACGTGTAGTATACACATCCACAATAACACGTAACCATACGTGTAGTATACACATCCACAAT